GTGGAATCAGTGGGGCTCAGTGTCAGCTAGGATTCAACCTGTTAGGCTTATATCTACTGTGTATTAGGCTGTAATGCAGCAACAGATGATCTGACTTTTGTAAGTACACAGTACGAAGTAGTCATAGTTTTCAGCCTAACATGCCGGAGAAAGCCTACCAGTCACAGTAAGTAGCCATTGGTGGGTACACCGCTAAACGGAATTGGTACCCCTCAATGGATCCCAAACAGACAGCCAACAGCATTTGTCCACCACCCCCCTTTTTCTATTATTACACAGTACCCAGTACTCGACCCCGCTTTCTCATGGCTGTTGTCGTCATGTGGTAGATCATTTACCAAACCCTCTCATCATATGGCTTTCCCATAACATCGTATCATTCGCTGTCAAAGCGCCAGGCCGTTCCTTCTGATTCATATTTGACTTGTAATTGCTCAAGCGCTAGGTCACCAGCCTCAACCTCTAATCTTGCTCCCCAGCTGTCCGGTGTTAGGCGTTTGGGATTAGACGCTGGCACGGTTCCCCTTTACTGCCACGCGCCAACCCCGCATGAACAATGTTGATGTATTTCATCAGTGTTAGTACTTAGTTCCCATCCGGCACATTGACTCATACGCCTGAGTGCCGATTTTTACCCGTCGATGGGAACCAGCTCGTTGTCCTACAAGTCTTAATTGATTCTGCTCCTCAAGAGAATCACATTGTTGAGAGTAAATTTGGACACGCAATACGAAACACCAGGAGAAATAGATTGATTACTCATAATCATTGACTCTAGCCTACTCGGCCATTGTGAGCCTTATCGCCGAGACCTAAGCCATATCCATTTATTGCCACCAGACAAAGAGGCGGCCCTGACAAATCATTTGCACGTGTGTCTGCCAACATTATTGCCAAACATCTGTTCCATTGACTTCCATATCACCATCTCATCAGCGTACAAACGTTCTTTCGCCTTCAAACAGACGACTGCCTGAAACTGACCTCAGAAGCAGATTTCGTGTATTTATTCTCAGCTAGTCGTCCCACCCCGTATTCCGCTCACCTTTCTACTGTGAAGCAATTCAACCATCAGATTGTTCTAGGCGATGACCTCATTCACTGCTGCTTCTTTGACCAGTCGTGGTGATAAGGTCAATATGAGTCGTCTGCCGTCTGTTTCGAGTTTAATGTCCCCCCCAGAGTCCAAACCTCTCGAGAGCTTCAGTCCCACCACAATTTCACCGTATACAATGTCCCAGGATCCGTCGTATAGCCATGATGTGAGGCTGCCTCCTATGCCGAGTGATCACAAGCGAACACAGTCAGAAATGGACTTGCCATCGCCGCCGGTCACTCCCTATACTGGGAATAAGAAACGGCGATCGAATGGATCAGAACCGATTGACAAGGATGCCGTCGTCGGTTCCTCTAGGGACCCTGTTCTCTTCCCCCGCCACGAAGGCCTTACTGATATTGCCACTGATGAGCCATTGTTTGGGTCCATGCTCCCTCCGTCTGCGGAAGCGCTGGTTGACCAACATATAAATTCTCACATGGCGAGATTTGAGAATAAACTTAACAAGCCGACGCGTGACGAATATCTTCTAGCCCTTTCATGCGTACCGATTGTATCTGCTCAATTTAACCGGAACCCAGCAGCATGGGCTAGGGAAGAGCGGGAGACTTTAGAACGCCAGCTTTTGATGATGAATCGGTGTCGTCCACGTGCTATAGATGCGAAACTGAAGAAGATTGCACCGGCTCCTGCAAAGAGGGCAGTTGCTGCCCAGCCTCGTCTGCAACGCACACCCAGGGTAAAGCGGACACCCAAGTCCACACCGAAGCAAAGGATCCTCGACACATTTGACTCACCCCCGTCGAGTGCCAAGCCGCCTCGCGCCATAGGCACAAACCGGGATGACACAGATTACAATTCCATCAAGGACTATTCTCCTTCAATAGAGACCCTAGGAGGCAACGCAAAGGCACTAAAGGCAGACTGGAAAGGCCAAGTGTTAGATCTTAGCCATGATCCGGACCGGCACTTGCTGAGCTCTGCAGAGCTCAACCTTGCTGCTACTTTAAGGCTGTCATGTGCGACCTATCTATGCAGCAAGCGTCGCATTTTCGAAGCCCGGGTGAAGGCTTTGAATGTTGGTAAGGAATTTCGGAAGACCGATGCTCAGCAGGCTTGCAAAATTGATGTCAATAAAGCAAGCAAGCTCTGGACGGCGTATGAGCGGGTTGGTTGGTTTGATCCCGAACATTTCCGACAGTATCGAAGATGATATGCTTGGAACTGTCGAACCCTGCGGATCCCGATGGTCTGCCCCATTGATATACTGGTAACACCCACTATGATGCGTTAGAGACATGGTCACATGTCTGTATTATCATCAGCCCAAATGCATTTCTCAACTCACAATTTTCGCTCCCGTCAATTAGCCATCGGATATTGATATGGTACTTACGTTTGTCACTGAGCATAGCTGGATTCTCTGCAACAAGTGGCAAGGCTGCATACGGTGTTATATTGCTCTTCCACTTTCCCATTCCCCTTCGTTGCGTTAGCCGTTAAATTCGGATGGTATCGATTTGATTTAACACTTGGCGTCTTCAGACACCTTTCAATCACCCTTATTCTTTTCCGGCGTTATTGTCTTTAAAGGGCTGGAACAATTGGCTTTGATGGGTTAGGTTTTGTGTTTCTTGTGTCGTTCGCCTGACTACTATTCTGACGGCTTGCAATGGCGTCTAGTTTTTCTTTAGAGTGGTAGATTGTTCTCGTTGCTCAATTGACACGTTGGCATCATTAAGTCAACAATATGGTAGCACTAGTCAGTCCTGTAGTGACGATCCATGTACAGGAACCTCGGAGCGTCCGAGAAACAAAAATAATGGTCATGACAATGTAACAGTGTCCCCCCAAGCGGATGTCGGGACGTCAAAGCCCGCCAATTACGCAATCCCGTCGCCTGCTAAGCCTGCGCCACCATCATTCACTCTCACTCTGTATCCATTATTATATTTACTTCTCCAGAGTATCACTTCTTCTGGTGCTTCTGCAACTGCTGTAGTAATCTTTCAGGACATTTAATGGATGATTTGAACCACAATGTCCCATCCCGACGCGACCCGTGCGGAGTCTTTGGACGACCAAGAACATAGGGGGGAGGTTGACGATAAGAAGCCTAAGAATAGGAGACCAGCAAGTGAGGCTTTGACTTGATCTGAATGAGATGAACTATTCTTCATTAACACTAGCTTATTCCCACAGATACTGCTTTCAGACAGCAGCGCTTGAAAGCCTGGCAGTAAGCTACTTAGATGGTATATCCTGCTCTCGTGCTGACGCATATAGACCAATATTGACCCCAAAGAGCGTACTGCCTCTTTTCTTTGTTATTGGTGTGATATTTGCCCCCATTGGTGGTTTGTTACTGTGGGCCAGTTCACAGGTATGTAATACCTCCCAAAGGGCACCTTCTCGATAACCAACAAGCGATCACCAGGTACAAGAGATTGTCATAGACTATTCTGAATGTGCTGAGAAGGCGCCCACCTCCTATGCGGCTTCGATTTCAGATCAAGTCAAATCCTCGTTCAAATCATCAGGCGAACAATCTACTCCAACTTGGCAAAGATTCAATGAAAGCGGAACTACAATCTGTCGATTGACCTTTAAAATTCCGGATACCTTGGAGCCACCTGTGCTTTTATATTATCGCTTAACGAACTTCTATCAGAATCATCGGAGATATGTGAAGTCCATGGACACAGACCAGCTGAAAGGAAAAGCAGTTGACAACAGCACCATAGATGGTGGCTCTTGCGACCCCCTCAAACTTGACCCTTCAACTGGCAAAGCATACTATCCATGCGGCCTTATAGCTAACTCTCAGTTTAACGATACCATCCGCAGCCCACAGCTTCTGAGTGGTGGTGTGACTGCAGAGACCTACAACATGACTAATAAAGGCATTGCCTGGGACAGTGACAAGCAGCTCATCAAGAAGACGCAGTATAATAAATGGCAGGTGGTTCCTCCGCCTAATTGGCATGATCGCTACCCTAACGGTTATGTCGACGGTATACCTAATCTTCATGAAGACGAAGAGTTCATGGTATGGATGAGAACTGCCGCGCTGCCGGCTTTCAGTAAGCTATCCCGCAGAAACGACACAACGGCAATGACTGCAGGAGTCTATCAACTGGACATTGAGGACCGTAAGATTTAAGAAATAACTTAACATTAAGGTTAGCGCTAACCGCGTACAGGCTTTCCTGTCACTGAGTACGGAGGTACTAAATCGATACTCATATCAACACGGACTGTGATGGGCGGTCAAAACCCATTCATGGGTATTGCCTACGTCGTTGTAGGTGGCCTGTGCATTGTTCTTGGGGCATTGTTTACTATTGCACATCTTGTTCGGCCGAGGTAAGGAGATTTGATGAACTTGACGTATTTTGTCCGTGCCTAGGCTGACTTATTAGGAAACTTGGCGACCACACTTATTTGACCTGGAACAATGAGCAGGAGAGCTCGGCTGTGGCAACCGGGCGGGATGGCAGATTTGGCTCTCATGCTACTTAAGAAGCATACCTTTACTTTCCCTTGCTCTTCTTAGTCTACGGACATAATTTACACAGTGGATTGATACGAGGCGTTTGTAGGTGGCGTTCCTGAAGAGGATCTGATACCCACTGGTTTTCCCAGTGGGCCTATGTTTTCGTGATAGTTTCGGCATTTCTATCCATCTAGGAAAATTTTGATGGCACCTGCTAGTCGATGTGCCCTTCCTGATGGAGCGATCTCAAAGTGTCAAATTTCTCGGCGAAACGCGTCTACCCCTTCTTTGGGATAATTCCCTGGTATGCAGCATTCCTGACACGAGGGATTGTTTGGGATTCCCCAGATTCCACGTAGCGGTTGGCAATGATGCTTATGATTTTATAATTCTCATCTTGTCCTTTGTCCTCGGTGCAGTAGAGAATCTTCACTGCCCGATACCAATATGACATTGTTACTCAACTTCCACGCGCTCTTTACAGTCATTCTTGTTGCCAATCTTTCAACCAGATGCAGCGCACTGCTCTCTGGACGTGACTTTTGCTCCACGCCAGCGCCCGGTGAGTCACTCCGAGCGGAGCATAGGAGGCTGTATGATGTACAGGCCCAACGTGACAGCACCGCCGAGGAGAGCCGGGAGGTGGTGCCTTGGATTGAAATCGAGACATGGTTTCATATTGTAAGCAGCAATGAAGCAGCAAACACAGTATCAGACGACATGATCACCAGCCAGGTCCGTCACCATTCAACTTTTGACCCATGCCTGCGCAATGTCGTGTTTTGGACTAACAAGTCCTAGCTTTCCTATCTTCAGAAGGCATATGAAAGTGCGACTATCACCTATCGGTTGGAGGGCATAACTCGTCACATAAATGACTCGTGGGCGCGAAATGATGATGAACTGGGGATGAAGAATGCCCTACGAAGGGGCAATTATGGCACATTAAATGTCTATTTCCAAACAGATCTCCAGGCGTCATCCGACGAGAATTCTCGGGACTATCCAAATGACGGTAACCGACGAACAGATGTGTCAGATCAATCATCATCAACTGTCCTAGGCTTCTGTACGTTGCCTGACCCGAGTGTGAATTCCAGCAGCCCTCGTTCCAGCTACATCAAGGATGGTTGTAACGTGTTAGCGGATATCATGCCGGGTGGTAGTTTAGCGCAGTACAACAAAGGCGGCACAGCGGTTCATGAGGTTGGCCATTGGAATGGGCTGCTGCATACGTTCGAAGGTGAATCGTGCTCCCCTGATAATGAAGGAGATTACATTGATGACACCCCGGAGCAATCTGAGCCTACGAGCGGATGTCCCGCCGAGAAAGATTCATGCCCCGATCTTCCTGGCCTTGATGCTATTCATAATTTTATGGACTATTCATCTGATGACTGTTATGAGAGTTTTACTCCAGATCAAGCGGAGAGAATGAGGAGTATGTGGTCCGCTATGCGGGAAGGGAAGTGACGGACGGACTCCAAGGGTATATAATTTGCACATATACCAGCTATAGATAGACAACTATGGTAGCACGAATATTGATGTCAACATCTTGGTCTTTCAATTCCGTGGGAATTGACTATCACAATTCATGAACCTTTTGTAGAATTTGTGTATTGGAGAGCGATTGATGCAAACTAGACACTCGTTCGAAATTCACAGCTAGCTGTCATGTGGAATGCGAAATCAGATCATCGCTTGCGCTTTTTTCCACGATCTTCATCGTCCAGGCCACTTTCCCTGTCCTTTTTCTTTGCCTTTGATTCGAGTTCGTCCCAGTCTTCACCACTCTCTTCGTCGGCACTAAAGTCATCGCTAGCCTCGGCACTGGCATCATCGTCGAACTCACTGTCGTCTTCTGAACTCTCGTCGGCCGCCGCAAGCTCTGATTCAGAAAGCTCAAATGCGGACTCCTCTTCTTCGTCCGATCCGCCCTCTGAATCCGACTCTGCGGCCAAAAATGACCAGCCCCCATCAGCGAAGAAACCATACGGGTCACTCACGACTGTTTTCATGATTGTTGTCCAGTTTAGGTTCAGTGGACCCTCTGTGAATGCGATATCAACAGAATCTAGCCAGTCTTTAACACCCTCTAGCGATTCGACAGGGATCGTATTGATATGAACAGGGGCCCTGTGGAAATCCTTGAAAACAAAAACCAGATCAAAGTTTTTGAGTCCAAACTAATGACATTAGGAGTAGTAAATACCAGTGATAAGGTTCCCACTTACCTGTACTCTCTCTAAATGAGCAATCTCTACCTCATTCAGAGTAATCACCAGGAATGGCGGCTCTGTCAATTGGACAAGAGCATCTGTTGTGGGTTGAATCAGAACATTAGAGCGATTTGGAACGCCAGTGAAACCAATTTCTCTGAAAGGGATGTCAACATCGACGCTTTCGTCTTTCCCAGCATCTGCAATCTTTTCGGCGAAAGCCTTGAACTCCCGATCTAGAGCGGCTCTCCGCCGTCTCTCTTCCTGTTCGGCTTCGAATTCCTCCTCATCCCCATAACGATGCTTGCGCCTACGATTGCCGGTCTCATCGAACTGCATCTCGGTTGCCTCCCTGTAGAACTGCACGTCTCTAGTCTTCCTTTTCCCTATCATTATAGGTGTTTTCAAATGAACATGTATCAGAACAATCAACTCGTGAGCGCAAGGTTGGAAAAACAAGTGCTTCACGTTGCTGAACAGGACATCGACATGTTCATTCCGAAAAGGTGACATGTAACGAAGACCGTTCTGATGGATCTCGACTTCCCCTGGAACACGTTTACCATCCAGAGGAGGCCGAAGATATACGTCAGGCAGTTTGACAGGACGACGATCTAACCTAGTCAGTCTACGTCTTTCAGAATGTTGAGAGGCAATACTTACTCCTAATTTCAACCAATTTGTCCTGTTCTACCACATCTTCCATTTCCTTCTTCTCTTGTTCGCGCCGCAGAGCATTCTTTCGAAGTTCTGTGATGTCTTGAGCAATTTGGGCCAGTCGGTCATTGTCCTTGGACCGAAGTGTCAAATTGCGCAGAAAATGTGCGGAAAGGTCCTCAAAAGGCTGGTCATCCTTTCGGCCCACGCCTTGGCCCGGTGAAAGGAAATTGATTCGGAGATATGCATACTCTCCCTCGTCACTTTTGCTAGCATTTTTGATCGTGTTAATATGGAAGGGTACTGGCCGACCCATGATTGGCACAATAACAGTGGAAGCCTTCTGATCTACATAGACGGTTAGGTCTTTCACTCTCGTTGGCAGCTGATTGTCTCTCTTGTAGGACTCGAATCTCTTAAACTTTTTCTGTGTGACTCCGTTATCATCGCCAGTGGTTCCGGCAAATCTGTCCAGACCTTCCTTGGTCTTTTTGCCAGCCAACTCCTTTTGATGTTCACGTCGCCGTGCCTCGGCACCTTCATTGATCTGAGTGGGTCGTTCAGCACGAAGCTTCGTTCTTGTAACATTCCTATTGGCAACAGCGCTTGATTTAGCCTCCTTCTTCTCCTTTACTGGTCTCTGAGGCTCTTCTTCATCCCCAAAGTAGAACGACACAGAGTCCATGTCAACACCAGCATCTTTCGTGAACACCAGAGGCCCAGTTTCTCCGACGCGAACAGTGTCTGTAATGACCATCGAATAGACGGTTCTATTCTTGTCTTTGATGCTCGAATCTTCAACATCAGTCAGACCAACTGTGACAGCGAATGTCATTCCGCTCTTCAAAACTTTATCGTTCTTTCCATTGAGGATCATATTAGCGTCTCGAAGCTCAATTCCTATGCCAGCACCAACAGCTTTCAGAAAATGGGATTCAAGCTCAGGCTTCTTTGTCCGAACCAGGTTGATCGCCTTGCTGTATAGGTCCTTAGCCACGGCCCCGTCACGGACGTCTTTCAAAATCGCTTCGCGGACGTTTAGTAGGAAGGCGTAGTTTGCCTCCTGAGATTTCGTTGGGTCAACTAGATAGGTGCGCGCAATCATCGAACTGTAGGTCTTATAACGAATGCCGAAACCAGCAATTATTATCCCCGGCTGCAAATTGTTGTTGTCCGATATCGCAGTCAGCTTGAGATCATATTTCCCCCCGCTTTGTATCACTGGTCCATATGCCCAATCGATTTGTTGAGGGTCGAATTCTGCCGGCAATTTTGCTAACTTGTTGAAAAATTTCGCGTCATCTATCTTCGCATCAATCCGCATTGAAAGAGCTTTATGGCTCATTTGCTTCTCTTCATCAAGTAGGCGAGACATTTCATCAACGAAGTACTCAGACATCAGACCACTGCATGCCCGCGACGCATTACGTATTGATACCTTTGTCGCGTTAGCCAGTCCCACCTCCGAAGACATGCAAAACTCACTAATTCATCAGTATCCTTGACAGAGAGAGTAGCAGAGAGAGCGGGCGAAATATCAACTTCTTCAACTTCATTTGACAAAGTTGCATAAGCCTTCTTCCAATCTTCTGCGAAAGGACCTGCGGTTGTGTCTTTCGGCAACACGCCAACCTTTTTCTTATTATCCCAGGACAGTCAGTTCCACCCAAGGACGCTCAAGTTGTGGAGAGTAGGACTCACGCCGGCATTTTTGATAACGTCAATGCACTTTTCAAACGATTTCATCTTCTCATCCGGATTCTTCGACGTCACTAATATCTCCACGGGAATCTTGCCACCTTTCAAGGGCTCAAGGTGCTTAGCTGTAATTAAACGTGCATGTCAGTAATCAAGGCACTGCCAAATTCATATCATATGATAAATCACCTTTCTTCGCTGTAGTCACCACATACACCATCTCTGTTGTAAGAACTAGAAGCGTAGCGGGAAATTCATAGCCAAGGAGCCAGAACTATTATTGATTATAGGTGAGCCGACAAGAATATAATAAAGGGCTATTGGAAGACATACGTGCATTGCGTTGTTCTTCTGAAAGCTGTTTGCTTCGTCGGTTTTGCCCATTAGGATGACAATCGACGAGACACCACCGAAGTTAGCATGACTAGATCGTTTGTCGGCTTTCCATGCACCATAGAAGCTTGATAATCTATTGAAGAAGGTAGATTTGTCTATCACAATCTCTTCGGCCATGATGTGAGTGTGTCAATGGGTGCAGCCTGCCAGCTTGTTGTAAACAATTCAGCTTGTGCAGAAAGTCCCCGTGGGAACCTTGAGAGGTAGGATGAAATTTAGTGGAGGGCAGCGAGCAGATTTTCGTAATGGGATACTCAAAGTACCAGATTTGCAGAAGGCTAAAGAAATGAATGTACTGGAGGATATCTTCACTTGAGCAATGAATGAGAGTAGATTGGGTCTCATTGACTAGCTCTTACTTCTGTAGAAGAAACTAAGATAGGGTAGCGCAAACGCGAAACCTCCGAAGGCGCGTTTCGCCTCAAGTGTTCCTGACAAATCAGCGATGTTTGAGTTGTTTGCTCAAAAGTACCCTTCCGTACTACCTCTCCACCCTGAAGGGTAAATATTCATATTCACTATTTTAAGTATCTCGTGAGCGATTCACTTATAGCTCCTCATATGAAGCTGTCATTAGTCACCATCTGTTTTCGTCATAGCTGTCCTCACCATACGAGTTAGCCCTCATTCAGTGTACAATGTGCCTCTAGTTAGGAACTTTTTCATGGAACCTTGCAGAGCGGGCTGGCAATGTTGTTGAAATAAGCGCTATGCTTATGTTTGTATCACTGATAAACTATCATCTCTAATGCTTTCTCACACGCCTCAGCATGGCCACTACTCAGACATTACCCACATTTGACCATACCTCGAGCTTGGATTCGGGGAACTCGTCACGCAGAAATCCGCGACAGAATGCAGCCACTGGTGCCTCTGCTGCGGGAGTGCGTGCTCTTAGTGCACAACTGGTTGCATTCTACTTCAGAGCACCTATCAAGGCATTTTTTCGCACCCGAGTTGAGTATGATTCTTGATTATCTCTTGGATATTGTCCTTTCAGTCACTGACAGCCCATCCTCTCGTTCAGTTATATGGTATGCGGTTGCATTGTTCCTTCGCCGGCCTGGTTGCACTGATCTCTGGAGTCCATGTCAACTGATCTATATGGCTCTTCCTATTATTTCGCTAGGCCTTCGCTAGAGCCGTCAATCCTCATATTGCGAAATCCGGTTGGTCTCTGCACACAACCACTCCGGGGTTACTTGTCCATGCCGTTCGCACATACGGGTGGCGCTTCATTCCTAATCAAGTTATGCCGCCTCTCCTAGCAAATGCTGGGTTGGTTTACCTAGCCTCAAACTTGGTTACATGGGTTGTCTAACTGCTATGGATAGGATTGGCGCCGTCCTTTATACATCTTATCTACAAGTCCTTGGTGCTTTGTACGAACCAGCGTCTCAAGGCATCAAACGCGTATACCCACCTGCTCCACCTTCAAGCACATTTGCAGCTGGACTTATAGCGGGCACAATTCAGTCAATAGTAGCGGCTCCTCTGGATGCGCTTCAGGTCCGCCTCCGAGCGAGTGACTTGCTAGAGGGCCCCTACAAGAGCATGTGGCATTATGGCCGCCATAAACTCAATCAAATTGGGGTGCGTGGTATCTTCGCAGGGTGGGGCTTATCCTTCACGCGCGACGCTTTTGGTTATGCAGTATTTTTCTCTTTCTTTGAGTTCGTGAAGTCGCAAGCCTACTATTCATTTCTGACCTGGTACTACGGCTCACGGCGGACTCATTACGTGGAACAGTCACAGCACATCCAGTCGAGTGACCGCGGTGTACCGCTCATAAGACCACATTATGCTCTGGAGCCATGTTTCTTGATGGCTGCAGGTGTTGCAGCTTCAATTGCTCAACAGAGTATACAGCACCCGCTAAGTGCTATTCAAAGCCTCCATGTTGCCCGCTTGGAATACATTGACCATCAGGCGAGTCTTCATCCTTCAAAAAGGGAAATGCTACGCCTGTACTACTCTGCATACCAAGAAACCTTGAAAAGATGCAGGAGGAAGGCATATAGGGCAGGTGGCTGGCGTCGTTGGTTGTTTCGTGGGTTTGCAAGGGACGCTATTCGTCAGGTACCTAGCACTAGTGCAGGCTTGGTGATATTCGAGGTGGTGCGTCGTAAGTACGCTAATATGGCAGACGCTGTATATATCCAGAAAGATGGTTATGACATTCTTTTAGCATGATAAACATGCTGGTTCAATCATTGCGCTCCTCCCCCCCCCCCCCCCCCCGAAAAACCCACGAAAAAAAAAAAGGCTACTTTCGAAGAAGGATGTGTGGTGTGTGCGGTATGACAGCTAGGTTGATATCGGATAGAAAGTGTTAAAATGATAAAGTTCATTGTCGCTTGTGGTCCATGAAAGCTAGCTATACATTGTAACGACGAGTAGTAAAGGGGCCACCTATGTTGTTGACTACTGTCTACTACTACTACTAGTAGTAGTAGTAGTAGTGTTAACCCAGGTGATAACCACCGATGTCCTACGGACAAATCATATTATTATTACGTCGTGGCATTACTTACAACTAATATATACAAAGAGTCTGTCGACACGTGTGTTCCAAGCGATAGCCGCGAATGACTAACCAGCTTTGTTTCACTCCTTTTGAAGTGTCTTAATGTATCAAGAGCTATCAAACAAGGTACCAATCCTCAGTTAAGTAAGCCAAGACACCTCTTGGTTATAGTGACCCAAGCCTACAATTACAGGTATATATAGGACCGTATAATACGAGTCAAGTAGCTTGTCGGATCAATAACATGGTACAGATTCCTGGGTCTATATGGGCTCTTTCCACATAATCGGGGCTCCCAGGTATATGCCTTGCATAACAGTATTGTTGGGAAAATATCACAGTTCACGAGTTGTTATATATAGTAAGAGTTGAAAGCAACCCAGGTAGGTGAGGATTATGAACGACCACACCTACCTGGGTAAATACGGTTGGGCACGTACTGGAAGGGTACCTTCTTTAGCGTACCATGTTGACGACAATGCTCATCAGCGCTTCCATCTGTGGCGGTGCGATCAACGTAGTTTACTGGGCAGAATCTCGTACCCACTTAGTAGTGTCAGTGTTTGCGGGGTCTCCGACAACCCCATCAAGGTACGTAACAGTAGTCACATCGATGTTTTGACAGCTGCCTCCCCTAGTCATCTTATCATGGCTAGCCCCCCTGGAAAACGCAACAACCTTGGGACGGATTTATGTACACAAGCCAAAGGCCACCTTTTAACCAATTTCCGAACATATGTTCAGCCTTAGGTCATCTTGCTTTCCCCTTTTGCTCTTGAGGTTCTCCACCTGATCATTATTTGGCTGCTGAAACTCCGGGCACCGTCATCCTGCGCTGTTGATCTGCCAAGTATTGCCTGTCTCGTGAACAAACCCCCCAAAGGATTGTCATCACCGCTTTCTACACCCTTTCGGCATCCTGTGAACAGTTGGTTCACCTCACTCGCTTGTCTCCGCTTTGGCGCGTGGTCTTCCATCCTATTGCAGCGATCACTCTGCACCGCTGTCCTTCTGATCCATCCCTTCAAAGACATTAGCAGCTGTCTTTACATGCCGCTTTGATGAAAACGCACAATTCGGGTTTTTGCGGAGCGTTACGAAAATTACCAGCTCTCCTTGATTTCTACTCGCAGCGATCTTATACTCTGGTCGCGTGAAAGAGTGGTGACAGAAAGAAAAAAGCTAATATCCAACCAAGAAAGGGGGGCTGTCAATCCCAGCCCATCACAACCGCCAACATTCCTCTCACAACGTCCCCGGCCCATACTTCCTCTGGCATACCCTTGCAAAATCTTCCTTCACATTCAAGGTCCTCTGTCCCACAGCCTGCTAAAGTAGTCGAATCTGCTAGTGGGAGGAGCAGTCGACGCTCTTCCTCTATATCGACTCACCCCACTGGGTCTGAGCAGTTTACCTGGACCGACAGTGGAGATCTGACGGAACAGTTTGCTAATGCCGAAGATTCTCTTCGGATCCCACTCAGAAGCTCTGAAGATCGTGAAAGCTCTGATCGGGTGGAATCCAGTGTGCGGACCGAGAAACAGAATCGTGTCCATTACCCCAGTCAGCTTGTTATCGGTGAAGACGACATTGAGAAGATCGAAATACCCTGCCCTCCACCTCGGAAGATTTCACGAGCAGAGCGCCTCTTAGCTGTCATAATGTCACCCAATAACCGACAAAATGCACAGTTACATGGCTTGGTTGGGAAGCCATTACTGTAAGAGGTTTCGTTATCGAAAAATGTTACCTACTAGCTCTACTGACCAGCTATGTAGGTATTTTACGAGTGTTTTCGTATCCTTGGGCGTTTTCCTTTTTGGCTATGACCAAGGTGTTATGTCTGGGATCATAACGTCCGTCTTCCCTTTTTTTTTACGGAACGGAGGGCTTTGCTGACACACGATCAGAGGCTGGTATTTCAAGGATTACTTCAATCAACCCTCGCGAGCTGCAATAGGTACGGTGGTTGCAATCCTTGAAGTAGGGGCTTTCATATCCTCTCTACTTGTCGGTCGAATCGGCGACTTGATAGGACGTCGCAAAACGATCCTGTATGGCTCTATAGTATTTTTCATCGGCGGTGCATTACAGGCCTTTGCTACCGGTTTGCCTATGATGATGGCCGGTCGTATCGTTGCAGGTTTGGGCGTTGGGGCCTTATCGACGATTGTACCAGTCTACCAGTCTGAAATATCGGTATTTGCAACCACCCTCGTTGCATATTGCTTCGGATGTTTTGCTGATTTACTTCAAGCCTCCCCACAACCGAGGGAAACTGGCATGTATCGAGTTTACAGGGAACATCTCCGGATATGCAGCCAGCGTCTGGGTGGATTATTTCTGTAGCTTTATAGAAAGTAATTACTCATGGCGCCTACCATTGTTGTTCCAGTGCGTCATGGGTGCTCTGCTTGGTGTGGGTAGCCTCCTTATTTGCGAGTCGCCAAGGTGAGTCCATGCGTGACATGCAGAAGAAATAACCGTTCACCATGCTTATGCAAGACTAGGTGGCTGTTGGATAATGACCACGATGAAGAGGGTATGGTTGTCATTGCAAATCTATATGGAAGTGGAGACTTGCACAGTGACAAAGCCAGACAAGAGTATAGAGAGATCAAGATGAACGTTCTCCTGCAAAGGCAAGAAGGCGAAAGATCTTACACAGATATGTTCAGACGTTACTACAAAAGGGTCTTGATAGCGATGTCGGCACAGGCCTTAGCTCAGCTTAACGGTATCAACGTCATCTCTTATTACGCTCCGCTTGTATTCGAATCAGCAGGTTGGGCTGGCCGTGACGCTATATTGATGACTGGGATCAACGCAATCTCGTATCTGGCCTCTACTGTACCTCCTTGGTATCTGGTGGATCGCTGGGGAAGGCGCCCCATCCTTCTTTCTGGAGCGGTGGCAATGATTATTTCTCTTTCCCTGATTTCCTATTTCATATATATCGACGTCGTGGCGACACCTACACTGACTGTCATCTTTGTCATGATCTACAATGCTGCGTTTGGTGCGTCATGGGGACCCATACCATGGCTCTACCCCCCCGAAATCCTGCCATTGAGCATTCGTGCGAAGGGCGCAAGTCTCAGTACAGCCACTAATTGGGCTTTTAACTGGCTTGTCGGAGAGGTCACGCCTGTCTTACAAGCCGCTATCAAGTGGCGCTTGTACCTGGTGCATGCGTTTTTCTGTGCCTGCAGCTTTGTCCTAGGTAAGCGCCATGTCACCTTTTCCTTGTGATTGACTATACGTCTAATTTATATCCTACAGTCTTCTTCTTATATCCGGAAACGAGTGGTGTCCGCTTGGAAGACATGAACTTGCTGTTTGGGGATGCGACTACTGCCATGCCAACACCAGCAACTCAGGGAGAACGAGGCTCCCTTATGAGTGCTGGCTCTCCTGTACCTTCACTTGACATCAGACGCCAGTATGGCCGTCTGGGGGCAGACAGTGCCATTCCTGGCTTGGAAATTGACCCACCGAATATAAGTTCTAGTACCGGTAGCAAGCCTGGCAGGACAGGCTTCCGGGAAGACAGTAGTAGTCGACCAGAGGGGTTTGGAGGCTGGATTTCGAATATGATCACCCGACACAAAGGATCGGAATCAACAGGGCAGGGCGGACAGTATAGACGTCTCGGGCAAGGGGAGAATGAGTAGGGCTACCGCGTATGGTCCAGTCTCATGTAACAGATATATATACATCCTGTTGCTGTACCTACCTCTTCTACCCTTGTTATCTCCTTTTATTATTCCATATGTACACCGACTTAACTCTTTTTTTCTCTTTTTAGTGGACTGGCACTACGGTATTCCCGACACCGGTCTCGCAGATGCTGATCTCGTCGAGACCCTATTTCGATCTACTGCACCGTTTTCACTTTCTAACATTATTATGTATGCATATAATTATATACCAAGACGTGTACCATGCTCCCAGAATAGGTTTTAGAAATATGACATCTCCTGAATTGGTACGAAGCGTGAGGCTCGTATCACCCAAAATCTCATTCCGTGACTTCCGAAATGAGAATCCGCGTACAACTTTCAACTCGAAGCCTCAGTATATCAGGAACATGTCTTCTTAGAGCCTTTCAAGCTCAGAGATATATCTCTGACTTACATGATATACCACCACCGTCCGATGATGTGGAAGCAATGGGATTGAGGGATAATAAACCATTAGAGAGAAATCGGTCCTTGGCCCTCTTGCATATCATAGTACTAACGATAATCAAAATACAAAATCCATGCTTTCACAGGTCTCATGCCGACCTAGATACATGAGAAGCTAACCATCACACACTCATGTCCCGATGTGAAACATAGCACCCCGCCTCTCCTAGTAATAACGTATAGTTTATTCGTCTAGGTTTGGGTTTATGACCCTTGAGCGTATACACAATTTTGTGCAAGATCAGTTATTATCAATCTATACCCTGACCCATTCACAAATTCCCGTACGTAGTTGTATGGACAAATTGTCCATACCTACACCTCAGCCAAGCATCTCATTCCCCGAAGCTAAATCAGCAGGCAGTTTACGCCGCCTTCCCTACGCTTCCCCCCCTATAGATCGAGAACCTATGAACTTGATATACCTTTAGCTGTTATAACTGTATTACCTTTTTATTTTATAATAGGAAAAAATAATCTAACAGCCAGTGAGGTAAATACGCGCTCAACCAGTTCGTTCCCCACAATCTGTGCGTTGCATAATAGCGTCAGATTTGACAGACTAGTACATCACAAAGGGGCTTCCGCTTCCCCAGTCTTTCGCAAAACCTCAAGAGCCAAACTTCATCAACTCATGGTACATATCTGATACTGCCGTTAGATGCCTGTTCTAGGTGACAATGATGCTGATGCTCAATTCAGCTTGAAATCTTGCTCTCGGAAAATGACTTTCAAAGAACAGCAGCTAAAGCTGGAGTCACCAGATTACGGAAATTTCAAATTCTGCATCGCATTTCTATAATATATTTATATCGTGTCCAGACAGCGAGGGCTGATGAGTCACTACAATAATCAAGCTCGGCTAAGTGTGGTAACATGAAGAATTAGTTCAACAGTAAAGAAGACACTTCAAAGCATCTGGGACCAAAATTTTGTCCAAGGGTGGGAAGTTTGGCCACACCAAAATCAGGACATCTTTCATGATACCTGTGGTCTCTCACACATGCACACAACTAGACTACTATATGATGCCATCAAGCGGTAGTGACATGTCTGCCCCCATTAGACACGCTATACCTCTCTCAGTAATTCGCCGTCACTGCCGACGAACAAGACGGAGGACGCAGTCGAGGTTCCAGAAGTGGCCCAGGCGGAACGGAGCTTTCAGGCCACGCGCCCGAGCTTTCCGTGTTATCTCCAGGCCAACTCGCCATTTGCGCTTCCACTCCGTCTTACATTCTGAGTAGGGAACCCTTCGAGAGGCTGACTTTCTTTCCCACACTCAACCCTTAACCCCTTTTCTTTGGCTTTCAATCTTTCTATTCTTCCCTTTCATTACCTCCAATTCCCAGATTTTCCTTATCAATTCAACAAAAAATTCCATTCTTTACCCATTTGACCCTGGTGAAGCGGTGTGTTCTCAATCTATCCTGATTTCCCCTCCATACTTTTGCCTTGTGTTCTCAAGGTACCTTCTCATCCACCCCTCTCTTTTTCTTTCTTTCCTCTCTCCAGCCCCCAGAAAAAGCTGGAGTACTGCCTGCTAGACCAAGCATTTTAATTTTTCTATAAGAAATGTTTGCAACTCACACCTAAAGTCAATCCCAGCGAGCTGCTCTACATTCAACCAGCTTCCTGCGGCAGTCTGATACTGTATACTTGCTTTCTCTTCCGCCACTCCTTGTCCCTGCATTTGTTTATCTGTTCATTATACATCAAATATGGTGGGAGTAAGCCAGGCATCAAGCTCTGGGGTTGATCTCTCCTCTGAAGTGCGGCGCAGAACTGCCCCTCTCACGCAGGAGCTCAGTCGTGCTCCTGATCATGATGCATATGATGCCAAGAAATTGAAGCAAGAGGTATGATGCTCGCCTTAGCCTGAAGCTTTATAAAGGTTTACTGCACTTGATACCCGATAATATTGACGCATGTCTTAGCCTACCTCTTTTTGTTCTGCTGTGGCAAGCTGGGAGCCTATATTTGCACCTCTCTTCCTGACTGCTCTGGCAATCTTCACCCGCATGTATCATATTGGTCGTTCAGATATCGTGACATGGGATGAGGCACAGTAAGTGCATGAATCCTTTCTTAATTTGTCAGTGCAGAGTGCTAATGTATTGGTTGGTAATAATACGCAGCTTTGGAAAATTCGGTTCACACTATCTGAAGCGCGAATTTTATTTTGACGTACACCCACCACTGGGAAAGATGCTAGTTGGCTTGTCGGGTTTCCTTGCTGGCTATAATGGCTCGTTCGAATTCAAATCCGGTGAGAAGTATCCCGAAGACGTCAACTATACGTTCATGCGTATTTTCAATGCGGCTTTCGGCGCGGTATGTGTCCCTCTTGCTTACTATACCGCACGGGAGCTGGGTTTTCGCAAGGCTACTGTCTGGCTTATCAGTCTGATGGTGCTATTCGAGAACTCGTATGCCACCATCTCAAGGTTTATTCTCCTTGATTCCATGCTACTATGCTTCACGTTTACAACCACATTATGTTGGGCCAAATTTCATCGACTGCAGAATGCTAGCTTTTCGGCCGAATGGTTCGCGTGGCTATTTCTCACCGGCGTGAGCATCGGCTGTGTCTGCAGTGTCAAATGGGTGGGCTTCTTCTGCACCGCTATTGTGGGCCTTTATACCGTTGAAGACCTATGGAACAAGTTTGGTGACCTTAAAATGCCTGAGGTAAGCGGCTTACAGGAATGTAAACAGCTTTAGCTCATTGGTTAATGCTCGGCAGGTTGTGGTAGCGAAACATCTAGTTGCTCGCATAGTGGGCCTAATAATAGTGCCCTGCATTGTCTACATTTTGTCTTTCTATGTTCATTTCTGGATTCTCGAGAATAGTGGTCCAGGAGATGCCCAGATGAGCTCACTTTTTCAGGCAAACTTGAAGGGCACTGAGGTCGGGAAGGATAGTCCTCTTGAGATTGCACTGGGATCGAGGGTGACACTGAAGAACATGGGGTATGGTGGCGGACTTCTCCATTCGCATATCCAAACGTATCCTGAAGGGTCAACACAACAACAGGTGACGTGCTATCACCATAAGGATTCCAATAACGATTGGTTTATCTACCCCAATAGGTATGAGCCGGACTATGACCCCGAGGGCTCTTTAAGATTCGTTGGTGACGGGGACATCATCCGTCTCATTCATGGGCAGACGGGTCGGAATTTACATTCACATGCTATATCTGCACCCGTTACTAAGAGCCAATTTGAAGTCTCGTGTTATGGCAACATTACCATTGGCGATGACAAAGATCACTGGGCGGTTGAAGTCGTTGATGATGTTGCATCCAGGGACAGGAGCAAGATTCGGACACTTACTACTGCATTTCGCCTGAGACATCCTGTCCTGGGCTGTTACCTGCGTGCAGGAAATGTAAACCTGCCCCAATGGGGCTTCAAACAGATTGAGACAACATGCGTGAAGGAGAATAAGCCCAGTGATGTCTATACTCATTGGAATGTCGAGTCACATTACAACGAAAGGCGTAAGTTCACCCCTATTCCTGACCTATGCCGTCCAAATCGTGGCGATCGAGTATTGATTTTGTACCTAGTTCCACCAGGCGACCCCGGATCCTACAAGTCTCCGTTCTGGAAAGATTTTATTCATTTGAATGTCGCTATGATGACGTCAAACAATGCTCTTGTCCCCGATCCGGACAAGCAAGATGACCTCGCCTCCAAGTTCTGGCAATGGCCTATACTCAATGTGGGCCTCCGTATGTGCTCCTGGGATGACAATACCATCAAGTACTACCTTCTCGGAAACCCTTTCGTCTATTGGGGGAGTACTTTGAGCCTTGGAGTATTTGCGCTTCTGGTTCTCTGGTATCTCGTGCGTTGGCAGCGAGGATATACTGAACTTACCCAAGCGGATATTGACCACATCCACTATTCCGGTCTATACCCAGTCATTGGATGGGTGTTGCATTATCTACCATTTGCGGTCATGGCACGAGTGACTTACGTCCACCATTACTATCCGGCACTCTACTATGCCATACTCACATTCGGATTTTGTGTTGACTGGTTCACACAACGGATGAGCAACAAGCTACGTTGGGCGATCTATACCTTGCTTTACTGCGCGATCATTAGCTTGTTTGCATACTTCCGAGCTATTGTGTTTGGTATTGAAGGGCCCAGTCAGCAGTGGTCTCATCTGAACTGGTTCAATGGCTGGCGGATAGCCAACTGAGCTGCCCCACCTCACCACCACCACCACCACCATCACCATAATCATAACCCGTATCGTCAACACCTGATTACCTATGACGCTTCTCGTCATCGCTGTACCTCATATGCGATACCATACTTGTGTCTGCTACTATTGGCTTGTGGACTGTCTTCTCTATAGTCAGATGTAAGATGTTAAGACTGGCAGGATTTCAGGTTTTAGTATATGCCCCTCTGCCCTTTTGTAGCAATTAGTATTTATTGCTTCATACTTCTGTACCAACTGCCTTGATTCTCATTAATTCGAGATGTATATGATCTAAGGTCACCTAGAGATTTATGGGCGAAATCCGAGGCTATTCTATATTTTCATAGAACCATACTTCCGCAAGGGCGACTATAAGGACTGTTACATGTTCGCACAAGATATGGTTCCGTTCCACCTTTGAACAATAAGCTCGATAGAAGGTATAATATTCTGTATGTATCAACAACAGCCTCCTCCCAGGCCACTTCCACCCTTGCGCATGGCATCATCCAAGCCTAAAGTGACAGTGTTTGGGATACCCGGGTTTGATCCGCCGGTGGCACCATAGCCCTTCACACCACTTCGACGGTCGTAGAGGTCATATTTGCCAGCTTCGATGTTGCGATATATCATCTCAGCCACCTCAAGAAAAGCACGCTCCACGTTCTCTCCAGATTTTGCGCTTGTCTCAACATACCGTGTGATGTTATTCAAACGGCACCACTCCTCCGCTTCTTGCCTAGTGACCGTCTGATGCGATCTCGAGTCATCACCGGCAAGATCACTCTTGTTGCCGACCAGAACAATTACGATGCCGTCTTCTGCAATTTGCCGCAGATCATGAAGCCACTGTGTGCACGATACAAATGTAGAAGGCCTAGTAATATCGAAGACCAGGAGGGCACCCGAAGCACCACGGAAATAAGAGCGGGTAATAGATTTGTACGTTTCTTGGCCAGCGGTGTCCCATAGCGACAACTTCATTCTTTTCTGGAGCTCTTGTACCCTACGTGGAGGACTGGGCAGTCCAGAAGCGACTGATTCGCTGGTTGTAGCCGTAGCGGGCAATAAGGGCGAAGGTGTAATTGAAGGGGCACGATTGCGGATAGAACCGTCGAACTCGCCTCCCAAGGCCTTTGAAGCTGGCGGGCCCACCGGAACAATCCGCGAACCGAACTCGACACCGATTGTAACATCATGGGAGGACGAAAAGCGCCCTTCGCAAAGTCGGACCGTCAACTAGAAAGTCGCAGCCGTGTGTCAGCAGTAAGATGGTCTGTCAAGCTTGAGTGTACCCACACTGGACTTCCCAGTCCCCGAGTCCCCAATGCAGACAAGTTTAGCAATATAATCCCATGGCTGTGACATGGATACAGCAGAGGAATGTCGCTTTTGCCGGCACTTGAGACGTTAAGTGAATATTCGTTCGGTCGATCGATGCCGGTGGACTTTAGAGGTCTGTAGGAGTCATGCTCCCAAAAAAAATCAACTGCTGGAAGATGGCGCCCAAAATAGAACGGAAACTCGCCTTGAGAAATAGAAAGGATGTACCAACCTGTGCTCGGTCGGCCTATGGTGAGATAATCGTATGATAATGATGCTGAGTACTCCGTAAGCTTCTTGGTGCGCAGCACGGGGAGAGATTCTCTTTTTACGTTCAGCCTTACTAAACTCAGTCGGGTATAACGCTGGATTCCAACCTACTAGATAGTACGGGATAAGATAGGACGGAATTGATAGCCAGTCTGGAGTAGCCAGTAGATAACTTTCGCTCGGTAAGCCAACCAAGCTATAGTGGAGCTGCCGAGGAATGCTGGGTACAGAGCAGGTAGCTGTTATGTAATGATGGCCATTCTGACTATCCACTGGTTAAGTAGCTACCATACTTTAGTGCTATCTAGTTCTCCAAAGTACTATTACTAGTTATCTATCTAAGCTACCGATTTGTATGGTCAAGCCACACATATATTGACTGCAAGGAAGATTCCAACCCAACCCCTTGTTTTTGGGGCATGGTCTGAAGTACTCCAGTTTCCTGCTCCGCACACCGAGAACATTCGTACTGGGCGCATTCTGCAGTCCAAGCAAGTTAAACCAACCAAGACGAATGGCATGGATGCTGAGTCATCTATCATCATGACCTTGCCTGATGACGCTTGCAACCTCACCTACTGATCGCAAGGGAAAACTACTTCCTTCGTACGCATTCTGCCTGTCTGAACTCTTCCTGCAGTTTATATCCCAATCCGTCATCTATTTTCTTCTTGATGGATAACCCTGTCCCATCTGGCTTCTTTGCTATGTAGTCCTTCGATTCCCACTCCGACTGAGTTTCAACTGCATCGGGCTTATACCGCTCACACCGCTTCGTCTGCCATAATCTGGACAACCAGTGATTTGAGTATAAGAAGTTTAGCGGCTCATTGGTCAAGGGCCAAGGTGTCAAAGAGAAGAGAACGAAGATAGAGAACCAGGTCAGACATGTTCTCCGAATGTATGATTATCACTCTGCTGTCCGTCTCTTATAAATTGACCAAGCTTTTCATCGCTCACTGTCTGCCCAGATGCCTCCCGTTTCCTCGCACAGTCCCAGTCACGGGTTGTGAACCATCCAGAAGACCCCCGAAGAAAGGGACATGAACGTCTCTTGCAACAACCTCGGAATTCTCTTTTGCCCTCCTCGCGCTCATTCTTCCACAGGAATGCGGCCGACCCATATCAACCTGCCGGTTCTCAACTATCAAGCTTCCCTTTTAGTTCGAGGGTTGTGTCTCAGCCTGCGCCTCTCTTCTACAGCGCTACTGACGAATTTCGAGAGGAGGATGATGAGGTTGAGCATGAGCGAGAGATTGCCGACTTCTATGCCTTACAAAAATCACGGCGTCAATTTGGGAGCAGCTACCTTAGGGAGTCTTCAGAGATTGGCGACGATAACGACTCTGCCAGCTCGAAGGAACAAAAGCCTCCCTATACTAGGGGGAAGGGCATTTGGAGCTCCTGGCGCGACGCCGAAACTAGCGACAGAGCGCAAGAGTTGCGTGCTGAATACGACGGGGAGCCACGCGGAACGGGAGATTCGGTTCAAGCAGAGCGAAACAGAAGCAGGCTCAGGGGAAACCTAGTTGACGTTCAACTGGAAGATACACTGGCATCCGATGTTGGCCGCGACCGGGCTGACTCTCCCGTATTTGGTGATGATAAACCGCCCTCCATTCAACGGTTTCGAGAGCAGCCACAGTCACGAACGGGCAATCTCGGAATAGACTCAGTCCTCTTGCCTATAGATTCAGATAACGCAGTATTGCCAGAAACATCCCAACCGCCAGGCATGTCACGGCCATACCGAATGTCGACTCCACCGATAGGCGCTAGCTCTCCAACTCATGATGCCTTCTGGGGTCAGTTATTTCTCATATCCGTGGCCTCTCTCTTCGCTACGTCATTTCTTGTCTACCTCCACACTTCACCTCCTTCTGGTGACAAGTCGAAATGGGGTGACACGGTCTACTTGACCATCCACAGTTCATTTTACCTGCTGGGTACCTATACTGTCGCGTCGATATTCATATCTCTGCTCTGGCTGGCATTATTACGTTCCTACGTACGTCCATTGGTCTACGCTGTCATCATCGCCGTTCCCATAATCCTGTATTCCTTCTTTCTCTACCCCTTTATCTCGAGTTTTGGAGGTACGTGGCACGGATCGAGTGTTCAGGACAAAGTCATGAGATGCGGGTCTATTGTTCCGTTTGTTTTGGCCAGTGCATGGATTTATAATGTCGTTCGAGGTCGCCACGCTATAGGGAGGGCCGTCGACATACTCGAATTTGCATGCCGCATCCTCGCCGTGAATCCAGAGCTTCTAGCTTTGGGGCTTGGTGCCCTCGTTCTCATTGTCTTATGGACCTGGCTATGGATGCTCATATTTACGCGAGTGTTTTTGGAAGGTCATCTTTCTCGGTCCAGCCTTTTTGTTGTCGATTCAAGCGGCTGGTGCTTAGGAGTCTACTATGTGCTCGTTTACGCATGGTCACTGGGAGTCATCGCTGGTATTCGACGTACAGTCACAGCTGCCGCCGTGAGCCAGTGGTATTTTCACCGCTATACGATGCCGGCGCCGACGTCCAGGCAAATAGTCCAGGCCGCAACTCTGCACTCCGTTACAACCCTTTTTGGTACAATTTGCCTATCGAGCCTCCTGGCTTTAATGATCCGCGTCCCGCTTTTGTTGCTTCCCGGTCGCATCGCCTCCCTTTTGAGTTTCTGCGCCTATTCGTTTGTCCCAACTCCTATAACTGCCCTTACGGACCCTCTTACCCTCACATATGCTTCCATTCATTCCCAGCCGCTTACAGTGTCCGCTCGTGGCCTGGTGCAGATGACAAACCTGACGCCCTCCATAGCGACGACTTCTTTACACCCACGGTCGTTCTCTTGGTCTCGTGAGCATTCTGGAGCTCTTCTCCCTTACCGACTTTCCAAGCTCATCCTGCATGCTGCTCGTCTCATGATGTCTCTTGCGCTTGGGTTTGGTGGCTGGGTGAGCACTGCCCGGAGCCTAAGTGTGATGGGTACCAACGGTTCAATCCGTGGAAGCATGTATGCCTATATGGTTGGGTTCATTGCTGGGACGATTGGTTGGAGTGTGTTGGGAGCAATTGAAGGTGTGATTGCAGATATTGTCGATGCATCAATCATTTGTTGGAGTAGCGAAGTTGGAGCCTACGGGCGAGAGGCAAGGTACTGTCGGGAAGCTGGCTGGCTCTTCGGCCAAGAGTCTGGTTCTGTTTCCAGGAATACGCGCTTTGAGGATGCATGAGTTATTACTTCTTAGCAGGTACCTGTGCGACCATGAAGCGAAGGTAAGATACTCATTGAGAGAACATCTACCGCTTAGTACTCGCCGCCCTGTCGATGCTGAGCTCGATAGGATTTTCGATGACTTGAAATCTGATGTTGGTTTTGCGCTTCGGGGATTTTGAGAGGTTTCGGCTTAGCGATTGTGTTTATTCCTTATCACTATGTCTACGGGAGACATCTGCTAAATGAACGACTTATGCCAGGTATCGTATCTAGATCGTTATTAGACCCTCTATTTTATTTGACTCTTTTCCATTCCTTGGCGTATTAACCTACAGGCCCAAGTGCCCGGGTCTCAACTTCTAAGTTTGAATGGCATGGATGTACGCGAGATGATATAGCATGCAATCGATTCAATTCGTGCACCCCCAACATATTCCCCCGACCTACGTTGGAGATAAATAAAAGATGAATGTTTGCCTCCTCTTAAGCATAAGCACATACAACCCGTGGTATCATGTAATAATAACAGCAGGCAAAATATATTCCCTGTACACGCCTGCTGCCACAAACGCCAACTGAAAGTCATTGCAATGGACCAGAGATTGTGACACGAACGACATAGCATAACGCCTGGATTAATTCGTCGCATTTACAGCTTGAGTCGGCTGTTCCATCCCACACCTTCCTTGACGCACCACTCACTCAGAAATGCGTGACTGAACCGAACTACCTCAAGGGGGGCGTTGGTCCGTCCAACTGGCAAAAAAAATTCGCCAGAATAGTCGCCAGCTTTCAAGCGTTGCCTTCCCAACTCCGAGAAATTCTTGGATCGTTTAGACCAGGTACTTGGAAACTCACGCGAAAGCACATCTTCGCAAAGACCACGTGAGCCTTCAAGCCATAATTTCTGGGATTCCCTATAGCACTCGTGCGGTCGATTCTTCAGCTCCACAAACTCTTTCCGGTTCTTTCTATGGTCATCTGACGGAGCAGCATTTTCATCGCTTCCTGGAGTGGGCACTGGTGTGTTCTCCCCAGGCAGAGGTGTGGCAGCAAGCCGCTCAAGATCAAGTGCGTGAATGGCATCATAAGAGACAGCACCAAGTATGAGGCAGAGGCTATGTAGGCGCGGATAGGGAGTGCTGTTCTTCTTTACAACACGCCAATATGCGAGAATAGATAGCCAGGAAGACGAATCTGCAGTTTGCCGGGATAGTGCTTTAGACTGATCATCGGCAACAAATGCCACGATGAAGCAAAGAATAGCCTCAATTGCTGTAGCGGCCGCGAGCTTTTCATCAACGGTAGTTACGTGATCTTTGGCTGTGTGTCGCTCCGCAGCGTGCTTTAGATCCCGTCCCAGATTTGAATATTTTTGATACTCATCTTTCCAAGCTCGACGGTCGCATTGACGGGATGCCGTATGACTCGATTGCGGAGATGCAACTTTTGTAGGAGTGGCCGAAGTACCGGGGCGCTTGACGGCTGGGTGCGAAGACGGCTTTCCGTCGTTGCCGCTAAATGGATCAAGCCGGTTGAAAGAAGACTTGGTGTCTTTAACTGGCGTGGTTGAACTAGGTTTCGATTTGTCTGTTTGATATACTGCCAGATTTGAGGAGAGAGACATAGGTGTTTGGGGCTTTTCGGGGAATTTTGAGTGTTCCCGAGTGACGGGAATGGTGCCCGTATGCTTCCCTTTCCCTTCCAACCGTTGTGACTTGTTGTGGTCGGGATGTTCCGACGCTGGAGCTTTCGCTGCCGCCTGCCTGGCTTTCTGAGTCTGGGAGGGCTCAACGTCTAGCGCATTCTTCACGGGTGACCCTGGCGGGGCCGGTTTTTTTTTGCCAGAAAATTTCAGGAGAGCCTCAATTCGCTTCCTGTTCGATCTTCCATATTTCAATTTCACCACTAATTGCGCTCTAGCCGAAGCATCCTGCAGAGCCGGTGGCGAGCCGGTTGATCTTGACATCGTATTCCCCACATGGTTCTTTGAATTACTTTTCGAGGCCAGAGAAGCGTCTAGAGTTGAGACATCCGTGCTTGAGGGCCATCGTTTGTCATTTCCATGATATGATTGCCTGCTATGCAAGCTCGAAGAGTGTGCTGAGTCGGGCTGTGACGAAGCGTGAACGGCAGATTTGGCCTTCTGAATTCTTGGTCCCAATGACGAATCATTATTCGAAGCGCCGTCGCTTTGTGATGATCCTAGGCCTAAGAGGCCTTCCCCTAGTCCAGCTAATTCCCTCTCAATATCAGGAGGAAGGGTAGGAGACAGAAGTCGAGGCAGTCTTGGACTGCTTGAAGTTGGGGGAAGGGTCGGTGACAGGAGAGCAGGTAAGCCGTTACCCTTCAGCCGGTCGGTCTTTGCAGGAGTTGGAGATATCCTCGGCTTCTTTGGGGCCGCGACCTTATGTTGTGATCTCCATGAATCCGAGGTGCCGTCGACAAACGGGCGCTTGCGCTCGATGCCCCCCGGGTTAGACGAAGCTCGCGATTGGACGGGTGGCTTTCCCACGGGCTTTTGCGAGTCATTGTTAGGAAGGCTAGCCCTAGCAGCTCGCTGACTTGCATCGGGAGTGTTAAGGACCGAGGTGCTTTGGTTACCGACTTCAGGGCCGACAGGGGAAGCGGAGGCGCCACTCTTCCTTCTGTTCCTGTAGTCGTTCAAACTTATCTTCTTCTTCACCGAGTTGTTCGATGGTGTGCTTGCAGCACTCTGGGCTCCGGAACGCTGATCGGACATGACGTTTCCTGTCGCGTCAGACCAGTCACCCACAGCCACTAGCAAGGAATCTCCTTCGTGATGTGTAAGGAATGTCATATATTGTAGTTGTTGCTCCTCCGGCGTAAACGGCCCGTCATTACCCACAGCCCAGTTGTTGACAAAGCGACTCCCCAGGCGGAAAGGCACATCAGTGGGAACAGTGAGAAGGAAGGGATAAAACGGAAGAATTTCTTCCCTAAGCCGCTTCAATCGTAGATCGATTGAGGACTGATCGGAGTTATGTGTTTGCTCGTTAACAAACTTGGGGTCTTTTATTTCATCATCCGCGGAGCGATAGGGCTGGTCCCCCGACATTGCAGTCCGTTGATCAAAAGCCTACGTGGCTGACGGCGAGCAAGCTCTTTTCAACTCTGACAGGCTGATACCAAGTATTCCTTCTTTCCTTCTCTTTTGGCCTCCCTGAATGGCGCTAGCTCCCAGTATCATGTGGCTCCGCGAAGTGGAGTTCAATTGCCGGCACCATAGAACATCTCACTTCCCAGGAACGGGTTCAGGGACCACCTAGTAACCGTGTGAGAATTCACCTTCCAAGAACTGCCAGCGCGCCTTCTTATTGTTCTTAAGTTTTCCTCTTTTACTCTGTTTCGTGTCTAGATCTGGATCCGAGCGGACTGGGCTCCTCGTTGGGTTTTGCCGATTGCCCCAAAGACTGCGACCTGGGACGTTAGGAGAGACCAGAATGAACGAGCGTTCAACAACACAAGCGCCTTCACCCACAACCAGCCGGGCTGAAATCAGCTGGCGGGAAACGCTGCACAAAATTGGCTGGAATGAGGAACGCGATAAGGAACCAGCCCCGACCTGTCGTACAGAAATGGCGTCGACAAACAGCCAATGTATGCCGGAGCTAGAATGAGACGCTCGAGGCCATAAGGATAGAGGACAAGAGCCTCTGGCTCGCTAACGTTGACGTGGGCGTGGCAGCAAGGAATAGACGGCAAGGAAGGAGAGCGCCGAGGAGCTTCCTCTGGAGATGAAATCGCCTTTCCGTCCAACAGTGAGGGTGGGTTTTTGGGGGGGGGAGGGGATTGAGTCGCGACTGGGGATGCTGGCGGTCGAAGCGGAAACGCTTGGCAGTAATTGATTTGCTTATAATTAGTCTAGAGCGGGTCTCCTCCGCTTATCTACTAGGCACCATACTCCGGGCCATAGTTCCAAAGATTGGAGCTCTTACTTCTCAACCAGCCTTCTCCGACTACGTACCACATGCCATGCTCCACGGCGCTCGTTCTTATGTCCTTATCTATGTGCAGTGACAGAGGAGTTTGGTCAACAAGGGACTCAGGTCTATATGTCCTAGTATCTGGCCATCACAAAGTAAACCCGCATATAAGGCAATATCCCTCAGATATCATTGGCTTGACGGTTTATCAGAAATCACCAGGCTTGAATCTAAATTCATCCAACTATAAAGGCAGGATTAAACTTGACACTTTATACAAATATGACCGGTCATATTCACGAGCGATCGTCTGACGCGAACTTTCCCTGCCAAAATGCCCTAAAATGCTTTTGCTGCCCGGCAGCGGAGATATCATCAATCTCCATAGGAGTCAACCGAAAGGTTAAGGCGCGCAAATAGCTGCTTAAGCGGGCTTCCTTGCTACTAGTCGTGATTGTTATACAGCCACGGTCTATAGACCATCTCAGAAGAATCTCCCCTTCACTGACTGCATATTTTTTAGCCAGGTGTGGCAGCAGGTCATCCACTGGTCCTCCTTTTGACCGGATGATAGGAGTCAAAGGCCCATAGCTGGCTGTTTGGATACCTTGGCTCTCATGAAAGTCGAGTAGATTGCCATGCTGTAGATAGGGATGGAATTCGATCTGGTTGATAGATGGTGGAACTGTAGCCGTTTCCAAGATAGCCTCCAAATGGCTCCGCAGGAAGTTAGATACGCCGATTGACCGTGCCTTTCCAGCGGCCTTCACTTGCTCCATAGCAGCCCAGGCTGTTTGAAGGTCGCTATATGAGCTGCCAAAAAAAGGCGAGTGAATTAGATACCTATATTTAACACCCATTAGCCCTCGCATCTGGCAGTAAACAAAAGTTCTTCAAGCCGGTAGAGATATATTGCCGGGCACGAATACCTACAGATCAACGTAATCGAGCTGAAGCTTTTCTAGACTTGCGTCGATTGCCCTTGGAATATCTGCGATATTTACGCTCACCTTAGTGGTTACGAATAGCTTATCTCGTTCCACACCGCTCTCCTTGATGGCAAGACCAAGCTCAGGCTCAGTCCTGTAAGTCTCGGCGCCATCAAGGTGGTGATACCCCAGTCGGATAGCATCTTTGATGGATTCAACGAGCTCTCGATTAATACTGGTATCTCCTTCCTTCTTATACCAAGCTGTGCCGCAGCCATATCCAAGCTGCTTCCGTTATCAGATGTAACTAGATTGATTGCCAGGTGGAATGCAAATGAAGTCTGCTGCTCCCACAACTTACCTGAGGAACACAGGTGCCGTCGTTCAACCTGACGGATGGCATAGATTTCATGGTGCTGACCATTTTAGTTGCTATCAGTTAGACTGGTGTGGTAATACCGTTGTTCGTGGACACAGCCAAACTAAGCCTTTCGCAAGGGATAAGGAGACCTTTCGAAGTTTTATTATTGGGTGCAGGACGGATGATGTATTAGGATCTTGATCGGATCAGCTCCGGCTCCACAAGCCATCCAGCTTCATCCCGCGCTGCGCGTGTCCTGAACCTCTGAACCCTCCGCTCGCGCCCCCCCTTCCCCCCTCCCCCCCTATCATTGTCCGACGACGAGATTCTATTTACATTGATAGACATTGTGTTAGTCAATCTGATAACTGATCAGCGTGTAGTCCATCAAATGGCAGTCAAATGCGGGATCGGTAGGCGGAACGGGTTGAGGGGAATGATGTCATAGCCCAGTCTCGCCTCGCCGGCTTACTTAAAACGACCCGTGTCAACTGCAAATACAGAGTAACTAGTTGGCTAACTAACTAATTGATCAAGTGAGAGACTAAACTTAACAGCTACACTGGGGTAATAGTCAAATTATTCTTATAGAACCCGGTAAAAACCGTCTTCCTATTTGCCTAGGTAGCTTGTCGAGGGCCCGTATATACCTGACATATCCCTCGCTCACTGTTTTAGGTCTTCCATGGGCTTATTTGTCGCTCATCCTGGCCTTCTCCGCGCCCGTTATATGTTGGCCCGCAGTACCCTCTACCCAACGCGGATCAGTCGAAATCGCTTAACCCAAATGGCGTCGCAGCTCTCCGATACCAACGAAGGGCTTTCGTTGGCCGAACTCCCCAAATCCAATATCTTCACTTCCAAGCTTCCTCCCGACCCAGCTTTTGAGACCCCTGAGGCGTCACATCGGGCTCCCCGTGAGACACTCGGCCCACGGTTAGTAAGAGGTGCGCTATATACCTTTGTCAGACCTGAGCCGGCGGAGGAGAGCGAACTTCTGGGGGTCAGTCAAAAGGCCATGAAAGACCTTGGTCTAAAGCCCGGTGAAGAGCTTTCCCCCAAGTTCAAGGCTTTAGTTGCGGGAAATGATTTTTACTGGGATGAAAATGAGGGTGGCATATATCCTTGGGCACAATGTTATGGAGGTGAGAGACGTTGAAGACCTATCAATCTCTTGGACCGAGATGAGCATTCACTAATAACTTTAAGGATGGCAATTGTACGTTTCTTGATAGTAAACATCTTTGCTCTTCGACATTGACAATTCGCAGCGGCTCGTGGGCTGGGCAACTCGGCGATGGAGTAAGTACTTGCTTCTAGATGCGAATTTTCATTGATAGAGCTTAAAGATTGGTTTTCCAGCGTGCAATCAGCCTCTTCGAAACTACAAACCCGAAAACAAGTACCCGCTATGAGTTACAACTCAAAGGTGCAGGGCGGACTCCTTATTCCCGCTTCGCCGATGGAAAGGCTGTGCTTCGTTCTAGTATCAGAGAATACATAGTATCAGAAGGTATTGCTTCCGCATGTCCTAATCGGGAAGCCTCGACTAACTGCGAGTAAAGCCCTTTCTGCACTTGGTGTTCCAACCACTCGAGCTTTGTCTATAACTCTATTGCCTCAGTCGAAGGTGTTGCGCGAACGCATTGAGCCCGGAGCTATAGTTGCTCGATTTGCTGAATCGTGGCTGAGGATCGGAACATTTGACCTCCTACGGGCGCGAGGAGACCGAGAACTAATTAGACACTTGGCGACGTATATCGCCGAGGAGGTGTTCCAGGGCTGGGAGGCTTTACCCGCTATGCTGCCGTTGGACCAGAGTCAGTCATCTGAAGTTGTAGACAACCCCCCCAGACATGTGTCTTGGGACCAAGTTGAAGGGCCTCCAGGCTCGGAAGAGAATCGGTTTGCAAGGTTGTACCGTGAAATTGCACGACGGAATGCTAAAACCGTTGCTGCTTGGCAAGCATATGGATTTATGAACGGGGTGTTGAACACTGACAATACCTCCATCTACGGCCTTTCACTAGATTATGGCCCATTCGCGTTCATGGACAACTTTGATCCTCAGTACACACCTAACCATGATGATCACCTCCTAAGATATTGTTACAAGAACCAACCTACCATTATCTGGTGGAATCTGGTTAGGCTCGGCGAGTCACTCGGGGAACTCATTGGTGCAGGTGAAGACGTTGATAAAGAAGAGTTTGTGAAGGATGGTGTAACAGAGGAAGTTGCGCCTGCCATTATCCAACGTGCGGAGAAGGTCATTGACCGAACAGGCAAGGAGTTCAGGATGGTTTTCCTGAACGAATACAAACGCCTCATGAGCAACAGGTTAGGCTTGCGGAGCCAGAAGGAAACTGACTTTCAAGTATTGTTCTCTGAACTTCTCGATACATTGGAGGCTTTGGAATTAGACTTCAACCACTTTTTCCGGAGACTGTCAAGCGTATCGCTGTCGGATATAGAGACCAAAGAGATGAGAGAGAAAACAGCGTCTATCTTCTTTCACAACGAAGGGCATGGTGGCATTGGATACACCGAGGATTCCGCGAGGCAACGAGTCGGAGATTGGCTTGACAAGTGGAGACAACGCATTATAGAAGACTGGGGCGTTGATCAAGACATGGAAAGACAAAAGATCATGAAGAATACAAACCCAAAGGTAAGCCTATCATTACCGGTTTCGCTGCTGGCCCGTCACAACACTAATGGGTGGATATGTCTTTATAGTTTTTGCCTCGAGGCTGGATCCTCGATGAAGTTATTGAGCGTGTTGAACGCCGCGGAGACCGAGAAGTACTCGGAAGGGTGATGCATATGGCACTTAATCCCTTCAATGAAGAATGGGGGCAGAATCATGATGAAGAGGAACGCTTTTGTGGGGATGTCCCTCGCTTCAAGAGAGCCATGATGTGCAGCTGCAGTTCTTGAACGTCCGTTTGAATGATCGTATTTCCATAATCCGCGACCGATAGATTAATGTTCGCATTTGGGTGCTTAAATCAATGGAAGTTCTACTGCAAGTATGCTGATGCTACGGAGTACTGAAAATGATCACAAAAAAAAAAGATTGTTTCCACCCTCTCTGACAGATAAAGAATACTCCCGCAACGTTTCCCTGGAGGGCTAGGCCGAGCAGGCAAAGGCCCGACTAAGATGGAACCGTGGAATTGAGATTGCTTTCATATGCTAGTTTTGTGGACAAGTTTTCTTCCGCATTACACAAGATTTCACATGTTTGCCCACCCGCAAACCCAGGCCACCACTTATCAGTCTTGCAAACTGATTCTCCCGCTTTTATTGTTTGGAACACCGGACTTCATCCGTGTGATTCCATGATAACTGGATATCATTTTGGATATCTTTGTCAGCCGGCGGAGGAAGTCAATCAGAGACAGGCTCGCAAGCCAAGTCGTGCATTAGACCAGAGAAAACGGGGTAAAGAGATTGTAGATCATCACGGTGAGCGCGATAAAGGTCATCCCGATATCCTGGTCTCGCGTATGATAGCGCGACAGAAGACAAACGATGCAGCATGCAGATCAACTAATTAGTTAGGGCAAGCGGCCTGGACGTGGCCAGGCTGCTTGCAGTTGTAGCACACCCGCTCGCCCTTGGCCTCCGTAGGGCAGTCGCGAGAGACGTGGCCAACCTCACCGCCTAGAAGCATATTGTTAGCGTGTCTGAACCTGAGGGATTGTGAAGGGAGCGGTAACCTACAGTTGTAGCACTTCTGACCATTGGTGCAGTCGCGAGCCATGTGTCCGAAACCACCGCAAGAGTAGCAAGTCTGCTGACGACCGCCAAAGCCACCACTGTAGCCGCCGCTCTGAGGGCAATTCCTAGCAATGTGACCGACACGGCCGCACTTGTAGCACTCCTGGCCACCACCAGCAGCAGCACCGAAACCCTCGGCGGGGCTAGCCTGGCACTCGCGGGAGATGTGGCCCACACCACCGCAGCGGTAGCAGGACTTCTCCTTGGGAGCTACAGTGCATTCACGGCCTGGATGATAGGCTTCTTAGCATCTCCGAAAGAAAAAGGAAAAAGCATAATGAAAAGACGGAGAAGCAACTGGAGAATTCGCTGGTTTGACTTACTGACGTGTCCCTGTCCTGTAATGGTACCAAGGTGCGGTTAGATAGAGTGGCTGAGGATCAACGGAAAAAGGCGCAATGAAAATAGGCCAGTGAACGAGAAGGGATAGGGAGATTGGACACTAATGTAGAGGAGACAAGGTCGGGAGACATACCACCACAGTTGTAGCTATCGAGTTTAGTCAATAATGTTTACAACAAGAGGAAAATGGACAGTGCAAGTTAAGCATACCAGGTGGGAGTGCCCTTCTTGGGACAGTCACGGGCCTGTAGAGATTAGAACGTTGCCAAACCATGATTATAGGCACAACCCCAGAAAGAAAGAAAGAAAAAAAAAAGCTGACTGAGGATGCTCTGAGGAGACGATGGTGACAGGGAAAGGTTTACCTGGTGGGAAGCATCACCGCCTAAAATGAATGAAGATTTCTTGTTAGCTTTTCCGTACCAATCCAGAGATTCGCTTCGCCAGGGATGGTAACCACCGCGCTAAGACGACAGGATCATTCGCTATGAGAGAAATGGGGACGGATAGATGGTCATGGAAGGTCAAAAGATCTCAGCTTTTAACTGAGGACATAAAGCAAAACTCGGTGGATGATGGGAAATCATATCATGGTAATCAAGGAAACTTTTTTTCCCTCTCTCGGCTGGAGCTGCGGGAATGGAGGCACACAAGGTGCATGACAGAATCGAAGGGCACAGGTTTGACCATCGACGGAACAGAGCGGGGGGAGGGACTCACAGTTGAAGCAGCCACGACCTCCAGCTTGGAAACTCATTGTGGATATAGGATGTAGGTGAAACTGGTAAAGAACTTTTGGAGTGAGGAGGTAAGAGAGAGAGAGAGAATGATGATGGCCAGGTGAGGGTTTGAGAGGGGGGTGGAAACTGGGCGATCAGAAATTTAGGTAGGGATTTCTTGCTAGCGCCGATAAATAATAGCCAGAAGGAAAAATAAATCAGATATGCGGACAGTCGGTGCGGGGGAGCGCTTCCCGTGGTTCCTGCAGGGCTTTAACGCCCGGGAGGCCGCAACACACAACAGCTGCCCGCTTCCAGACCTGGGTTTGATCCTGGCTTTTCGCGCCATACCCACACCCATGCTGTGCCCTTAAGCCAAGTCTTACTTAGCTTTTCCAGGTAGCGTTTAGCGATCCGCCATTATGCCGTACATGTGGTGGCGATCGCAGCCGTCACAATGAGGAAGAAGAGAGGTCTTTGGCGAGGCCCTAAAAGACCTCGTGAGATTGGTACATACTCATGCTTTCCCCTCGCGACAACAAGGACGAAAGCAGACTGAACCTAGGCAACACGCTCATCAGACGCTGAAAGCCATTTCGCACCAGGTGCTTCATGATTTGATGCCTTTTAATTAGCAAGTGTTTGCGCAACCATTTTTCAAAGGGTAGAAGTGTGGACAAAGTGATGAGACAGCCCCTAGTAGGCCGCTCGCGTCGAACTGCAAATAACATCTAACATGACCGCGGGAGAAAGGGAGATAGGGGGAGGGAAACCGTCCTTCAGTTCGGGGCAGGATGATAGCGCTTTAAACTACGTCGTGACTCTTATGGCTCCCTCCCAAGGTCCTCTCCGGACCGGACACCTTGGTTGCACCTTGAGGTTTCCCATGTCGATCTAGAACGGCTTGTGCTTACTCCTCGGTTTCCTCATTTTTCTGCTTGCTGTTGCCATGAATAGCTCTTCTTGAACAGGCGTTGGACAGTTTATTGGCGACATAGTCAGACCTTTCGATAGCAAATGGCTCGCAAAGGCTTTTCTGACCAAGCATGCACACTAATCTATGGTATCTATATATTGTTTCATTACAAATTTTGTATTTCACGTGAAGTCATATAATTCGAGCATCTGCGTCCCAGCTTCCTTTTCGCGAAGCAGAAGGACTCGCTCATCGTCGAAGCCAATACAATTGTGCATCCTCGTTGACCTGTAGCTATTGTCCACCGAGCTTGATCGGGCCGCGTTGAGTTGACCGTGAGAAGACTCCGACACTAAGTCAAGGCTATCAGGTCGTTGATCTGCCCTGTTTCCCGGGCTGACTCGGATGCTATTCCCATCCTTTAACGCCTTGTGCCCTCCGAGCGAAGAAACCAAAGATTCAAGTTCCCATATTCTGATGTCGTCTCCTCTAGAGCTCACCGAAACTGCCTTACCACGATCGCTAACCTGCACGGCTGAGACTGACGATGTATGGCCCCAGAGACGCTGGCAGCTTGTCACAGAAAGGCTTGTCGAAGTGGAGACCACAAGGTACAGAGTCAAGGTATTGTCCGCGTGCGACGTCAAAAGGTAAGGATGAGAATAGGACACCGAGGTTGGTGGCTCACAGTGTGATATTGAAGGTCCGGATGGCCTGAAATTTAGCTCATTTCCGGAGCCTACCACATGTGTGGTGCGATAGTCCCTTTTTGACCGGCTGCGAGATGTTGGGGACACAATCCCGTATTGGCAGTCGACTGTGGTAGCAAGCCGAGAACTCAGCTGCTGACCGTCCAAGCCGAATTGCAGTTCTTGAATACCTAGCGACCAGCCGCAGCCTATATGGTAAAAACTGTACACTATAGCCGCTACTATCTTGGGACCCGCAGCGCGGATAGATAGAGATAATGGCTCCAATATACTGTCCGCCTTGAGAGTAGTCAGTAGCTGTGGGGTTACAGAAGAACCGTCCTCGTCTGTGATTGTTTCATACAGAGATAGAACCTTGCGTTGAGAGACTAAAAGGAGGAAAGGGGAGCACAAGGCCATTGCCGTGATGGCTTCACCGGTGCATTCAACGTAGGAAAAGCGCGTTTCAATCCAGAAAGTTGTTGTGTCTAGAGTATAGACACCGAGACGGCCATCCTCAAAACCAACTGTGACATCTATTAAGCTCTGCTGTGGACCGCTCGTTGCAGCCGCCATTGCTGTAGGAGCGGGTAACGATCGCGACGGCGATTTTGTCAAAGGAGACCTTGCTAGGCATTGTCCAGGCTTCCCGGCGGCCCAAGCTCTTAGGCCGTGATCTAAATCTGCTGTAAGCACGATACCAGCACAAAAGGTTACTAGCATCTGTCGACGAAGTGGTTGTTGAAACTCGATCTCTGTGACCCGACAGACTCCCTTTGACCAGTTGTGTCTGAGACGATACTGTCGCTTCCAATTCGTGGCTACTCCTTCCTTTGCCAGGTGACTGTGGTCAAGCCAGGTAGACACTCTAGGCGAATACTCGATTTCAGATCGGGATAAGTGTGCACGCTTAGCATTTGGTAACCGACGCGCTCGAGGCCGTACCCATCGAGAATAATACTGCCTTTTCCAGAGCTCCGAATCTCCAGCTAAGACATGGAACCGACGCGAGAGTCTATGTGGGGAGAAGTAATGAGCTTTGAAGCCGGCACTCTGAACTGAGGAGGACATACTGTTGGCAGACTAGCAGAGCGGGGAGAGGAAGAAAAGACAGTATATGAAGTAGGAGCTCGTCACTTAGTGTGGATATGTGATCGAGATGGCCGCTGGGGGTCATGCGGAGACGCTTTGGCGGAGGGAGAACTTCAACATTGCGCCTCTTTGGCATTCTGAGATTGAGAAGGCAATGCTGGGGTAAAGGCATTCATGAAACTCGGCACAACTGACTGCACAAGCCAGTGCTTGCTGGATGAACGCACTCTTGAGAGGGAGAGTACCACTTCCTATGCGCCTGATAATGTCAGGCCGGAGGCTTATCTGAGAGTGATTGATACGGTACTTATGGTGGACCGATGTCTCGAACGATACGGTACGTGCCGAGGTATTAGAGCGGTCCTCCGTGCTCCATACAACCGGGGAACTACTAGTATTACTGCGGGTATCTATCTAGTATACGCGTCAAAGTCGCGTGTCATAGCCGCCCTATGCTACTCCGTACCTCGGGGAGACCTCCCTGTATGTGAGCATAAGCTTGGATCAATGGAGGTCCTTAAACAGCTCCAAGCTTCTGTTACCCAAGCCTTTGGCGATTATTTCAAAGATGCCTACGAAATCATTCAACAAGAACTTGCTCTTCGAGACGCGAAGGTGCAGGCGGCCGAGGAGAGGGTTAGAGCTGCAGATGAAGCACGAAAAAGAACGGATGCTGAAATGGCCGCCTTGAAGGATGAGGTTACTCTCCTACGGAACGAGCTACGTCTCGGGGATGTTGGCTTCACTGAAGACCAAGTTACTGCTCAGAAGTCCCTCGAACTGGAGGCAACGTACGCGCCGCATCGTGCTATAGATCGTATATGTGCCAATCGCATGGACTCCGAGGGCTTCAGCTCTACTGAGATAACGCCTGTGAGGGATCTGTATGTCGCGCTCTACAGAGAAGCTCAGACGCTTATGAAAGCCTCTGGCGAACTTCGAAAACAAGTCAAACGTCACAAAAAAAAGTTGATGCATTGGAGAAAGAGCCTCGACCGCGACAACTTCACCTTGGTACTCGATGGGAAAGCAGTTGAATTTCAGCGGGCTAAGACAAACGGCTGTGAAGAACATTCAAGCTTGTTCACTGATTTATCAACACCTACTCCACTAAAATCTTCAGAATCGGCCATTCATCCAGTTTTACGAGGAGCTTCCGCCCCTATTTTGCATACTTTAGGAGTAGGTGCTTATGATAGATCTTCAAATGACGACGAGCGAAGGGAGCCGGCTGCAGCTCAGAGTGCAACTGCTCCGGCCGCAACTATCAAACGGAAACGTTCAGCATCACAACCGCCTCATCAGATATCCCCAGCAATTCATGACCATGTCATTATCCATAATTACAGTGGCCCAAGCCAGCCTATTTCAATCAAAGAGGAGAGCTTATCATCCAGCCCTTCGGGGAGGCCATTGTCTAGTTGCGAGGCTATTGGAACCCAGGACCTAGATGAGGTTGGTGTCATGGTTGAAACGCCAACTAAGAGAAAGAAGTATAAGGGAATTAGCTCCCAGCGAGCGGCTTCACCAGCGATTGAAACCAGATGCAAAGACCTGCCCCCAGCAACAGTTGATTCATTTTCGAGACGAGCCACGGTACTGCAATCAGTCGATGGCAACACGAGCACCAATAGATATGACCAACAGTTAGGCACAGCAGCCGCGAAGGGGTCAAAACCAAGACCTAAATACTCCATCTCGGCGATGGCTGAGGATGGCGAAGAGAATGACGCGGAAGCCGCTACACCAAATCGATTTGACACGTCGGCATCTGAAGCTAGGACGCCACGTTCAGATCCAGGCAAGGAAGGCCAATCTGCCGTACAGCGACTGGAGGGGCTTCTTGAAGGACCGGTACCTGCGAAGCAACAACTCCAGCCCAAAAGTACAATTAGCGAATTTACAAGGGGTCGCACAGTGCAAAGCTCCCCCTCTTCTGTTGGACGACCTTTGTCACATATATCCGAAAATAGCAGGAGAATACAGGCAAATGCTAAGTCAGAAAATATGCAGGGGGGTTCGAAACTTGATACTCAACATGACACCACTCAGGCCACCTCGTCTTCGGGCAGCGAAGCACAACGGATAGAGGAGAACGCCACGCGTATACAATATAGAGCTTTGCCGCTGCATTGTCTCGAACTCAGCCATTTCAAAATTAATCCAAATTATAATCAAGGGGTAGATTTTGCATTTAGCAGTGTCATCCGCACCACGGACGAGCGCAAGTGTGCAAAGGGTTGTATGCGCCCTGGCTGCTGCGGAGGCAAGTTCAATGCCATGGCACGCCTGGGCGGTCTTCCGACGAACGCAACCTCTAACAAGGACAGAGAACAGGAAGAGCGGAAGATTCTGGAGGACTATTTGGGAGAAGAAAGACATATACTCGATAAACTAAGCACAGAGGATCGGGAGAGCCTTCTGCAAGAGGCGAGCGCCAGGCTTATTGCCAATCGATTTGGGAAGCATAGGCATCACCACCAGCGATCAGGATCGCCACCTGGATACTGGCGCACAGATATGCCCGATACACAGGAATTGCAGCGTGATCATGAGGAGGCAAGGGAAATTGAAAGGGAGAAGGTGCGACACCGATATCGAGAGGCAATGCGCCCGGGTGGTCTCTGGAAGTTTGCAGATGAATGAAAACAGTGTAATTAAGGGCTGCGCTTTGGTTTACAGGGGAGCTTCTGAAAAAGCTGGCTAGGCAGTAAATAGATGCCGGGGTTTCCCCTACAGTGGCTTCCAATAAGTCTAAACATTGCCGTTTGTTTGTCCAAGTCACTGTCTATTAAACATTGTATTGTACTATGTATTGCATTTCTTGGCAAGCTCCCGACACGTGCCTTAGCCGCTACCGTGGTGCCTACCTCGGCCTACCTCTCCTTACCCACCCGTAACTAGCTTACGCCGTAGATAAAGTGGTTCTCCCAGCCCAGCTGACACGACTGGGAACGCTTGTTGGGACCTAGAGTCATTTCTTTGCCTGACACTTCTTGATACTGAAAACATCAAGCTTACCCCTATCTTTGCATGGTTTTCGCTTGAATATGGAATCCTCATGGCGTGCCCAAAATCCGATACCTGCCGCACTGTTGCAACCCTCCAAGTGGCTCCCACTGTACGAGGAGTTCGTGACGAAGAATGCTAGCTCTGTGAGCCAAGTAGAGTCCGCGTTGAGGTCTCTAACATACATCATCCCGGGTTAGTGCATGAAGCTTGAAGTACAGGAATTTGGTCGAGGAAATGAAAGGCTGAAACCGTGTGCAGGGAGATACCGAGATTCGGAGATAAGCTCAGAGTGCGGTACGTTATTCAAGTGTTTCTAATGGTGATCTTCTAGACAAGGAAGCCATTCGCTTGATTCTGACTTCTGTGAAAAGTGCATTCAGGGGTACAGCTTCTGTCACTCTACCATGACTCTCTGGTTTCGCGAGTCATTTCTAGGTTACCGTCAACAATCCCGCGGCCTACACCATCACCTCATGCGCGCTACACGAAGTATTGGACCTCCCACTCTTCACTGTATCAGAGAATCGCCCTCGCATTACAGATGATCCAATATACAGAACTGCTGTGGGAGATGGCGGCTCGGCGTCGTGGTGAGAAGGTGCGCTGGCGTGTCGTCGTATTAATCGAAGCCGCTAAGGCGATCTGTCGCCTGTTACTCCTTCGTCTCACCAACTCTAGACCATTGGTCAGCCCTCCACTTCCTGAGCGGGAAGTAGATCCCAGATCGCTGGAAGAAGAGGACAGTAGCGACTGGAATGGCATGCAGACCCCTATTAGCGAACGGTCGTCGGATCTGTGCTGGACTATGCCTCGCACAGGGCTGTCGCTTCCTTCTCTGCCTAATGTGGATGACCTTTCAAACTACTTGATATCCAAAGTTCTTACGGCCGACGATATCAAGCCACCGAAAATGCTGTTGCACCGAGTCACTGGCCAGGGCCAGTTTGCTGAGATTCTATACATCCTCCGACCAGTAGTTTATGCGCTCATGCTGCAACGATACTGCAAAGACAGGCGGAGTTGGAAACCCTGGCTTATCGGTTTTGGCATGGAGTATGGCTGTCGACAACTAGCCAAAGCTGATCTTCGCGAAAGAGTCGCAGGCGGCCTTCGGGGATTGACCGGGCTGGAGCGGGAGGAACTAAGGAAGAGAGGCTGGGCGATGGGTTGGTGGTTTATGCGCGGGGCTTTCTATGAGAATATTACCAAGTATGGCACTCTAGCCCTTCCCAAACTACTGATAAGGAGTTAAAGTATTGTACTAACTTTTACATAGATCCTGGTTGAAAGGGTTGACCGGCAAAATGAGGGGCAAACCTCTGCTTGATTTGGTAGGCAGTGTCATTGAGGATTACGAGTATCTCTGGGACAACTACTACTTCTCGACTACAACACTGTGATGTTCGCTGTGTCCTGCCAGCGTCAGATGTTTCTGCCATCTTTGCTAGCATTTTGCTTTACCTCGGAAGCCTCCTGTGCCTCACACAGCCGTCTTCTCGTACCTAATTTAGATACCCAATGACTTATCATCCCCAAGCTATCCCTTTTAATGTTACGAAACGCTATATTCTGTCTGTTTCAACTTGCACATTAGTGCAAAATGACACATCAGGCTCATATGCTTCCACTGAATTCAAGGGCATTCACACTGCAAAAGAAAGTGGGTATCATTTGGTCATTATTCCGTCAACTCTGCATCTGCGCTTGATAAAGGATAAACTCATGTTTGGCTAAGAGAGGACCTCTGTGGACCTTGCCCCGTACCATTCCAGCAACTCATGCTGAGCTTTTGTAGTGTTACTGGTCGAAGATAAGAGGAAGTCCCTGAGCTGCGTATTTTCTTCTTCTCCAGGCCAATCGACCTTTGGCCTTCCCTTCAACTCGAGCAACTCTTTTGCGGTGCCCCAACTGAATCGGCATTCGTTGCCCCATCCGAAAATCGGATCCATGTTTTTCTTTAACCAATTGGCACACTTTGAATCAGAGGGATAGCCGCTTCCCCAACTCTGCGGCACCACCGCCCTCGGTGAATCTTCCGCATGGGTGTCTTCGTATATAGCTTGATGACAGAGATCTAATGCGACGTCTCTGGTGACTTTGGCAGCAACACTTGCAGCACTCACGCACGGATATAACGAGTCGGCCTTCTTCGCCACGGTGATTCTGAGTGATGGAAATATCTTCTCGAGTTTCTGTTGGTAGGTTGCGGGGTTTCCAATCGTATCGATGTAGACCTCTCGCACGTCCATGTTGCGATCTTCAATGATTCCACGGATGAGTTCAATGGTAGCATCCATTGCTTGCGCATTCAGGTTATAAGCTCCCGTTCCAGGCCGCATCATACCGGACGAGATGTCACGCGCTGATAGTAGCTTCACGGCCCATCCGCAGGATTCGTGTAAGGGATTTCCCGGGGTACATAGTAGCTTCATGAGATTAGCGCGTACGCCGGGAGTGAGGGCTTTGCTGTCGTTGAAGCTGTAGTCACGAGTCAAGAGAGTATGGTGCAGATCTTGGGGCAAGTAGAAGGCGCTGTAGACCATGGGGCCTAGAACTGGACCGCGTCCGGCCTCGTCTACACCCAAGATAAGGTAATTTGGTGAAGAGTTCGTAGTAGGTTCATTAACTTTGGAGGTTGCAATGACGGGAGGACAGGGTGAATAGTAAGAATAGGACTCCCCGGCGAAAAGCCGAGAGTGATCTATACTTGGAGGGATGAAGAGGCCTGTTGCAGTAGTGGGAGACTCCCCCTGGAGAGGGGCAGTGGAGATGCCTGCAGATTCGCCCATACTTCTGTTGATTTCAGACGGGAGTTGTGATCACGACAAGCGAGAAAAGGAAGGAAGGGTGTAGTCGGGGAGTGCAACTAAAGATGAATGTTGAAAGTGAAAGATGGACGCGTCCCAAACGGTTCCGGACTAGCGGCGCTTCCGCGCGTGTTTGTTCGCCGCCCTCACGGATTCCAACTCCCCTCCGCAGCATTCATTCGCCATCCCCAAGACCTGGGATTTTCTTTCCCCTCTCCGTTAAATTGCAACTACGGTGAACTCCTACAGTCGCCTACTTACGTTTGGCACGGCAGATTCCCCGCGCATCCAGCCCGGTCCGTACGCGTCTTTACCACCACTGGACCCCTCTCGTTGCCTCCCTCAAAGCTGCCGCATACAGCTCCCGAATCTTCGGAACAATGGCTCCCCGGGGCCCTGCGAAGGCTCGCGAGTATGATTATGCCAATGTCGGCAAAGCTGGAAGGTCGGTATCATCGATGCCATGTCTCATTGATCGCCCCTGTTTAGTATTTTTTTTTTCTATCCCCTGCTCCCATTCCAGTCGCTTCCATCCATTATAATCTCGGGAGACTGATGCAGGCGACTTTCACAGGCGCACCGGGTTAATGTTGAAGGAAGGGAAACGTGATGAATATGGAATGGAAGAAGTTGATGGTATATTCTCTTCGCCCGAGACGTCGCCCGTAAAAGAGAATGGCTTCAGTGACCGAGCTGAGGATTCTACTGGTTCGGATGGCATGTCTATAGACGAAGGTGCGTTCGTGTCACAGCTCGCCATCATTTTGGCTATATACTAACGCTGATATTTATCGGGCAGGAAATGGTCCGAACCCCACCGATTTTCTCAAAAGCAGACGAAGCTCTTACTTCCCGCCTCCTGTTGCGCGCTCTCCTATGAAGACCGGGCTGACTGGCTCACCTCGGAGAACTCCCGGCTTGCGATCCTCCCAAAGTCCGCAACGCGAACAACCGTCTTCCAGTCCCTCAGACGGGAAGGGTCTGGGAAGTGCAAGGGGGGAATCACGACGAGATGTATCTCCACTTACTAGTCGTTCCATCAATGCGCCACCAGTCCTGAACCACGTCAATGGTGCACGGAACAACAAACTTAATGCTGAACCAACAGAGGAGCCTATGGACTCCGGCTTTTCCGATAGCGATGCTGAGAATCAGCTAAACACAGACGAGAACGGACATTCATTTGTACAGACACACGACGACTTCGTTGACAGCTTCACTGCGGGCGATGATGCATTGACGGACGACCATGCAGATGAACAAGACGACACTGGCGCCGACCTGGACTCGCCGGTAACCGTGTCAGAATCCCGCAGCAGGAGAGGACAGGCCAAACCCGTTCCAAGGGTTGTTAGAGGTGTGAAAGGCGCAAGGGCCGGAGCATCCACGGCCGCGCAGGAGCATGAGATTGAGGAAGAACAGCCGGCACAAAAACGCAAACGTCCGGGGAGGCCGCCGCGAACGCAACGCAAGTCTAGCAATGAAGTGGAGAAAGAACGGCCGTCGAAAAGGCCTAGGGTATCGGACAAAGCTGATAAAAACCCAAGTCCTTCAGGCAATGCAGAGCTGGACAAAGTGGTGGAGAACTATGTCAATCGCACAGGGCCATTGAAGGGTCGGAGTCTATATATCCTGAAGCGCGAAGTACCTTCCGAAGGCGCTGCCACCCATACAAGATCCGGGCGTGTTTCTGTAAGACCTCTTGCATACTGGCGAAATGAACGATGTGTCTATGGCGATGGTGAAGCTGTGGAGGGCCAGCGGTATCCGCTATCAACCATCAAGGAGATTATTCGCACGGAAGAACTCGAACCGGAGAAACCGAAATCGAATAAGCGCCGCCCTAATAAGAAGTCCAAATCAAGGAAGGGTAAAAACGACGATTCCTCGGATGAAGAAGACGGATATGTTGATCCTTGGGAGAAGGAAAGCGGGATTCTGCATGGCTATATCAGGAGGTGGGACGAGGAAGCCCAGGCAGTTGGTGAAGAAGAGGACATCGTTGGTATGTACTGTCCTTTGACTATGGTTGTCGTGTGCTAACGCATTCGCTTGTAGACCTTGCGTACGCCCCTGCTGGGATGGAGACAAGGAGTGTCAAGGACTCCTCGTGGCGGTTCGCCAAACTTCTCAGTTCGCCTTTCTTGGGCTCTGGGATCGTGGAACTGCCGCCTGGAGGAGTAAAGAAGCCCAAGAATTCCAAGAAGATGCACATGGTTTTCTACATCTGCCAGGGTCGGGTTCAAGTAGACATCTCCGGTGTTCGTTTCAGTGCCGGCAAAGGGTGTGTCTTCCAGGTACCGAGAGGTGAGTGAGCTCCGTATACACCTTCCCTTGACAAGATGGGAGACGTGGCCCCGTACCAATGGAAGTTCTAATTGAGTTTGCAGGCAACTATTACAGTTTTGCCAATACGCAGAATAAGGATGCCCGGCTGTTCTTCACTCAAGGCTGCGTCCCGGTGGAGAACGACGACTCTGCTCCCGGGTCGGCGACCAAACCCGGTGCCATGGATGGGGACTCCAGCACCCCGACTGGCCGTCCGACCGGCGTAAAAGGCCGACCGAAGGGCAAACAGAAAGCAGGCGGACGTAAGGCAACGTGATCTCGTATGAAACGTTGTGTCCGGGTTCGCTCTATACGTCTCCTATCATCTTGAAACACTCACCACCTATATCCTGCCCAGCACCGGGCTTTGACCTCTGGATTAGCGCTACTTACGTGAAATTGTTGGGATGGAAGTCTGCTTACGTCCTCAAGGCTTCGTCCCCCATCCTTTTCTTCTCCCGTGTTCTTTTCTTATTTTCTCCTTTTTTTTTTTTTTTTGCGGATAGTGGGTTATCATTGAACAAGAGGGCATGAGCTGTAGATTTATCGGAGTAACTTGAGGAGGATTAGGAGTACATTGTAGCAGGCTTTGCTTTCTTTTGTGTTGTTCCGTGTGTTCATACTTGACGCTTTGGAAGAAATGTATCAAATCTCCTCCATGATTTCATCATCCAGGTCATCCAACTCCAACGGCGGGAAGTCTCCTACCTCGACTTTCTCAGGCTTCACGAAAACACCAGTCTTATTCGGGCAGGTGAAGAACCTTTGGCCGCCTACGCTGCCATCGTTCTTCCCCAACGGCTCATCAAGCTCAATGCCAACCCAGATAGGGAGAGCCTCGGAATCTAATTGCACCTTCTTGGGGTCCACGCCCGGGAAAGGGATCGTAGGCACTGGACCAACAAACCGAATCGTTCCTCGTCGGATATGAGGCGGGGACGAGGGCAAGACGATAGCACGTTTATCAATAGCAATACCTAGATACGTACAATCATTAGGATTCTTCTGCTTCAAACCCCAGGACTGATCCTTTTCGAATCGAAAGTTCGCGGACCCAACTCCCCCGACCCGGGTAACAAGGTCGAGGATATCTTGTTACTCACCTCTTTGTTGAATCTCCGCCGCATCTCTCTCTGATTGCTGGCGGATCGACTCTTCGGGGGTTAGAGCGTTTGGATCGAACCGGCCAAGTTTTTGGTTCTTCTTCCATGCTAGGACGGAGTTCGAGAGTGATTCGTAGGTGGATGTAGGAAGGACGTATTTCTCGACGGATGATAGGTCGGTGAAATTTGGCCGGGCTGATTGAGGCCGAGTGTCGTGGACCTAGGTTGAGACATGAGTATAGGCTCATGGTATGAACCGGCAATCCTGGTTGAGATGTGTCTCCGAGTGGAACAAAAGGAAACCAAGGTCTTAAAGAAGCAAGACATGGATTCGTTGAGCGGGTGACAATCAAAACCGATCTTTAACCAGTAACTATAATCCCAGAGGCTGGGAAAGCCGAGGATGCCGGAAATTGAGATGAACAGAAGAACAAGACCTACCTCAATCTCACAACCTTTCATCAAACCCCAATCCCCAATGATGGAGTCGTCACCTTCAACCCATTGGTCAGGACGGCCTGGGGACTTGAGAAGCAGCCGCTGGCTACCGGGAGGTACGCCAGTCATGGTCTCCAGCTTGCCTTTGAGCTGCGAGACGCTCCATGTGGGAGTGATACGACGCTCTGTTAGCAAGCGTGGCTCGGCACTGGAGCTTGCCATGGGCGTGGTAATGGCGACAGAAATGTCCGCCGGTGTAGGTTGAAACGCCATGGTTTTGGAGCAATCCTAAGCTAGCAAGCGTGGCTGAGATAGAAGAGATATTGTGGAATCTGGACTGCTTTTAGAGCTCAACGATCTACTGCGTTGTCTCCGTCCGCGATTGCAATCCAGGGGGAACTTGATTCTTTTCTATCTTCACGAATTAGATAAAGTAGTGCCAAAAAGGGATGTTCGAAAGATGAAATAAGAAGACATAAATGAACTTGGAACCCTCAGTGAATTGCAAGTAATATTCAGGGTCAGGCTATACATCAATCATATATTTTGAGCTGCCCCGCGAGGGGCTTCCATTATAGGAAAATGTACAGAATTGGGAGGGGCCACAGGTGGGATTCCGAATAGCTTACAAGGTCTGAAAGGGGGAATTATGATACTGACCAGATCAGGACGCTTTCACTGATGGAGGAAAGCTAGAAGTAAGCTTGAAGCAATGGGTGGTGATATCAACGCCGAGAAGAATTGACAAGCAAGGGAATTGCTACTAGTCTCCATGTTCCTGATAAATCGTGGAGATGTTTGCTTCCTTTGATGCCAAACCGCCAATGAGCACGTGGTGTACGGTATTCGATTACCTGATGATTAATATTACATACAGTATCTCCTAGAAATTACCGATACCATACAGCATACACAGAGCGAGATGACGTCTTGTGTGTAGAAAATCGGCCCCTCCTCCAAACATCCAATTTTATTCCGTTTCTTTGCACGTTTTCAGCTCGCGATCATTCAATCTACTTCTACATCGCGCTGCAGTTCAGAGGTTCGAGTTGTTTCTTAGGCTACGGCGGGGTGCGATAATCTAGAGAACGACCCCCAAAGTCTCGTAGGAACACAGTTAATCTCTATCGTGGGAGGGGTCTCCTGAGGATCAGTGTGGGAAACCAAGAGAGAAAACAACCACGATGGCTGCCCCGAATGTTCCGGCCCTGGCAAACGTCCCCTCGGATGATCAGGAAGCGTACGAAGAGAAGAATGTTCATGAAGTGTACCAACAAATTGCCAGTCATTTTTCCTCCACTCGTTACAAGGTACTACTGCTTCTCACTCCGCCGAATTCAACCCCTCCTCGATAATTCAATTGCGACCTCGGAATTCTCTGTTAACCCTTCAACAGCCTTGGCCCATTGTGGAACAGTTTCTCAGAGGTTTAGAGCCCGGTTCCGTTGGTTTGGATGTGGGATGCGGCAATGGGAAGTATTTGGCCGTGAACCGTGAGGTCTTTATTGTTGCTTCCGATAGGTATGTTTCTCTCCCTTGCACTCCCGGCCATGGAATATTTCGTCTCGTCTTGGCTATTGGCTTTCAATTTCAGTTTTGTTTCTTTCTATATACTGTATTTCGTATATGGGTATTCTCATGTCATTCCTGTCCAAAAGATAAAAAAAAGAAACCTCCCCCTCTCTGTCGTTGTGCGCAGGCATTCACCTTCCATTGTATTTCAAAGCTGATCATTCCATACCAGATCCGCGAATTTGGCTCAAATTGCGCAAAAGCATCAGCCACACTCAACCATCATAGCCGATATTCTCCACCTCCCACATCCGGATTCTTTCTTCGACTTCGCCATTTCAATTGCCGTTATCCACCACCTTTCCACTCCTGATCGAAGGGTCCAAGCTATTCGTGAAATCCTGCGCACGCTAAAACCTGCCACCAAAAAATCTCCGGGTGGGAGAGCGCTGATCTATGCTTGGGCCCTGGAACAGAAAAACAGCCGTCGAGGTTGGGACAAAGGTGATCCGCAAGATATAATGGTCCCCTGGGTCATGAAGGGAACCTCTTCCGCGGACGCTCCTTCCGACGAGCCAAAGGTATTCCATCGGTATTACCACCTTTATGAGGAGTCGGAGCTCGAGCAGGATATCAACAAGGCGGGAGGTCATGTCCTGGAGTCGGGATATGAAAAAGACAACTGGTGGGCGATCGCAGCACGGACAAACTCGGAATCATCATGAGATACATGATTGCAGTGGGATCATCGAGAGCCAGCCTCGAAGCCCGTCATCCACATCTGCATAGCACTCACGACAGGAACGACGATACGAGCATTGGGCTCGTCAAATTGAGGCCTCCTCTCGAAGGTGCCCTTTCATGTGTAGCAAGATCAAAGCCAGATGAGGATAATGAAAAACGCGCACACACGCACTCGGAAGAGCTCTTGTATGACAAGCCTCCCATGAGTGAAGAAGATATACCTCCAACCAGCGCTATGCAATTCGTAATAACGCAAAACACACAGGCATAGACATCGTTTTCTTCATGCCCTCTACGGGAGGGTTCGAGGGGGAAGACCGAGGTTGGGTCCAAGATGGCTACTGTGACCACCCAGATCCAAGGGTCGCCCCAATCTATAAGGTTCGCGAGGGGCCGGAAAAGTTGGGTGCGGTGCAAATGCAGGCACTCCAGCGGTAAGCTCTTCCACGGAAGGAAGTTGGGGGGGAGGGGGGATCGGACGGGATGTCGATCCTTTTCTTGGTCGAGATAGAGACGTGCTGGCTCTGCGAGTTCGGGGCGCTGGCGGATCTATGGCAGTACTTGATAATGAGAACGGGACTACTCCCGCTCGACGCGCCATTTCCTGTTCTCCCAGTTGCCAGTGCATGGCTTCTGCAGCCCTCCACGGAATGGCCATCTCTTCTGCTACCTTTGACCACATCTCTGCTTTGAACCTGCAATGACAATCAACAACCGTCTTTTAATGATCTCGAGGCGCCGCCTCGCTATCGCATAGAACATACCTTTCGTATAACCTTGCAAGTTTGTTCTTTTTATCCTCATCCCACTCACTTCTGCGTTCCAAGTAATTCTGATAGTGTAGACGGCAACTGATGGCACTTCGGCCAGGAAGCCGTTTACTAATATCCTCCCATTTCATACCGCTTCCTCGTAGCTCGATGATAAGGGCATCCTCCTCCGGGGACCACTTGGATTGCTTTTTAGCCGGCGACTCTGCAGTGTGGGCAGGTTGAAGGCGCTTGGCAGGCACCGTAGCCGGAATTTTAGACGTAAGCTGGGGCACTGGGGGGACCGAGGACAACGATGCTGGAGCAGCTACTGGCAACGCAGGTGCTACCGAGGGCGGCGGGATTGCGCTGGGTGGGTAGCCAGGCGCTGTCGTCACCGAGGCGGCTTCCTCTTCATCCTGGGGCTTCAGCAGCAGTGAGATATCCACTTTGGCGGGAGGAGGTAAGATAGCGTGATTTTGTAACGCAATCATATGCGCGGTTCGCAGCGGAAAATTCCTTTCTCAAGTAAAGATATGTGTAGCAGAGAGCACCATATGCTAAGATGTATAGAAAATGATAGCTCAGAAGCCCAGTCTGACTAGATGCAGAGATGGAACGACCCGGGAGGGGGAAGAAGTTGTAGGATAACGAGAAGATGAAAGAGATCAAGAATATATCCACCGAAGATAGAAGCGAGAAAGCCCGGGTTACCGAAGACGTCCCAACCAGTGAGACGAATTAGTACCCTTGTTGGTACTTCTTCTGTTTTCCCCCCAAAAAAATCCACTAGTTAGTGGCGAGTGTATTGGTGGCACTGCGGCAGTGTCGATAGGGCAAAAGAAGAGAGACCGCCAATTAATCTCCGAAACTCTTGGAGTGGATGTGCGAGGGGGAGATGGATGGAAAGCAAAAAGCGATAATGCAGACAAGAGTATACGTCTGGCGAAAGTCACATATAATGACGGGGTGTTCAGGACGGAGAAAAAGTTGATATGTCCGATAGGTGTCGAGCCGATGGCGTCAAGTTGAGGTCGAACGAAATTTAGTAAGGATCAGAATATAGTAGTGTTTGAACAGTCGAGAATACTTCTGGGGCTGAAGAATATACTAGGAGCAGCAGTGGGCACCAGTTAAGTATAAGCAAGATTGTCAAATAGGGTGGGATAGCAACGAGGGTAAATGGAAGAAGAGGTAGAGAAGTTGAAGACGGGAGGGAAAAGAGAGTTAGGGAAAGGGAGAAAGGGCCAGACGAGACAGATGAAACGTCTGGAGATGCATAAGAAGAAAGATCATCGGGGACCGTTGACAGCTGGTTGGCGCAGCAAATAAGAAGCTCAGCAGTAATAATGCTGCTATGGGGAGGGTAAAAGAAGCTAACGAAGAGGCGAGGCCAGGGCCAGTGGGTTCGAGAAACCGTTTAATAAATAAAGATTATTTACTAGAGATCATTAGTGAGCCGTCGTTATTATTCCTGATTATTTTTATTTTATTTTATTTAACTCATTCATTTTTCCTTTTTTTATCACTTCTTCCTAGTTATTCTATTCTGTTTTCTTGTTCTGTTCCAATTTCATTTGCCCCTCGAGGAAAAGCCGTTATTCCTCCCCCCCCTCCCTCTCTCCTCCTCCCAACTCACTGCCTTTAGTCCAATAAAAAGTCAGTCAGAAACGGTTAAGGTCCACGCCCAGCCGTCAAGTCATAAAGGGAAGAGTATCAGAGACTACGGTACTTCCATTAGTGGGATCTGAAGTAACCTATCTATCTATCTGGTACATTGGCTTGAGTCCTGTCTGTAAGTGCATATGTTGACAGGAAGAGCGGAAGAAAAGCAAAGCAGGAGGGAGGGAATGAAGAAAACAGGAAAGAAATACAATAAAAATGAATTGAAATTAATCAACTCTGATCATCATGATAATGAAATGATGAGATTCATCTTCCCTCAACAATAATCCCACACCCCCCCCCCATTTAGAGCAAGGATCAAAACGGCACTGGGCACAACCAAAATAATAATAAATACTATTATCAACGCGGCGATGATTATCAAAACGGTTCCACACCCGGGTACTATACTTGACGGGAAGGGCCTTACTGGCGGTCAAACCTCTCCGGAAGAACGTTCGAGCCCAGCCTCGGTCATGTTAATGACTCGGTTGGTTGGTTGGTGAGTTGGCTGGCGAAACAGGATGGATGCAATCAACTCCGTCCTAGCCTTACCTAAGGTACCTGCCCACCTCCTACCAAAGACTTGTTGACTGTCTGCTCCGGACTCACCCAAGAGAAGCTCAAGCTGGGACGCGAGTCCCTTTTAGGACGGCCATCATAATCATCAACATCATCATCGTCGTCATGACCATAAACGTACTGATAAAAATAAAATAAAATAAGATAAAATAAAATAAAATAAAATACGAATAAGTATGGTTAATAATGATATATTATTTCAAACAGGTTGGAGACACACAGTCGGTACTAACTCACGGCAATGCTCTATCCAGTTGCGTTATCCTGTTCATTACGGATATAGATAGAAATGTCATTCGAAGTATAGATGATAAGTATGGATAGATAGATGTCTTGTCTGTAGTGGGATGAAAACTTTCTGGCATACACATGTTGGCAAAACGATCGAATATGCCTTGTGCTGCTGCATCTTTAATTTAAACCGCATTATCTTCGAACTTTCCTACTGATCCTAACTAGAACTTGGTCTGCCCATTTGGGGTGCTTTTTAGGTGCTTCATGTGGGTGTCCAAGGGAAGAGGAAGTTGCATCTATGCATAGCACACTGTCTGGTAATCCTCAGGAGGGGCAGCATTGGTATTGCTAGAAATGGAAAAGGCAGTGAGCAGCCAGTGTCTAAGCCACAGGTGGGTAATAGTAGTGGGTATAGTTGGTGGGGAGTTGTTTTTCACTTGGCCTTGAACAACCGGGAACCCCGGTATAGGACCCGAAGGTTAGTTAGGGTAATTGTCTTGAACAGAAATTAGGAGGAAATAATCTCATTAGACGGCTGAGGAGCATGGTTTCTCCCTGTGGAGAAAACCACCGCCCTAAGCCGGGAAGTGGAATGGTCTTAGAAGCTCCAACCAGAGGGCGAAAACGGCCGATAATGGGGAGCATGCGTAACGACGACGGCGTCAAGTCCCCAGAGGAGGCTTTCCAAACCACCACCCGTCGGCCGAAACGGCGAAATTGGAGAAGAGAATGTACTTTTTTCACTTAGACGTGGAAAAGGACGGGAAGGAATCGGCTGACTTTCTGGCATTACTCTTCCAAAAAAAAAAAATACTAATCCTACTAGACGGAATGCAACTCAGTATTTTCAGCAAAATCCAGAATATAAAGCTCATTTACTCTCTTCCCGTGTTTTCACAGAATTTGTTACTCATTTATTCCAATTTGTTTCAAATTGCTGTTATTTTTCCTTTCTTTCGTTTCTTTTTGTAATTTCCTTTTTCGGAATACCCGGTTTTCTTCATCGTATTTTTGATTGGGCGCCGCTCAATCTAATTAAATTTCCGAGGCCCAACGGCCATGGGTTGCTCCAGCCAATTAGTCCCAGACCGTCTGGATGGATCTGTCAACGGCGAACGAACCCCAAGCCTGGAACGGCAAGTATCGTCCTAGGTAATATCGCTAGCCAGGCGCTAACTAGGATCCGGGGTCTTTTAGCACCAGTTCGCCTCGTCCACCTTTCTGCACTTCTTGCCTTAATTGACTGGCCTTATCGGTCCAAACGTCAGCATAGTCCCATCCATGATGAATATCTTCCCGTTCTTCGGGTAAGTCTGAGCGTCCATGTTGAGGCCAATTTAATTGACTCTTCTTTTTGCTGCCTCACAGCCTAGCCTTTGATCAGTCCAGATGAGATCAGGAATAAGTAAGATGATGAGCAAGTACTTACTTTGTAGTTTTCGTCCCTTTTGTGATCTGGCAGCTCCAATAAGGGACAGAGAAGAAAAAGTGATACATCCACTCGTGGTGCTGTCAATCAGGTGACAAGGCGGCAAATGGTTCTCTGCCGAGCCTGCACTGGTGGATCAAGGCGGGTTCATCTCTCTCGTAAATGGGCTTTTTTGTTCCCTTAATGTTCTAAATGGTAATATGAAGCTTCGCTTCTCTGTTCCTACTTTGTAGCTAGGTGCGTCCTAAGGTTATCTTTTGGTGTCCATTTACCTATTTTGTCGGGCTAGCAGAAATTGGAGAGCGGCCTTTGCTTTTCCTGCTGTATTTTTTTTCTTGTTTTATTTTTCTTGCCTTTCCCTTTTCTGCTTCTCTTGGTGTTGTTTTTTACTCCCCATTTTCCCCCAAAAGCATGTGTAGGCAAGGTTTCTACCCTTAATCCCTGTCGAGTGTGACGCACTTATTCTCCGAACCCATCAGTCAACATGTTAATGGCTCTGCCACAAGCAGCAAGTGATACCAGTAGTATCGAGTAGATACTCCAAAAGTACAGTAGTATAGTAGCAGGAACGCAAAGATCTTAGCGCCCAATCAGCTGGTACAGTCAAGGCGAGCCATTCAGGTTTTCGCATTTGTTTACTTCCGGGCCTTGGATGCATGAAACACAAGAGCCCTAATGTAGGCAAAATGTTTTTGGTCCTTTCCTTTCTTTTGAGATGAGGAAAATTGTATGGGATCTGATATAGATTGCTATGAAATTAGTACCATCACCTTGAGTCTCTTGCCTGCTAAAGGAGGGGGCACCATGGTGCCATGAGAGAGGAGGTGGTACCATACCTTACTATAGTACACAGGATCTACAACCTTCTGATTCATTTTATTTCCCAATTTCAGTGCATGTTGCCGAGACTCTTCGTCGGCGACAATTTTTTGCTTGTTTGCAAAGTCCGCTGTGGCTCGTCGAATTCTATTCATGTGGCAGATATTACTATGGGGTAATGGGTATTGATTACCGTCCCGTTTAAACCCTCGCGGATAACGGTTGAGATTTCGCGATCTCCGGGTCTCGATGGCTCCCATTAAATTAGGAACTGTTGATCGTTTGGGCTGGAACCGCAAAAGTGCTGGTACGGCCTGCTTCCAGACTCGCTAAACCGAACTGATTGCCGCCAAAGACGCGTCGGTCTCTTTTCTCTCTGCGCTTGTCTCTGCACTATGTACCCATATGGCAAAGATTGATGGGCCAATCTCCCATTCACATTGTCTTCAACACAGTAGGTCCTTCACACTTGTCTCCATCACTTGTGAACTTGGGGGGGAGGAGAGGGCGATGTGCCGTTCGCTTTTTTTTTTTTTTATTTATTTTTTTTGCTGGCTTATGTCTTATTTTCCCCTCTCCCGTCAACTACCAGTCCGAAGCAAGATCTCACTGCTACCTATATACAATACTGCTAACTAAGTAAGCAAAGCATTTCAACAGAGAACCATCTTCTGGTTCAGGGAAACAGAGGGTAACAATGGGTATGTTTGGGTAAAAGAGGAGGGCTGCGGAGAACCTGGATCACGGCTGGACATCGAACGACGGGGCCGGCGGGAACAAGGGGTTTCCCGCGCAGCTGCAAGCCTGCAAGATTACCTAGGGACCAGTGGAGACGGGTCAAACGGTGGCTTGCCTTAAAATCATTCTTCCGACAAGAGTGGCGGAGGCACCAGAACCTATCCATGCCCAATCAGCACCAGCTTGGGCCCCGTGTTGACAGGCTAAGTGGGACCGACAACGCCAGCTTAGTCCGTTCCATTACTCAGTGACATGGCAAACGCACTGGCGGTCGCAGGGCGCGAGGCTTGATTTCGAAGCTCTCTTTCTCTCTGTGTTCTCGCACCGATGGACCTTAATGGGAGAGGGGTGAAGGGACACTCGCTACGAGGCTTGGGAGCCTAACTGTGTCTAGTTTTGTACTAACTGTTAGAAGTATCTAGTAAGTAAATACTACTCCGTAGTAAGTCCCGTTTTGGCCCCCCTCCTTCTCTCTCCCCTCCTTCTTCCTCCCCTCTATGCTCCAATAACCTCCAATCCACTTCGAACTGGATCTGTTCAGTATTGAGTGTTCACTACTACTTGTAGTATAGTAATTATAACTAAGTGGTGGCAGCTATCTCTTCACACTCACCGGTAGTCAAGCCGCTGTCTAGTATAAACTCCAATGGGGATTACGTACAACTCGATGTGGCAACGCAATTCGCATCGTCGATAGCTGCGTACCCTACCCCCAAGTAATCATGTACCATTCTACCATCCTGTGTAGGAGCTTCCTGTACAAAGTAGCTTTCAAATTGCCTTGCTCTGTCTTGAGTGATTACACTTGGCAATGGCGGTTCTTCCGTTTTCTTGGATATTTAAAATAAGTTGGTGCGACTCTACCGACAAACCATGGAAAAGCAGGCTGCGAGTCTCGCCAATTATAGTTTTGGCGAACGAGCAATCCACGAACACACAATGGCATCCAGGGTGACGCAGAAGATGCAGTCCACCTACCATGGAACCAGAGGCGGTAAGTCACCGCCGGATAGATCCATTCGGAGAATTCATGGGTCTGAACGACACAAACATGGGCCCCTTCGTGACGCGAGCCATATTACTGCAACACATCCAGCTTTGACCCGATCGATAAACATCATCGTCATCAGCACCATTATGGCGACCTCTCTATGAGGCCTTTTTCTCTCTTCTGCCGATTGATCTTGACTTTCAAAGACAGACAGATACTCAACTCTCACTCAGCTTTTATCATTCTCTTGGATCTATCCTCGAACAAAACTGTCCAATGACGATTATGATGCCACCGTCCATACCAGGCGAAACACTACGTATAGCGTAAACAACTGTGGGTTACGCTCTGCCGTTGGTCTAGAACTTTTCGTACATCTACTACAATTTCTCTCCTCTTGTCGAAATGCGTCGAGCTGCTGCTTTGCTGAGTCGAGTCTAGGGCCCGAACGAACATCATCCAAATCCCGATTGTGGCTAGACTAAATTCGTTCCAGACGATCATCATAGCCATCACCCCTTATGATAGTTGACTAGTAGTTAGGGGCCAAGCAGAAAGTACAAAAGTCTCTGCTGCTAGTAGTAGTGCGAGTACTCAAGACTTCCACTGCGTAACGGTGGCCAGATGGCAAGATCAGCCTCCACATCCGGTTGGTTGAACAAGGAGACCTTGAATTGTGCGGTCTATCGCCCCTCCCCTCGTGTTCAAGGCAAGCTCGGAGTTACACACACATGAAGTTTGTAAATTTTATTATTTTTTTGCCCCCCATCTCCACTCCATGTCTCTTATACTTCGGTCAAACCAGCTGTAAACTTTTGAAGCTTGTTGTACAACAAGCAGATCCCCAGCGGCTGGCATTGGGACGGGGTTCAGCCGTCATTCAATATGCATTGAGGGTTTACGGAGCTCACCAATTTCCATAATTACCGCATCTGAGCATACTCGGTACTCAACCAGTGCTCAGTGGCTTTGAACAAGACCTCACTGAAGTGGACATCTGGATAAGGCGGTCACACTACGACCCGCTGGGCACTTTGATCCGTTGGCGGGCTACATGTCTTTCTTGGGAAGGAGACGGACCTTTCAATCCAGTCTAGAGCGCAGTAAGTACGTCTGTTAGCGACGTTGGCCAGAAAGTCCAAACGGCTTCGAGGGTAGTTGACAGCCACCATTGGACCAACGCCAGTGGAGTCGGGCAAGGATTCCATTGCTCTATCTATTCCTGGCTCGCAGTGATCGTCGCAGGAAAATGTCCGACGACCTCAAGAGGGCCCTCTCCTCCCTTCCCCCCACACACCCATGGTCGCATTCTCATGTCCGTGTGTCATGACTTGAGGATTCGGTTCTACCGCTTCGGGACCATATTTGTCCCCTTCCCTTTCCGCGCTTTATTTCCTTCACATCTCCTCGGCGCATCTGCCAGGTTGAATTAATGTAATGTCATGATCTTGAGATGCCAAGCCTCGGCTATGGCTGAAACTGGGAAATCATCATCGGACTGTCGTGGTGCTTGTTTCATTTCGGGGAATTGCTACGATCATCCCAGCCTATCTATCCATCCTTGGTGGTATGATGATTGTGACTCAACTAGCCCGAGTGACCGATAATCACGATACTAGTATTCCAACGTTATCTATCCATTTCCAGGCAGCCTTGTCCCTTCCTGAAGATACTCCAAACTTTCAATCGCATGGTCTGTGCCTGTGGGGTAGGCAGGGCCAGGGTGGTAGTACATAATCGATACTAGGACTTTGGCGTGGCCCAAAAACTTAGATAGATACTATATTACCGGGAATTCCGTGGGCAAGCATGCTGCCGGGAGAGGAAACAGAACAAAGCATGGGTTTCAGTCTACAAATCAGACCTCGGAAGGCTTGCATTGGGCTTGAAGACAAATCGAAACGGGCATTGGATCACCGCTTCGTGGCAAAGCTGAAAGGTGGTCCCGTGGCTATGGAGCCTGGAGCAGATCGCTTGATACTCGCTCGGCGCTGCCCAACCTGAGTGGATCTCCGAGTCAACTGGAAGCCTAGAATTGGCTGCCACCAAAGCAGGTACTTTGCTGGCACCAAAATGGAAAGTATGGAGGCAGCTTGCACGAACAGGAGAGATTGTCCCTACTCCGACAAGTATCTACAGCATTATGCTGTACTCCCCCAGATAGAATGATATCTTTTGATTAGGTTTCCATATGCTACAGTTGTAATTAGTAGTAGGTGAACGTATTCATTATTTCGAAGACATGATACAGGCTAGATATATCCCAGCTCAGAAATTATGAGCTTCCGTTCTGACGAGCGCTGATACTCACATTGTGTGATGTATAGTGTGTGTGGCTTTTCGACTCCGCAATCATCCCTCTATAGGATGATTCGGTAGTTAGTAAGTGCATAGGGAGCTTTATCTCACGTTCAAACCTCGAAAAGTGGGTTTTTGTGGATGCTGGCAAAGGAACTCAGCTGTCACCTTCCCAAGGAAGAGTAAACAAGACCCATCCAAAGCCCATGGAAGAATTATCCATGACTTTGTTCTTCGTTCGCTTTTATTCCTGTCCGTTGCTTTGCTTCCGTGTCTTGTCTTTTCTTTTCTTCATTTTTTTCCCCCGCCCCCTTCCCTCTGGGTAATTGCTTGTTTTGTCTACTCCGTTCTGTAGGCACGAATTTTGGGAGTATCTTTTTTTTTAATTTTTTCTGCTTCCCCCTTCTCTCCCTTCCTTTCCTATAATTTCTTTTTTTATGCGGTACTTTGTATGACCTGTTCTCAATTTCAGGCCTTTGCATTGGCATCTCCTGTGCGTAGTTGGTCAGTCAATTAGTTACTGACCTGCAGGATGGAATTGATGGTGGGACCTATCTCCCACCTACTCTTTCCTCCCCCTCCCACTCAGCCGATCCCTCAGAGCTGAACACGAACAAACGAACAAACGAACCTACCTTTATGCATATACATACTATACTGTAGATACCTAACTACTTGCGCAGGCGCAGTAAGTCTTCTCAACTCCGATAACACAAGCAAAATAAATAAATCAATCAATCAATCAATAAATAAATAATATAAATAATATAAAAAAAGAAAAAGAAAAAAAAAAAATTCATTACCCACAAAGATAATTGAACAAATCAAGGCAAGTAAGTAATGAACTATCTACCCTAGATAGCTACCCATGGAGTAATAAGAAAGCTAACCAACTACTACCTAAATCACCAAGAAACAACACCCTCCAAATGCCGGTACTGGTACTATCTTTCTACTCGCAGCGCCGTCCCAGCTACCTGGTTATAGTATGATGGAATGGAAAGCTAACGTAAAGTAAAACCGAACCAAACCGAACCCGACCTACGGAGAACTCCGTTAGTTACTTAGCTCCTTATGGAAACTTGGTAGACAGGTCACTTCACAGCTAAGGACGCAATTCCGCGATTGAGGTACTCCGCTCGAATCCATCCATACCATCATCCACTATTAATATATAATTTTCTTTTTTTTTTTTTTTTTTTTTTTTTTTTTTTTTTTTTTTTTTTTTTTTTTTTCACTCTGGTTTAATGATCAAGTAAGGGTTTTCCGACTTGGTTAATCTGCAGGAAACCATGGTTCGTCGCAGATTAGATGCAGATTTAAACTGTTTTCTAACTACTTGCTTTGTAGTAGGTAGGAATTCGGGATTACTGTACTTTGATTGCTACGGAGGAGTATGGCCCGATGTCAGGAAGGTTCGCTAACCATCCAATTCACATGGGAGAGGGGGAGAGAGCGAGATTGGTGTGAAGTAAGTGGTTACTATTTACTTTGCAAATGTAAATTCAAAATGGTAGTTTTTGGATTAGATGTAAAGATAGTTATTGTCCCCTCTTCCCATCATATTGTGGAGTTGCAACACTCCGTGGTTTGGTACAAGTTGCTCTCTTACCTCTCCCTCTTCCTCTCCGTGTGTGTATGTATCTTTCTCTCTCCCGAATCAGACCATGCGGTCGGTCAGAAGGAGGAAAAGGAAAAGAATATCGAAGGACTAGACTAGACTAAACTAGAACAGAGATGGACCGAACCAACGGAAAGTTTTGTGGTGAGATAACCGATAGAGATTGACTTGACTTGGGCGTGAGATTAATTAAACGTCGTTCCGGTGCAATCAATATACTATGCCGGTCTACTTCTAGTTATAGTCTAGTATCTAACTAACTGACGATGATTATGATGATGAAGAAGAGGGGGTGAGTGTGTGAGAAAGAGGAGGGGTGGTTTGGTTTGGTTTGAAGGGGTCCGTCCGGGCTGTCGGTAGGAAAGGTCAATTTGTTTGGGTGGTAAATTAATTCCGCTCCACTTGATGACCAGATGAAACCAAAACCGAGGCCGGGCTGTGGGGAAAAGTAGGAAATTACCACGCGTCTAGATAGAACAATTAATTTATCTAGTCGTGGATTTCTTGGGTTGAGAGGAGACTTGTGTCTGTTCTACCAAAATTAAGTCTAGTATCTGTGATCTAGTGACTAGAAGGTCTTGGATCGCGATCGAGGAGGGACAGTATACTTAGTGGGAGAGAGTGAGGGAGAGAGAGAGGGGCAGGGGAATTAATATCGCGATGCATATTTTCCGGACACTACTGGACTAGCAAGAACCAGTTCATCGGTGAGGGACGGGTGGTCTAGACTCGAAGGAGATTTGTTTTCTGGTTTCGTGTCAGGTTCTTTTCTCCATCGTGGTTCACTTCGGCTATGGGATGGGTTGGTAGATTGAACGTATCACTTGGACTGGAGGGGACGAGGATGATGGAGGGAAAGCGGCTGATGAGGGAGCGAATCGTAACTTAACTTGTACTATACAATGGTCATGCTAAGTGTTTCAGATAACCCTTCATCCCCATCCCTGCCTGATTATTGACATACATGAGCAGGAAAGCGGATCGAATCGGATCCTTCCAAACACACATGAAGGACCAAACGGACATAGCAGAAGCACACTGACAACGGGCTCGTGTGACATGGACGGTTTGACCATCATAGCTCGGCGTCTCTCCTAACAACCAGTGGTGAACTGATTCCAACGGATACCCGTCATCATGGACCTTCCCTTACTACTTACTTATCTAACTCCTAAGTACACAATTGACACTTGACACAACCGTTGGACAGCCAGGTGCCGTATCCCGCTGCAGTAATCCTGTTCGAAACTTCCCGTGTTCGAGACGACTCTTGAGCCTACGTCCATCTCATTCGTTGTCGAGGACGCCAGCCCCGTCATCGTTCGCTACCTCCGTAGAATCACTAGGGTAATCTGCCCAGGCTGGACTGGCCGGAAACCTGTAGTCCTTGTCGCAAGTACCAGGGCTGGGTACTCTGGATATGTCTGCCGGACCGGGCCAGGGTGTACCTGACTGGTCAAGTCTGGAACTCTCATTTCCGCGCGGGTGGTCTGGCAGACGGCCAGAACTTGGGTTGAACCCCACTCGATCTCGGCCGTCGGGAGGTCTCTCAGAACGTCATCGCATAAGGCCATACAGGTCACTAGGATGCAAGTACTCCGTAATCGGGTCCAGTCCCTGCAGTGCACCGCTCCGCACAACTCTTGGACGAGCAGCAACTGGGAGAATAAGGAGAAGTTACATCGGAACAATCAATTTGAAAGACTGGGGATGCCCTATAATGGCTGAACACGTCACATGGGCATTGAATGTGTGGTGAATGAACGAAGTAGAAGTCACAGAGTGATATTGACATGTGACACCAGTTTCGATCATGTGACTATCTGGTCTACTACATAGTACTGAAAAGAAATTCATGGGCTACGGGGCTTCAATTGAGCTCTTGATAAATAATATATCGAGGTTTCTTTTTACTCAGAACCTCATGTAGAATTCCAACGTTCCTCGGAGTCCTCGGGCCTCCATCGCCTTGGACTATACTATCCACTATCTACTTCGGACAAACTGAATGAGGGATGCTAAAAGAGCCCAGAAGAACTGCCATAACAGGCACCTTTTATTCCTTTGTTTAGACATGCCGATATTCTATTCTGGGGGCCCCGGTCATTATAAAGGTGGTCGATAATGACTGATGCAAGGCTGTGTGATCCTTTGTTCCTCCGTCTTTACAACGGCTACAGTATACGGAGAGCATTATCAAACAAAGCCTATATATAAGACCATACTTTTGAATCTCTACGTTTATTTTCAAGTCAGCATCAATGCCGTCGTCGGAAGCCAATGGATCATACAGCATCTTTCAAACAAATAATGAACCAGGTTGTCTCGATTCTAGCAGTTCAAAGAGATCAGGAGGGGGGAAAGACCCCTGCACCAAGGGCAAACGAGATAATGCATTCTCTCCCATTCCAAACATGTCGCTATGTGGTTTTTCAGACATAAAGCCAGCAACGATCTCCTTCACGGGCATATCCCTTAATCATCATTCAGAACGTCGCCCCGGCCTGCTAAGTCTGTCAACTTTCGAGCTATACACTCATACAGCCGCCTTTATCTTTACTGCACGCAAGACAAGGAACGATAGATATTTATTGTCGGAGATATGAGTGAACCAAAACCAGAACCGGAACTACCACATCGACGGCTGTCACAGCCACCAGAACTGGTATATACCCATGCGTTTTTCGAGCTAGCCAAGAAGTACTTGACTAATTGACTGGCAGGATGACCCTATCACCTCTGGCTGGGCCCCTCTGGGATTTTGTCGAAAGAGGGTTGGGGGATTCAGGAATCGGGGTACCTTGTGCTACCGGAACGCGGTGCTTGTAGTGCTTATGAATACGCCTGTTTTTCTGAAATGGCTTATCAGATATCACAAGAGCCACGAAACGTGTACTTCAGAACAACAAAAGTGCCTAACCTGTTGTTTCTATCGTCTTTATCATCTCTATTGGGTCAAAGAAGATGATGGAAAGGATAGATTGCAGAGATGCCTGAAACCGTTGTGGGGAAGACTTGCAAAGACCTCCTGGAATGGTTATACCCAAGGGCAGCAGGATGCGCGTGCATTCTTGGAATGCATATTCCAGCAGCTACTTGTGGAGGTAGATGAACAGGGGTAAGGTTCTTTCTTCATACGTACGCTGCACGCCCGATGCTAACTTGAATTAGCTGCCGCGAGTTGAATGATATATTCAAGATTCGAGTGAGCAGGAATAAAAAGTGCTGCAAATGTGAGAGGTTGAGAAATTGGCCAGATGAAAAATTCTTTATGGTGTATGCTCCTGAGGATGAAAATACGCCTGGGTTCGCAAATATCGAGGAAAGACTACTAGACAAATCAGAGTATTCGATTGAAAAGTGTGGCAAGTGCGGACAAGAGACAGGCCATCTTACTTCCGAGAAGGCTTTATACCTTCCTGAAGTTCTTCTTGTCCAATTCCCCAGAATGAAATATGACAAAAGGACGAATGAGCCCAGAAGAATTAGGGCTCCTGTCTTTCTTCAGAGCGAGATAGAACTCCCACCTGGCTTATTGAGTGATACAGTGAAAATCGAAGGCTGCGCTCGGTATGAGCTTTTCGGGATAGTCTTCCACACGCCAGATGAGACGGACATCCAGTTGGGTCATTACACATGTGCTGTCATGGGACCAGATAATAAGTGGGCACATCAAGACGACATGATAACTGACACCTATGAATCACTGGATGATATTCTTGAGGGTTTCATAGATAATCAGGGGGGAATGAAGCCTGGCCACAATGATCGCGTCTATTGGGCAGTATACCATCGTGTGCCCCTCGAGAGGCCATTAGATCTGGGGTCCGGGGTCTGGGGAGAAGATCAGGCTTGGGTCATGCAACCAACCGACGATGATGAACCGCCCACCAATGCTAAATCCCATGGCAGCCCCAATGCAGGCTCTCCAAGGGGCTCTTCCCCAGAACCTGGTCTAGGTTCGATGAGCATCGCGCCTCATAATGCTGTATGCCTGGAACAGACCATTCACTTAAAGGGACGAAGGTTAAATTGGAAAGTCAACGATCAGCTGGTCATATCTGAAGGAGACGGGCCCCTTATCTGGCTGAAACCAGGGAAAAAGGTTCAACATGCCGAGGTCAGGCTTAGACTTGTCTGCCAAAAGACGCGAGAGCTCCTCACAGGGCGAGGCATCATTCCCCTTAAGCCAGAGATTCTACTCGAGCCATATGATGCTGGACCACGACCGGACACATTTGTACGAGACGTCGGAACACAGACACGACTCAGTTTCCGCGGGGAAGACAACAGGCAAGTAAGACCTTCGGGAAGTGCGCAAGATAGGGTTATCTCTGGGAAGATCATCAAAGCCAGTAGCCCGAAGCGGTCTCAATTAGCTACGAGAGCCTCTATCTGAGACGGGCGCTTAGGTTGAACTTGAAATGGGTGGAAGTCATGTGGGGCTTAAGATGATAGTAGTGCTGTTGCGATTATATGCTTCCATGGTACTTTCGCTTGGGCTTCCTAGTGGGTTCGGATCAATTCGGTTTTTGATAAAATAAACGCTGCTTATGCTGGATCATCTTTATATAAGTTATCATCATTAGACTATAAGATCATATGGGTATCGAATGCTTGTGAAATACCCGGCAGTAACATGCGACCTTTCCTCGAGGACAGTTGAAGTCCCAGTCATTTGGGTTGCGGTCTTCCCGCGCCCTCTTCTACTACCTTTGGCACTTTTCATCCCCAGCTACACCTCCCAATGGCGTCTCAAACCCAGTCAGACTACCTACTCGCCTCCCAATCAAATCCTTCATCTGCCCAATTCATCGATCAATTGATCTCCCACCTCTCAACCTTCACCGTCCCGCCCGTAGACAGTAACCATGACCACCGGCATCAACCACCAGTCAGACATCACCGCACACCCTTCTCTACTCTGCCTCCATCCCAAATAGCAGAAGTGAAGGCAGCAATGCTAACACTCCACTGTATATTTCCAAATGAGCTCCTCCTCGCTCTGGACATCCTAGACAGAGGTCTAGTGCACCGGTTCATATGCAACGACACCAACACCAGCAGCAGCCAATCAACACATCCTACAAACGCTCAACATCGTCCTTCAACAACAAATGCTACTACCAAAGATATACCTGATGTCTTCTATGTCCGCTCAGCATCTACCATCTCTCCCGATCAACAGGACCCATTCTCAACCACACCATATCACACCAAAGAACCAGACCCAAAAGGCTACGAAGTCCGGCTAAAGGCCTGGAACTGCACTTGTCCTACTTTTACCCTGAATGCATTCCGAGACCCGGGACTTGATGACGACGAAGAGGTGGTCTCCTCCTCCTCCTCCTCCTCCTCCACCACTGATCAGCATGACCCTTCCTTAACAAAGGACGACTACTATCCATTCGGGGGCTCATTAACCCGGAACTCAACTCGCTCCTCTCCTCCCGTGTGCAAGCATCTTCTGGCCTGTTGCCTGGCCGTGCGGTGTCCGGGTCTCTTTGGGAGCGGAGAAGAGGGATCTGTTTCTGTTGTCAGTGTGGAGGAATTGGCGGGTTGGTGTGCTGGGTGGGGTGGATGATGAAAGCTCTAAACTTCTTTGTTCATTGTATGTTTCGAGTCGGTGAGGGATCTAGACTATTCTTGGGTGTTTGTTGTTTGCCCTTGTTCTGGGTGAAGCACATGGCATGGTTTTGTCTTTGTTTACTGAGGAGTGGAACAACTTCTCATTGTCTAGAAACATTGATACCGAAGAAGGTTCCGTGTTGGGGGTCATAGTGGAGGGTCTCGGATGTTATGGAGACCTGAGTCATGATGGCTGGGAGCCATTACGTGGAAGATGACCCAGTAACACTATGGCATGACGTGTGCAGGCCAGTGGGATGATCGTCTGTTGGATACGTGCCGGTCTACAGAGACTACTACTATTGTGCCGTCTGTGAGCGGCTCCGAATAGTGGAGTCCATTATGAAAGCTCTGGGAGCTTGCAATTCCATAAGTCCATCCTCGACAATACCTCACGCAAGTGCTGCTCTTGAGGATAGATCTTACCAATACACACATACAGCAGCACCGTTGCTGGCCTATAACAAGCAGATGCCCCGTGGTCGCAATCAGCCGCGTAGAGATTACCGTAATATACATTCGATGGACTGCATTGTTCTAGATGATCGTATCGCATAGAGTCCCTGACCCGTCTACTCCTTCTGGCTCTTCTTGGCCTTCTCCTTGTCTTGACCCTCCTTCTGCTCTCCATTGGCGGCACTGTTGGCCTTCTTCGCGGCCTCCTTCTCGGTCTTGGCCGCGTTGGCCTCCTGTTCCCTCTTCAGCTCGTTCTCTTCTTGTTGCTGCCGGTTCTGGATCTTGTTCTCGATCAAGTCGTGGAATGCGGTGATGGCGCGGATCAAGCTGCTCAAGTAGATCGCCATTAATTGATCGTTGGTCTTGATGCTCATGGCCCGTGCGAGCTCGCTGTTCTCCGTCGGCTGTTCGGGCGCGCCGCTGATGCGCGGCGTGGCGGCTGGTGTGGAAAGGTTGGGGAGGAGGTTGAAGACGTCCTGGAGGTTGCCCAAAATGGCGTGGTTGACGGGGAGTTCGTGGTCAAGAACCTTCTGCAGGTATTGGCCGATGTCGCGCAAACGCAGGTGCAGACCCTGCAGCGACTGAAGCTGCGACGTTATGCGGGTGGAGAGGGTTCCGACAGCGACATCCCTGATATCCCGGAGAAGGTGCTCCACTCCAATTTCCTCAGCTTCCTCAGCTTCGATTATAGACGGGGTGTGGACGAAGGTCTTTGATGTTGTGGTGCCATCCTGTTACAGCATTGTGATGATTAGTCCATATGTCCTTTAACGAGGTCCGGTACGACGGCGCGCATAGTTACTCACATCCTTGATCTCATCCACAGCAAAGTAAGCATCCGTAGGAACGCCGACTTCCTTCGGTTGGACATCCACAATCACCAGCAGAGGGTTCGGTGTGTAGCGCTTGAAGAGTTCGTTGATTTCCAAATCCGAGGCCCGCAGCTTCGGGCCCGAGTGATACCATCCAACCAGCTTCTCACGAGCATTGATCTTCTTGAACATGTCCCTCATCGACTCGACAAAGTTGTGATCTAGGAACCAAACGGAGGGGTCCTTCTCATCTTCCTCGAAGGGTACTGGGAGAAGGAACTGTCAGCACGTGGACACTGAAAGAGATACCGAAGGTAAATAGAAGGTCAATGACGCACCCGCAAAGCTGTTCGATACCCGGACATTCTGGCCCGAGTTCTCACCCAGCAGCACACCAACCACACGTTTCCGGGTACCCTTGGCCGAGCGGCCGTAGTGATCTGCGACGGAGAGAAGAACTAGCGGAGCGACCGTGACGGTGCGCTGAACGAGGGAAAGTGCGTCCGCCGTGGTGGCAGGCATGGCGGAGACAGAAGGAACGCGAGACGAGCTGTCAGCGGTGGAGATAGGACTGGAAGGGGAGGATGAAGGGTCTTTCAGAAGCGTGTGGGAGGGATTGTTGCGGGATAAGCAAGGGGATGAAGATGGGAGATGAAGGAGGAGGAGGAGGAGCGATGACGATGAAGAGGGAAGCTGTTGTTGGTTGGATCAACGGAGAGCCTCTCTGGATTCATTGGAGCTCCGTGCTTGAGCCACACTCGAGTGGCTGATGGTGAGAATTGACACCTCGACACCTGAACATCAGCCACAACACATACATTCCGGTGCCTTTATGCCTCAGGCACACAATACGGGACACGTGTTCCGGGACTAGTCCCGAGTCGGACTCTTCAAGGCTCAAACCAGTGGAGATTGGCTCAATGAAAGGACGTCATGTTGGCGATGAGAGATTGCTTCCGGGTCAATGGACGCCTCTGGAGACCATTGAGGATCTACCAAACACCTCCGATCAGAACCCCGAAGGCTAGGGTGCCGGTCGAGGCGAATTTCCCAGGGCGCAGGAACCTCGGGTGGGAGACTCCACTCCCTCCGGTCGGCCTCTTTTCTCCCCCAACATGCACTTTCTCCGTTCCCTTCCCTTTCCCCGGTCTGGTTGATATCTCTTCCTCATTCCTGCCACTTCTCTCCTCTCTTCCCTCTTCCTCCCCCTCCTGTTCCCTTTCCGGACACTTTCTTGAAGCGTTCTCCTTTTCCTCTCCTCTTTTCACATCACAATGGCTCCCATTACGGACGAGGTCGTCAACGGCCTGAAGGACACTATCGGAAAGCTGGAGGCTCGTGTTGAGGAGTTGGAAGGCCGCCTCAGCAACCAGGTCAAGCCTAAGTCGGTTGCTGAGCAGATGCGCATCATCCTGATGGGCCCTCCTGGTGCCGGTATGTTTTCCATTGACAATCCTTGGATCCTTTCTACATTCTATCCTCGTTCCCTGCTTTTCCGTGCTGCGGAATTCTGACCGATTCTCCAAACTAGGCAAGGGTACCCAGGCTCCCCGGCTGAAGGAGAAGTACTGTGTCTGCCACTTGGTAAGCCATCCATCGGGTTGTCATTGTTTGGTCTTGAGCCCAATACTAATGTCTATTTCCATTCATGCAGGCCACCGGTGACATGCTGCGCTCCCAGGTCGCCAAGAAGACCGCGTTGGGTAAGGAGGCTAAGAAGATCATGGACCAGGGTGGTCTGGTCAGCGATGAGATCATGGTCAACATGATCCAGAGCGAGCTTGACAACAACGCCGAGTGCAAGAACGGGTGGGTAATCTGATCTTCATGCGATACTGCTTAGTTGGCTGACGGCGCGCGCCTCTTATCTAGATTCATCCTGGATGGTTTCCCCCGTACCGTTGCCCAGGCTGAGCGTCTGGACGACATGCTTAACGCTCGCCAGCAGAAGCTCCAGCACGCCGTTGAGCTTCAGATTGACGATGCCCTTCTGGTGGCCCGTATCACCGGACGTCTCGTCCACCCGGCTTCCGGCCGCTCCTACCACAAGATCTTCAACCCCCCCAAGGAGGAGATGAAGGACGACGTTACTGGCGAGCCCCTGATCCAGCGCTCCGACGATAACGCCGATACCCTCAAGAAGCGCCTCGGCACCTACCACGCCCAGACCGCCCCCGTTGTCGAGTACTACAAGAAGACCGGTATCTGGCGCGGCATTGACGCCAGCCAGGAGCCTGGCCAGGTCTGGAAGAGCTTGCTCGGCGTTTTCCGCCAGAACTAGATGCCTTTAATGGCAGAGGACGTCCACCTTTGAGGCCGGAGTGATGTACCTTAGTGATACCCATCGTTCCGGTGCTTATGTCTTTGCCCGGAGGTAGAGGCTTTCTGATTGCCCTCATGGGCCGGTGAAGAAAGGCAGAAAAAAAGACCTGCGTTGTCCGGGAATGGAAATTGTCTTTCTCATGTCCTTATATAGACTCATGCCTTCCGGCCGGATATCTCTGTTTTTGTATAGTAGTAATTTCGGAATGCGAATAACCTCCGACAAGTAAACCGCAATGATAATGTAGTCGTTGACCCTTTGATTTGGAGTATACAAGCCAACGATATTTACCCTCAACAAACCTCATATCAACAAAACATGAAACACCAAATCACATCATTCGATTTACAGGACTATAATGGATCTACAGCTGCGTAGGATACACAGTCGACTCGATCTTCTCCGGATAAGTCAACCCTCCCTGCCGTCTAACCTCATCCATCACCTCCATAATCACGATACTCTCCTCCCACGGCAGAGTCTCGCTCTCCAGCTTTCCATCCCTCAGGCACCGCGCCACCTCATCCGCCTCCCAGAACATACCCTTCCCACCGCCAGGGAACGGACACTCAACCTCCTTAACCTCACCCTCTCCCTTGGCGGGGATAATACGGTATCGCTCAGGCCGGAACGCCGGCCCATCCACCTGGATCTCACCCTTCGTACCCTGGATCCGGATGGCCGGGCGGGCGGTGTTTGCCTCATCGGGGTCAGTAGAGACGCGGAGATGCGTCATGGCCACGGCCTGCGACTGGCCCGGATGAGGTAGGTTGGAGGGAGTGCTGGTCGGGAAGCTCAAGAGGATGGTAGTGGCCTCGTCGGCGCCCGTTAGATGGTAAAGTGTCATATGGGCGGAGATGGCAGAGGGAGGTTTACGTTGGTCCCGGGGGAGGGTGTGATAAAGGGTCTGGAAGACCCAGGTTAGGGAGTAGATTCCCACTGCACGTTCGATATAGTTAGTCATCTGCCGTACGCAGGGGAGGAGAGATGAACTGAAATAAGAGAAATGAGAAGGGAGGGTTCGTGAATGGGTGCGGCTTACAATCCAACAGACAACCACCCGCCAAATCCTTATTAACCATACGATGCTCCGTGCCCCATCTCTCCTCAACCGGGTCTCCGAAACTGTTATCAGAGATGACCCGCAAAACCTCGCCGATAGCGCCCTGCTTGATCAAATCTCTGATCTGGATACTGAGAGGGAAGTAGCGAGTCCAGACAGCTTCCATGAGGAAGAGATTCTTCTTCTGAGCGGTCTCGCATAGGATCTTGGCCTGAGCAGCATTGACGGTGAAGGCCTTCTCACAGAGGACATGTTTTCCGGCGTTAAGAGCCAGCATGACATTCTGGAAGTGGTGGGAGTGCGGAGTTGCGACGTAAACGACATCGACGTTGGCGTCGGCTACAAGATCTTCATAGGAGCCATAGGCGGCACAGGGGGATGGGATACCGGTGTCTGAGATGAATTTCTCTGCTCGTGCGGCGTTGGAGGAGGATGCTACGGCCACGACGGTGTGAGAGACGTCGGTGACGTTGCGGACGTTGGGGTCTCTAAGGAGGTCACGGGTGAAGACTGCATTTACTTTGTTAGGAGAAACTGGTGGTTGTGAGCTGGGGTGAGAGGCTTACCATCGGCGATCCACCCCGTAGCTGTATATGTGCAATGCCATCCGCGTTCGTTAGCCCGGGGATCTTTTTGTTTGTTTGGATGCGGGGAAATTGATCCCTACCCATGATACCCCACCGGATGTTGTGGGGAGCCATTGTGAAGATGAAGACTGGAGATTCTGGGATGCTGAGCGAGGATGAATAAAGCTAAGAAGTACTGCGCAGTCGAACGGATATCTGGGTTCTGAAGAACGCTGGACAGATGTTGAGGGGGAGTGAGAATAAAAGAAGTAATTCTTGTTACGTTGAGCGGAGTTGCGCCGAGCGGGGCAGCTTCATTTGCCGACGTCATTCGCCGAAACTATGAAGATTGGGGTTTATCTGTATATAGTGGTTCTACGTAGTAGAACATATCCAGGATGTATATAATGACCTGATATTTGGTTCATCCGGTTCTACAATGGGATACTATATACAAGGCAGCGAGCCCGGGAGTGCTGTATGTGTCCTGTGATCCATCACCATCATCACTTGCCCCGGAACGCCCAGAGGAAGGGATTTCATTCACCTTCCCATGCAATAAAAACAGCCGTCAAGCTGAATGAATGATGCATCTTCGCTCAAAAGCAGAGAATCATCAACAAAGAGTAAGAAGAAGAAGGAAAGGAGAAGGGAGTGTACACCCCAATCACACGGGCTCTGTTTTAATCCGCACATTGGACCCAGGAGAGTCGGTCCCCTATAGTACGTGTTAGTCACTGGGATTGCTGAATATCTCTCATTATTTCATCACTCACCTCGGCCTTGCGTTTGCCCAAAACAGACTCGGGAGTCCCAGTTCGTCCTGATGGCGTCCCCCGGCTGGCTGGCGTAGGTCCGTTATTGGTAACTTCGGCATAGCAACTAGCATGGTACACGCGACTTCCCACCTTGACCGCATCCTGCCAGATCCAGTCCTGCACATCCTCCGACCATGTCGACTCAAACTTCTCCTGGCAGATAGGGCAAGGGGTGTTTCGCAATGTTGCGTCATTCGGGGCGTGGATCCACTGCTTGGGAGGCCCCTTCTTAGTCGCAGCGCCGTCAGCACCAGCAACACCCTCAGCGGAGGCCTCCGTCTCCGCAAGATCTTGTTCGTCACCCGCCTCACGAGATTTAATCCAATCCTGGAGATAGTTAGTCCTGCAGAATAAATGGTTCGAGACTGGTCCGTGACTTACCCGTTCATCAACGTACCAGCTGCGGTTCTGGGCCCGCCTAGCTGCCTCAGACATGCGCTGGTTGGTGCGGAAGTGCCAATCCAAATGGCGAGCCTTCTTCTCCTTCCCTTCCTCTGTTGCAAAGAAACGTTGACCGCATGTTCCACACCGGTTTGACCGCGTCTCGTAGAGGCTGGAGATCAGCATTTGCCGAGGGCTGAGGGTTCATTGAGTTAGAGATATGAAAACCAATGTAGCCTTAACATAAGACACTCACATTTTGATGGACGCTGTGCTCATTTGAACGTTGATCTGCGCATTGGATGTACCTTGCTGTGTCTGCGGTGTTGCGACTGGAGGCGTGACTCGCACCTGACCAGGTACAATTAATGGAAAAGCAGGCGTGACATTTGGCGGCGGAGCAGCAGTGAAAGGGGCTGGAGGTGCCGAGGCCGGTGGCAGTAAGCCCTGTGCTCTTAGGGCTGCAATGAGAGGATTTTCCGGTGCGGCGCTGACGGAAGGCTGCGGCGCGGTGGTATTAGTGGGCATCTGCGGTAGGATATTGTGAATTTGAGGTGGCGGAGTCGGCTGCTGACGTGTAGCAGTAGCTTTGAGGAGCCCGGCAAGCGTGCCAGGATTGAGAAGCTGTTGTAAAGGTTGCGAAAGTGTTTGGGCTGGAGGAGTAGCCATGGGGGGCGTTGAAACGGCTGGGACACTTGGAGCCATAGCCTGAGGAGCCGGCATTGCAGGCTTCGGAGCGAGAGCTGAAACCTGGTCGCGGACGAGCTTCAATTGTTCCTGGGTAAGTTCTTGCCGTTGCAAGATACCCTGAAGATCTAGAAGAGCCTTCAGTCGTTGCTGTATCGAAGGGTCCAGTGGATTGTTTGCAAAATCGTTCCTGGCGGTGGCAATAAGAGCCTCGATATCTCGGTTGAGAACCGCGAGATCAACCTCTGTTGAGCGTGGCTGGGCTTGGGGAGTTGGCGTTCCCCGCGAAGAGTACGATTCACCCTGCTATTCATATAAGACCTTCCGCCATAATATGGCTCTGGAATGTAAGATGATACTTACCGATGGTGGATATCCGTGACCAGAGCCATTGCGCTGGTAATGCATGGGTAAAGCCTGGTTTGCCGCAGGTGGATGGCGGCCCATGCCTTGCGGTGGTGTAGGAGTGCTGTTCCAAGCTGGAGGAGTGCCAACTCGACCGCGAGCGAGGATGTCTTGTTGGGTTCGGGCCTGCTGCTGCTGAAGCGCTGCAGTCCTTGCTTTGATCAGAGCACTCTCGATACTGCGAGTAATTTCTGGAGGAAAAACGGGCCTGGTGTCGAGGGAACCCGGAACCGGCTCCTTCCAGGTTTTGAGCATCTCATCCAACTTCTTGCGCGTCTGCGAATCGACCAGTGTGTAGGCGTTCATAAAGGTCTGATACAGATTGCGACCCAGGAACAGAGTGTAGGGCGTGCCTACGTTCTTGACAATCGAATCGACTACATACAAGGCGGGCAACTTCTGAGCCGGCGGAGTCTACAGAGCAGATTAGAACTCGTTTCATCCCAAAGAGAGACTACAGACGGGTTGTGCGTCTCGTCAGGTCCGACGAGGCCCAACCGGTGGTATTCTGAGAGCGTGTCACCTACTGTTCGAATGTGGTTCTCCAACACGCGGGAGATGGCCATCGCATGTTCAGTGTTTTCTTTGGCTATGACAGTCAGATTGCTGATCTGAAACCTGTCATTGTTGGTTAGATCTTCCAAGGAATTCTTGTAATCCTCGGCAACTTCGTCGGAGGCCAACCCGGATGACATGGTGGGCAGATACAAAGGCTGATGAGGATGATGAAGGGGGAACAGGGGGAAAGCGAGGATAAGAAAAGGGTATTGACAAAGAAGAAAGAAATGAACAATGGACGAGTGCTAAAGAAGGGCGTAACACTCGAAAGAATATTTATGTTCCTTTTGTTTGTCCTTTCCTCTGATTCCTCCTCTTTATTTAATTATTTGGTCTTTTCTCTTGTCTTTTTCAGTTCCTTTCCTTGTCCTCTAGACTTTGTAAACTTTTTTTTTCTTGCTTTTTTTTTCTCTGGCTTTCTTCTTCTTCTTATTTCCCCCCTTTTTTGTTAGGAACTTGTCCTTCTTATTGCTTTGTTTCTCTCTTCTTTTGCTCCTCTTTTTTCCCACTGGGTTTGTCCCTTTTACCACCGTATATAAAATTTCCTATTTCCGCTTCCTTTGTTTCTCTCCAAATAAACGTGTCTCCTGAGAGTGCAAGAGATGGAAAGAGCTGTCGGAACTTGTAGAATGCTTGCTAGCTATCTTGGTCAGACTTGAGACAACAACAGGAGGCCGCAAGCGCAAATCCTCCACCAGAACCCGAAAGTCAACAAAGAACCCGCGCTACAACACTCCGTCAACCCAGTGTTAATCAATCTACCTCATACAATCACCCGTACTGATTGACCCTTCCAGTAAACAATAACCAGTAGAGGAACCAAACCGGGACGAAGGGGGGTTGATGAAAGATGGAGAGGGGGAAAGAAAGATCTTGGAGTGAAGTCGGGAAATACCCCCAGCTGTTACACACCTTGGGGGGGAAATCGGGCGTGCAAAGGGGACCAAGGTTGAATGAAAACCGGCTAAATTGGAAGATGGAAGCTCGAACAGAATGACCAGGAAATAGCAAAGCAGCCCAGAGTCGGCCGGGATGAAGCGAGGGAAAGGGAGGCGAACAGGGAGCAGGAGAGGCAGGCAGAATTGCGGAAGTTGCGCTCACGAGGTCCGAAGAATAGAAAGCGTCAGCGCCGCGGCGTGACTGGCTGAGTCAGCACACTAGGTTGAGACTTGGTCCTTATCCGTTACCGACTAACCCCAATCGGGCAATGCATTCCAGCGCTCTCGTGAATCGCCGTGAGTGGATAGTATGACGCAGTCACACCTTACTTCCCCCAAGATACTACTAGGTACAACCCCATCTTCATCACCTCCATCTCTATGTCACAACCATTGAAACTTGAATCTGGATATTGGTATTACTATTGGTTTTTAGGAAAGGTTGCTTTCTACGCGTCGAGCCCAGTGTCGAATTCTTCACCATGAAGTTGTCTGCTACTGCTACCGTCTTGGGGTTGCTTCCCTTGGCCCTGGCCGAATCGATTCTGGTCACGTTCCCTTCAGGTACCCCTGACTCGGTGGTTGATCAGGCAAAGCAATCAGTTAAGGACGCTGTATGTGACCGGGTGCTTTGACAGCGTTGGCACATCTCTATTTTACTGACTGGTCGTTTCTGGTAGGGTGGCAAGATCACCCATAATTACAGTAAGCATCATGCAGCGTTCCTAGTTCCCTAGTCATCCTTGCGTTTTGGGTAGTGGCAGTGCTAACATGCCGCTTTATACAGCTTTGCTCAAGTAATTCTCTCCTGAAAGTTTCGGAGTGCTTGGTCTGACATACATACACACAGGGGCTTCGCAGCCGACACCAAGGACGATTCGGTTCAACAGCTATCGACTGAATTCGCAGCATACAATCCAACTATTGAGAAAGACATCACTGTCACTATCCAGTAATGGGATATTGGATATTCCGGGAGAAGCAAGCTCCCTTTTCTCCATTCCAAATTACTACTGAATGATGGATGGTTCTCCCGCTGGTTTCGGGGCTTGACCGTTGATGCTCGATAATGGATGAATAGATGGGGAAAAACTAGCCTAGATTGTAATTCAGGATTTCTATGTATCATTGTCTTTCTCTGTTTTGAAAAAGGGAGTATGTGTCTCGTTGTCGCCTGAATGAACCATGTTATGGACTTCTAAAGCCGGCGACTGTTTCCCATAACCCAACAAACAACAAAATCACCATGACATGAATAACTGACTTGGATAATTCGTCACGATTTTAAATCTTATGAACCACTTTGATCTTTGGTGGGTGTTGTTTCATATGGTGGAAGTAGAAAATAGGAAGCAACGCCGTGGGTGATCCTGAATGTTTCCCTTCCCAAGCGGGACTTCGGTATTTATAGCTCGTCGATGCGCGTAGCGTGGATCCCGCCTCCAACGCCCCGGAGGCGCTCAAAAAAGGATCTCATCGAGGCACAGTCCTCATCCTCCACCGTCCAGGTTCAAATTTAACCGTGCTGAGGGGTCGCAATTAGCCCCTCCTGGCCCCGACCCGAATACAATTGCCGGCAATTCCACCCAGCCGTTACTGGAATTTGCAACAACCGCCGTGTTCCCCGCCCAGTTGATTGCCCCCGATTGCAGCCAACATCGCCGACCATGGCTGCGGAGCATACCGTCACCCAGGCCCTGCTGGAATGGGTTAACAGTTTCGCCTTGGGCAAGACTATCCGGACGACCGAGGAGTTGTCGGATGGCACCATCATCTGGGAAATCCTGCAGGATATCGATCCGCAGTATTTCCTCGATGAGATCCCCCAGCGCGCCCCGTCCGACCACTGGCTATCCAAATGGCAGAACCTGAAACATATCCACAAGTTGCTCGTCAACTACATCCGCCAACAGCCCGATGGCATGCCCACAGGTCTCGACCCCAACCCCAACCTCGAATTGGTCGCCGAGAAGAACTCCGTCAAGGAGGCCAACAAACTCCTGAAGCTCCTTCTGATCGCCGCCATCCGCTCTCCCAACGCGCAGACCTACGTCGAAACCCTTCAGAGCCTAAGTACCCCGACGCAAGAAACCCTGAAAAACATCTTCGAGGAAGCTCAAAATGGTCAGCATGAGGCTATTGATGGTGAGGACGACGTCAAGGAGGAGCGGGATCTGCCCGTCGACCCCGAACTGCAGTTTGAAGAGCGGGTAGGAAAGGTGTTGGCGGAGAATAACCGGATGGCGCGTGAGAAAAAGGACATGCAGAAGCAGATCGATGATATGCACGATCGCCTGGCGCGCCTCCAGGAGAACAATGACACCTTACAAAGCCGGCTTGCATCGACCGAGGATCGACTAGTCAACTTGAGGTCTGGGAAGGGTGATCTTGGACTCAGTGCAAAGGCTCTTGAGTCCAAATCCCGTCAACAGGAAGACATCATCGCAACCCAGGAAGCAAGGCTAGCTACAGCGCAGGATGAGATCGACAGTCTACGCATGACGGTGGAGTCATTACGCGTCAAGAACCAACGATTCCAGAAGCTCCAGGATGACTATGACGAGCTGAAGACTGAGCGAGACCAACTCGCTCGCAAGGCGAACGCAGCCGAAAAGTACCGCCAGAAGCTGCAGGCTAGCCAGGACTTCGAGAAAGAGAACCAGTCACTCAAGAACCAGATTAAAGACTTCCAGCAACAGCTCAAGGAGGCGGATTCGCAGCAGAAATGGAACTCCGAGCGTGAGGTGGAGCTTGAAGAATACCGCAGAGTTTTGCCTCGCATTGAGCAGGAGTGCAGTGAAATCCAGAACCTGAAGAAGCAACTCGAATTTAACAATCATGCCCTCACAGAGCGTCTTAGTAACGCCGATGAGCAGCGCGAACGTGATGATGCTTTGATAAGTGAGCTCCGTGAGCGAATCCGTGAATTGGAAGGTTCTCCTGGAAGCCCATCCCTGACGCCGGGTACCGAGACTCCCAAGCTCGAGGGAACTCTACAGAAAGACTTTGAGGCGATCGGTGTGAAGGAATCACAGCTGTTAGGAGACCTTGTGCTGCAGCAACGGAGATCTAGGCTAACTCGCTACAGGAAATCTGAGAATGAAGAGCTGAAAAAGGAAGTGGAATCCCTCAAAGGGCCATCCGTATGTTTACGTATTACGACTAATATCACCTTATCTCAGGCCGCTAACAATGTACCACAGGTCGGATTGGACTTTTCCGAGGCTTTCAATGAAACACTGCAACAAGCTCGTGCAAACTCTTCGCAGAGGTACTTCCTACTAGAAGCAGCGTAGCTAGTATAAACGCTAATGGTGCACCAGTGATGATTATTGGAAGTTGTACGACCAGTATACCTCTGCCCTCAAGAGATTGGCCGAAGCCCAAGAAGCTCTCGACGTATCCAAGAGATCGCTGAACGATGCGCTGGCAGAAAGTGAGTAGCTACTGTTTGGCGAAAACCTTGCTTATGAAATGTGCTCACATGAATACAGTCGAATTGTCCAATAAAGAGAACTTGGATCTCATCGCTGAGATCAAAGCGAGCAGCGCAGCAGATTTGACCAAGGCTCGCGAAGGAGAAGATGATGCTATGCGCAGACTGTACAATCTGCAGGCCGAGCTTGATTCAACCCAGGCTTTAGTCCAAGTCACATGTGCCGAACGTGACGATCTGCGAAACTTGCTCGAGAAGAAGCAAGCCGAGTTCCGTGCGGAAGATCACGAAGCCGCAGAGGAAATGAAGAAGCTGCTGGCCGAACTCACTGCACAGGAAAATGGCGATGATCAGGAAGCTGCTCAGAAGTCGGCTGTAGAGCTCATTAGACAGGTCGCCGCACAGATTGAGAAGAATCTGGAAAGGCTGGCGAAGCGCGCAGAGGTCAGTTACAAGAAACCCTATCGACTCTCAACTTGTGTTATTCCGAGCCAGGCAAGGCCTATTCGTCTTGGTAGCCTCAGTGGCGACAGGAAACGTCTCGATCTTCTTGCAGATCGGCCATTTGGCGATTCGACCCAGATATTAGCTGCGAAGGCACCCGGTCTATCGCGACTGGGTCGATTAATCGCCAGAAGGTTCAGGCGTTGAGGCCCAGCTGCCACCTTGACCCATTGTTACATCCTATCCCGTTTGCATTCTACGGTCTACAAAAGACTAACACGAATCATCTTGCAGTATATCCACCAACAGAACGAACACATCAAGTTCCTCCAAGAGCGGATAAAGCAACTCGAAGAGGATACGGATGATGGAATTAGCAAAGAGCGCGAGGTAAGTTGTCACTTGAGACTGACTGAATACATCAAGTCACTAATATTCAAATCCTCCAAACAGCTCGAACTCCAGAAGATAATCGATGCTCAAGCGCGGGAGCTGACTTTGATGAGCTCCTCCTGGTACGAACTCCAGAACCGATTACAAAACAGCAATATCGGCCTGGCCCGGTACCGGAATGGATCCCTAGCCGATGCTCAGAAGGGCTGGCTAGCCAGGCAAAGAAGCGTGGTCGCTGGTCGATAAAGCTCCGGGTTGAATGTTGGCGATATGGTTTACGTCCTATCTCTTCTTCGTACATGTCTTTCTAATTCTCCCCTTTTATTTCTTTCCCTTTTCTTTCCCGCCATGTGCATTTTCCATTGTTATCAAGACTGTTGTTATTGTTGTTGTTATACCTTTTTCTTTCTACATACACATGTTTTCGTTGCTCGCCGCGCTATACCAGCTTGTTGCGGCTCAACTACTACGACTACTACTACCCCCCTGGTTTCCGTTGGAGCTTGATCGGCATTATAAACATATCATATGCACCATTATGGCATTGTTGCATGGATTAGACATGTGTATATTTGAAAGTTTTTCTCTTCTCGATTTCTAGTGGCAGTTCTGCTTTTGACGTGACGTAGCCCATAGATGCAGCTCATAAAGTAATATACATGCAGATAATACATATTTTTCAAATGAAAGGAAACCATAATCCTTGCTGATGATCTCTCTAATTCAGCAGCAATTACACCCATTGTCTGGGATGTTTCAAAACATCCATGATCTCCTTCTCGCGCTCCTTGCCCTCGCCCAGAAGCGCCTCATCACCATCTACGGAATCCTCCGTCCGGGTTCCCGATACGGGGTCCATGTAAGCCCAGCTTGCCGTGCGGGGCAAACTCATCAGAATACTCTCGATGCGGGCATTAGGAGTGCGGAGACCGAAGCTAGTACCGCGGTCATAGACGAGGTTGAACTCGACGTAGCGACCGCGTCGGAGCTGTTGCCATTCCTTTTGCTCAGGCGTGAAGGGCATGTCCTTCCGGCGTTCGATGATGGGGACATAAGAGGGGAGGAAAGAAGCGAGACCGTCTGAGACGAAGGAGAAGAGAGTCTCTTGGGGATTTTGGGATGAGGTCGACGAGGACTGGAGGAAGCTGGGGTCCAGGTCGTCGAAGAAGATACCTCCTACGCCGCGGCATTCGCGGCGGTGGGGGATATAGAAGTACTTATCGCACCAGGCTTTGAACTTCGGGTAGTATGTGGCGTCGTGACGATCACAAGCATCTTTGATGGTCTGGTGGAAATGTCTGGCGTCTTCGGGGAATAGGTAAGTTGGGGTCAGATCGGTGCCGCCACCGAACCACCAGTTCTTGTCGCCGTTGAGGGGGTCTTTAGGATCGGATGTCTCGAAGTACCGGTAGTTCAGGTGGACGGTTGGGGCCATGGGGTTGTGGGGGTGGAGAACGAGGGACAGGCCGGCGGCGAAGAAGCTCAAGGAGTCCACGTCGGCGCCGACGAAGGACTTGTGGTCCGCGCGCATCTTCTCAATGGCTGGCCGGGGGAGTTCGCCGTAGACGATGGACACGTTGACTCCGGCTTTCTCGAAGACGTTTCCGTCTTGAAGGACACAGGATATTCCACCTCCGCCGTTGGGGCGCGACCAGGTATCAGTCTTGAATTGCTTTCCATCTATCCGGCTTAGCTCTTCAATGATTTTCTGCTGGTGGTCTTTGATCAGCTTCTCCATGCGCAGGCGCATGGGAGATTGTTCGCTGATTGTGGCTTGCTTCTTAAGCGTTTCATCGAGCTCCACGAGGGATGGCGAGTCGAGTTCGGTCACTTCTTCCGTCATCTATATTGGAAATGGTCAGGTTGGGACATCGCGCAAGTTATATGGTGGGTGAGGCCTACCATGGAATACACCAAAGCACCGATAAAGGGCACACCAATGGCCAGCCGTAGGTATGGTCTCCAGACAGTGAATGGTTTGGGTTCGGAAGGAGGCTTCTGTTCCGAGGAGTATCTGCGAAAGGGCGCTGAGAGGTTGCGAGGTGTGTGACAGGTCCGAGATGAGAATTGGCAGAGCGACCTCCGAAGAGGCATATATGGTCGGGGAACAGCCATTGTTGGAGTAAATTGAGTTGGCTGATCTGCCAAAGATCAGGTGGTGCCAGGTATTGCGCCTGTCGAGAATCAACCGGTCCTTGTTCCCTCCGAGCTCCACCTATGGTCTAGAGCCAGTAGTGGGTAGGGATTTGGTAATGGAGGAATCGTTCAGATCATCGGCTCCGAGGCACAGTATGGGACCACCTGCGGCCTCAATATTCCGGAATGTCGTGAGGATATGAACCTGTTTGCACGGTTTGCTATGATTGTTGAGTTTGTCTGGGTTTGGGACCCGGCCCGGCTGAGATAAGCATTTTGCATGGTTTGCTGGGCTACCACCCCTGGGTCCGAACATCCCCAGGCAGCAGCACAACATCAAGCGGGGTTGCTCCAGGAGTGAAGAAATGTGTCAGTTACTAGCGGAGTAGATTCAACTACGTTACTTGGCAGATATTGAACGATCTGAGTCACTCAAGACCAGTCACTAGATTGGTAGAGTGTAGAAGGTGTGGGTGCTGCACCGAGCGGTAGACAGTAATCATTCTAGCATGGGAAACCCCATAATCTAGGCGCTGATCCTAAGTGGAGGCTGGAGGCAACGCCCGCCGAGCTACCACTTCACTACCGATGCAGTACCGCGAAGGCGGCCCAGCTCGATGATAACCAGACGGTATCATCCGCATTGGTCATTTGGATGAGTGCACGACATCCACGTGCCAGAATGACGACAGGAACTGCCCTGACGGACTGGCTTTCGATATCCGGAAGATGATCGAATGTGCTTCGAATCGAGCCAGCACATGACCCGGCCTGACTCACGTGTGGGGCCGCTCACCGCCTCCACCCCGTGATCCACGCTTGCCTGGCGGCCTTATCAGCCGTGGAAGCCGTTCCCTCACCAAATGACGCGGGGCTGTCGCCTTCAACTCTCTCTACAACTGCCATCCTGCTCACCTTTTGTCATCATCCATCTATCTCTCTATCTCTCCATCCATCCATCCTCCATCCATCGTCCATCTCAACCTTTTGTCTGTTATCTCTTAGCTTCCATCTAGTCTCTGTTACCCTTTTTACTCCTCTTCGTCTATTTCGTCACTTATCTCCCCCCTTAAGGGACCCGTCGGACCAGACCTACTAGCCGCCCTCATCTACTTATCAAAATGCGTTCCAAGTTTAAGGACGAGCACCCCTTCGAGAAGCGCAAGGCAGAGGCCGAGCGTATCCGTCAGAAATATGCCGATCGCATTCCAGTACGTCTATCCTTTGTTTTATTTTCTACTGTGATCTTGATTTCACGGTCTTTTGGGGGAAGGAACGGGTCTCTAGCTCACCGCTTGTTCGAGTCGCTAACCCGGCTCCTATCCTACAGGTAATCTGCGAAAAGGTCGAGAAATCGGACATCGCTACCATCGACAAGAAGAAATATCTTGTCCCTGCCGACCTTACCGTTGGGCAGTTCGTCTACGTGATCCGTAAGCGGATTAAGCTGTCCCCCGAGAAGGCGATCTTTATCTTTGTCGACGAGGTTTTGCCGCCTACGGCCGCTCTCATGAGCAGTATCTACGAAGAGCACAAGGATGAAGATGGCTTCTTGTATATCACGTATGCCGATCCCTCTGATTTCCTACTACCACTGTTCTGTGTGCATAGTGCTAACTCGGATCTTCTCTTTATCAGGTACTCCGGCGAGAATACGTTTGGTGACTGCTAGGCGCTGGTCGATCTCCTCGTTTCACTCTTTCTTTTTCCCTGCTTCTTGAAGTGAATTCGCTGCCGTCATCGTTTCAAGTCACTTCCTTCAGTTGCCCTTTCCTTAATTTGGGGAAGTTGCAGATGAACTTCCTAGATGTGGGTGTTGGTTGCTGTAGGACCTGGATAGATGGCGAGCTCGACCACGCTGTGATGTTTCTATGCTGTGCTGTACCCGCGGGCGTTATCTTGGGGGCTCTTCATTAATCTTCGTGTGAACTCTCTTGGCGAAATGAGTATTCTTCAGATGATAGTTTAAATGAGAAACAATCGTTGGCATTTGCTGGAAGCCTGTCTTGAGCTCGTAGATTTAGGTGGATAAGATGTTCCAGGAGTGCACAAGCTACTACATACTTCCTGGGACCATGGAATAACTAGTTATAATCGAACGAATTAGTAGTTTAGATAACTAACTAATTATCTCAAACCAGTTAGTTTATCACCGGCTGCTGAGATAATCAGGGCCGCTCCGATCCAGGGCCGGTGGTGCCAGACCCAAAGGGGGCTAGTGGCGTTGAATGCACCGGCCGCGACGCTTGGAGCGGTTCCGAGTCGGCGCAGAAACAGTCAGTCAGTCCATCTTTCTCGGTCTCTTCCTCTTCCTCTTGCTCTTTTCCTTTCCCCCCTCCCTCTTCCTGCATCCGCCTTCCCTATCATCCTTTTCTGTGCTGCATTGCCTGGCCCCGGCTGTGGTCTCTTGTCCTGTCTTTGTTGGCATTTCTGTCCTATATATAAATCTTCCCGTCCTTCCTCTTTCCTTCTGAATCGCCTTTTCATCTCCCCGACGGAAAAGAAGCCTCAGGCCCGGAAAATTTGATACTCGCCAATTCCTGCCCCGACTACGCCCAACTCAGCCCAATTCCCATAATCAAGATGTCTCCCGCTATGGCCCAAGCCGGTGCCGGCTCTGCCGCTAAGGATGTTAAGAGAGAATCCGCGACTGCTCGTCTTCTGGGTTCCGGTATGTGTCACCCGTTTTGTGTCCAGGTCCTGGATTGCACTCAATATTTAACTTTCGTTCTCAGGAACCGCCGGAATTGCGGAGCTGATGGTCTTCCACCCTGTACGATTACATCCTACCCTCTCGAATATTTGCGCACCGATTGCGCTCTCTCGGCGGGAGAAATGTGAAACTGACTCATCGACCAGGTTGATACCATCTCCAAGCGCTTGATGAGCAACCAGACCCGGGTACGATTCTTCCTATCCCTTATCCGTACGAGACTATGGAAATGCATTGGACTAATTGTGCGCTGGCTTAGATCACCTCCACCGCTGGTCTGAACCAGGTTGTTTTCAAGGAATACGCCAACGCCTCTTTCGGCGGCAAGTTCACCTCTCTCTTCCCCGGTCTGGGTTACGCCGCCGGGTACAAGGTTCTCCAGCGTATCTACAAGTACGGTGGTCAGCCTTTCGCTCGCGACTACCTCGCCCAGCACTGGGGTTCCGACTTTGACAATGCTTTTGGCAAGGGTACCGGCAAGGCGATCATGCACGCCACTGCTGGAAGGTTCGTTTCGTGTTCCGGCCATTGATGGTAATGCTCTGGCTAATCATATGGAAATAGTTTGATCGGTATCGGAGAGATCGTCCTTCTGCCCCTGGACGTCCTCAAGATCAAGCGTCAGACTAACCCCGAGGCTTTCCGTGGCCGTGGTCTGTTCAAGATCATCTCCGATGAGGGTATGGGTCTCTACCGTGGTGCTGGTTGGACTGCCGCCCGTAACGCTCCCGGATCTTTCGCTGTATGTTCCCATGGTTCCGATATTTGCCTTCTTTGCCATGTGTGGGTGTCCGATACTAATGCCTGGAAATAGCTCTTCGGTGGTTCCGCTTTCGCCAAGGAGTACATCTACAACCTGAAGGACTACAACACTGCTTCCTGGAGCCAGAACTTTGTTGCCTCCATCTGCGGTGCCAGTGCCTCCCTGGTCGTGTCAGCTCCTCTGGATGTGATCAAGACCCGTATCCAGAACCGCAACTTCGAGAACCCCGAGTCCGGCTTCCGCATTCTGTCTAACATGGTCAAGAACGAGGGTGTCACCAGTTTCTTCAAGGGTCTGACGCCCAAGCTCCTGATGACCGGACCCAAGCTCGTTTTCAGCTTCTGGCTGGCTCAGACGTTGATCCCCGCCTTTGGCCAGGTCGTTTAAGATGTTGATGATTAGCTGATCCAAAAAGCGAGTGTCTTTCTCATTTTCTACCCATATCCGGGGTTATTTTGATATTATTACTTTTTATGTTCGATTCGGGGCTTTGTTTTGGTGCTGTTATAGAGCATTCATTCTGTTAAGCCTTTGTGTATTTATGATAGACTCTTTTTCCCTTCGGCACTGTTCCGGATGATGGGTGCAAGATGGTATGCTCTTGGATACGAAATACAACTCCTCTTAATTATGAATCATGCCAGTAGTAGATGCCAGTTTTCTGTATCTGCTCAAGTATTGTACTGCACATGCGACAGGCCGTTCTACTTCTGGCTGCAGCCGTATCTGAGACAATGACACTGTAGGGACCAAACGTCCAGGGTGGCTAGCTACATATCGACCAACCACCAGATTCGCAGCAACATCAGTAGCAATAGCAAACTGTCATTTACCGCTCGACAGGCACTATCTATCACCAACCTGAATGGAATATACACCTCAACCAGCCCATCTATCACGTGACCCGTCACATCCGCTGCGGAGTTGCACCAGCTACAGCTTCAAACTACTCATCTCAAGTCTACAACTCATCTTCATCCCGCTCACATTTCCCACCAACCAAAGCCTGCAGAGACAAGCCGCCCAAAATGCCAGTCTACCTAATCTCCAAGTACGTCGTCACCTAGCACATATATCCTATAAATCCCTCATACCGCATGCATGCATGCACCTCTACCCATCCACCTACCTACCTAATTTCAATCCGACATCGCATCGCAATAATCCCTCTGCCTCTTTTCCTTGACTTAATTGAGCGATCACATACACCCACTCAAACAATCATCCAGCAATCCTCAAGATCATACATATAAGAAAAATATCCATTCACTAATGAATGAATGAAATGATAAAAACAGAATCGCAGACCCCATCTTCGCCCTCACCATCGGCACCTCGGCGGCGTTATTGCGCATTCAACGCGACCAGCGCGAAAAGTTCCCCGAACAGGCTAAGGATATTGGCATTGGGCATGTGGTTTCGGTGGGCGCGGGGAGAGTGAGGAGGTGGTGGGCGGGGGACTTTGAGGGATTGTAATCTTAAAGTATTACTCCGTCTTCTTTTATCGCTGTGTTGGGGGTTCGCGCTGGGGTATGATACTTATGATATGGATAGTGGTGTGTGTGTGTTAGAGAAGGATGGGACGTGAAGGACTGGTGTGGGAGTGTGTTTATGGTCTTGGTCCTGTGAAGACATGGGTTGGATATGTGGATGTTCCATATGGGATGGATGAACTGTATATTATGGGTGGGTGGGCTTAGGGCGTTGAGGGGTTTATTATATCATGCTGTTTGTTGTATTGGGAATCAGCGATGTCTACTGAATATATGATGGGATGATTGATATGTGCACGGGATGTGTGATAAAGTATGTTCTGATAAATTACGCATAAGGTCCACATTGGATATTTCTTATCGGATTACAAGTATCAACTTCGAAGTAGACTTTGAAGTGAGCATGCCCTAAGCACGAAGCAATCGATGCATTCTACAATTGCACGAATTGAATTAAAGTAATGTATTCGTCGAAAGGAAACTTTTTCCCTCCCATAGTCTGCAGAGCAAGTCATCATGCAGTAACAACTAGCAACTCGAATCTATGCATAGACAAAGAAAAGTGATTCCCATAAATTCGTTAACATGATACTAGGAAAAAGAAACAAGCAAATCCATTAAAACCGCTCGCCTATCTGCAAAACGGCTGGAGGTATAATGAAGAAAGACAAGAACAGAATCGAGACCGCAGCTTTTTAAAGCATTTAGTCGAGCTCCTCAGGGCGCTCCTCGACCTCGTCAGCAGTGCGGGTAGCACCGGGGGCAGCACCGCCGGGGGCGGCACCAGCGGCACCACCGTAGGCAGCGGAGATGATGGGGTTGGCAACACTGTAAGAGTCAAAGTTAGCGTCATGATTCAACATGGTTAAGATGGGGAAAAGGAATGAACATACCCCTCAAGCTCCTTCTGCTGAGCCTCGTACTCGTCCTTCTCGGCGGTCTGGTTGCTGTCGAGCCAGCTGATGACCTCGTCAACCTTGGCGGTGACCTTCTGCTTGTCCTCATCGCTGATGGTGAGCTTGCCCTCGTTGATGGTGTTCTTGAGGGAGTAAGCGTAGGACTCGAGACCGTTCTTGGCCTGGATACGGGAAGCCTCAGCCTCGTCCTCAGCCTTGAACTTTTCGGCCTCAGCAAGCATGCGCTCGATCTCCTCCTTGGAGAGACGGCCCTTGTCGTTGGTGATGGTGATCTTGTTGGTCTTGCCGGTACCCTTCTCGATGGCAGAGACGTTCATGATTCCGTTGGCATCAAGGTCGAAGGTGACCTCAATCTGGGGAACACCACGGGGGGCGGGGGGGATGCCAGTGAGCTCGAACTTGCCGAGCAGGTTGTTGTCCTTGGTACGGGCACGCTCACCCTCGTAGACCTGGATCAAGACACCGGGCTGGTTGTCGGAGTAGGTGGAGAAGGTCTCGGACTTCTTGGTGGGGATGGTGGTGTTGCGCTTGATGAGAGCAGTCATGACACCACCAGCGGTCTCGATACCGAGGGAGAGAGGGGCAACGTCGAGCAGGAGGATCTCGTTGGTGGACTTGGAGGAAGTGTCACCAGACAGGATAGCAGCCTGGACGGCAGCACCGTAGGCAACGGCCTCATCGGGGTTGATGGACTTGTTGGCGTCCTTGTTGAAGAAGTCACTGACGAGACGCTGGATCTTGGGGATACGGGTGGAACCACCGACCAGGACGATCTCGTGGACGGAGGACTTGTCGATCTTGGCGTCACGGAGGACACGCTCGACGGGCTCCATGGTGGAACGGAAGAGGTCCTGGCAGAGCTCCTCGAAACGAGCACGGGTGATGGAGGTGTAGAAGTCGATACCCTCGAAGAGAGAGTCGATCTCAATGGAGGTCTGGGCAGCGGAAGAGAGGGTACGCTTGGCACGCTCGCAAGCGGTGCGGAGACGACGGAGAGCACGAGCGTTGGAGGTGAGGTCCTTCTTGTGCTTGCGCTTGAACTCGTTGACGAAGTGGTTGACGAGGCGGTTGTCGAAGTCCTCACCACCCAAGTGAGTGTCACAGCGGTGGCCTTGACCTCGAAGATACCTTCCTCGATGGTCAGGAGGGAGACATCGAAGGTACCACCACCAAGATCGAAGATGAGGACGTTGCGCTCACCCTCGGCTTCTTGTCCAGACCGTAGGCAATGGCAGCAGCGGTGGGCTCGTTGATGATACGGAGAACGTTCAGGCCGGCAATGAGACCAGCATCCTTGGTGGCCTGACGCTGAGAGTCGTTGAAGTAGGCGGGGACAGTGATGACAGCGTTGTTGACGGTGCCACCGAGGTAGGCCTCAGCGGTCTCACGCATCTTGGTGAGGATCATGGAGGAGACCTCCTCGGGGGTGAACTGCTTGGTCTCGCCCTTGAACTCAACCTCGACGATGGGCTTGCCACCCTTCTCGACAACCTTGAAGGGCCAGTGCTTCATGTCGGACTGGACCTCAGCGTCGGCAAAACGACGACCGATCAGACGCTTAGCATCGAAGACGGTGTTGTGAGGGTTCATGGCGACCTGGTTCTTGGCGGCATCACCGATGAGACGCTCGGTGTCGGTGAAAGCCACGAAAGAGGGGGTAGTGCGGTTACCCTGGTCGTTGGCGATGATTTCAATGCGGTCATCACGGAAGACACCCACACAGGAGTAGGTGGTTCCCAAATCGATACCAACAGCGGGGGCCATGATGAATGTGTGTATGTGTGTATGTGTATGAAGAAGAGGAGTAGTTTCGTTAAGGGAGAGAGAAGAGGAGAAAGGAATTCGTTAAGAGAGTAGTGTACAAAACACAAGAGAGAAGAATTGGAGGAATGGGGTATAAAGAGGAAGAGATTGATGGAGAAAAGAAATCAAGAGGGCGAGAATTTGTGCGAGAGCGAAAGCTGATATAGTGGCGGGCGGTGAGCTGCTGCTCCAGCGAAGCTTCTAGCAATTGCCCGTTTCGATGGGCATCCATCGGGTTCGACTGGCTTCCATCCGGGCCCCAGTCCTGCCCAGGATTCACTCGACCCTTCGAGAATTCACTTGGTCAGGATAAGGGGAAGGCACTGGCATGATCTGGGGGGACTAGCTGTGGTCTATGAGCTACTATCTACACTAGTTACTGTCTCTGTCTCTCTCTCTATCTTGCTCCGATCGACTCTCTGCAGCTTGGAAGATAGATCTAGAATGACTTTCTGAGGGGATTTTTTTTTGGTGGGCGGTTGGCGGGGTAATCCGGATGACGTAATGGGCAGAATCCGAATTTTCTTTGACATGTTTTAATTTTATTTCACTTTTTCTGGTTCACAAGCCATGACTCACTCGCGTGTAATTCACTATTTTGAGTTATTCTTAGTTTACTGTGTTAGTAGTAGTCGTAGTCGTGTTTTATCTCCAGATACTAAACTGTTTTCCAAAGGATGAATTCCAATGGACTGTCGCCCAATCCCCCCTCTTCAATTCGTAACCTGAGGTTCTGTAGATAGTAGGAAGTGTAGGAAGTGCTGTACCCTAACATAGCTTACTCTCACTGTCCTCAATTCTTACCCTGTTTGGGGGGCAAGTTTTTGGACACCCATGGAATTGGGCAGAATAGAGGCCGTCATAATGACGCTGGACAGTATTGTTTCTCCTCTTTCGTTCTCTTCGGAGAATTTCGATGGATTTTCCATTCTTCCATTCTTGTTCTTTTCTTTCCTACGGATTCTGGCCAGTCCAGAACGGTCACATGATCCGAGTCCCTCTCACGGTTGTACCTGACACAACATTACTTATCCCAGCTCCTCTGCAGTAGAAGATATCACTCCAGCAGTAATCTCTAAGCATGTCTTCTGGAAGAGGTCAATCCATTCCAACTAATATTTTTTCCTCAATTTGTAGCTGTATCCATCTCTTGAGAACTTCCACTCCAGCTACCCCTGCTGCTGAATCTTCCCCGCGATCAAATTCCGTTGTCTGAGAAACCGCCGCTGCACTACATTTCAAACAAAACTTCTGTTGTTTGTCACTCTGCCAAGTTGCAGCAGTCCTAGTAGACCAAATCTCATATCCATTTGTAGTTATTATGCCTGAAGATAGGAAACAAAATGGCAACTCCCTTGAATTCAGGACCAGAACTTCTGCATTGTTTGTTATGAGCCCTCCCAACAGGGCAAAGCCCCATCACGGGAGCTGCAGCTGATCGCCACCCCTGGCAACCAATCATCGCTCCAATGCCCGCCGAGGTGAATCTCCCCTTGCGACAGGAACTGATCTGGCCTTGAGAGAGAGAAAGAGAACGAGAGAGTTATCCTCGCTGCCCTTGACACCGCTGCCTACTTAAACTCCACGCTTCCTGCTATCCCCCTGAATTCGCATTTCCTGTTCCTTGCGAATTTTTCTCTTCTATTGGGGTGTTTCTTTTCTACTTACTTCCGACTCTATTACCAATCCCATTCAGAAACACTTCTGTGTACCACTCTTCTTCATTCATCATGGGTGACAACAACCAAGCTACCACGGGTTTTGACCCTGCCGCCAATGCTCCCGATGCTGCTGCTTGGGACAAGGGCAAGGGCAAGGCGACAGACCCCACTCAAGACATGCGCATGGACGATGATGAGAGTGATGAGAGCGAGGCCGAAGAAATGGTGAGTCTCATACTACCCACTAGCTAGATCATCATATAAAAAAAGAGACATGTTAAGCTAACTGGCCTGCTTTCTGTTCCCTTAGATCGATGATGGTATGATGCCCTGATTTCCTTCGTCCGTCAATTAGACACGGGTCTTGTCCTCCCTAGCTCGAACCCCATACTAACTGCGCATCTTGACTGCCAGATGACGATGAAGACAATGACACCCTGGAACCCATCTCTTCTGATAACATCATCTCTGGTGGCCGCCGTACACGCGGCAAGACCATTGACTTCCAAGCCGCCGCCGAGAGTTTGAAGGATGATGGCATGGACGAGGACGACGATGAGGACGACGACTACGTCGGCGCTGGTGATGACGACGAGGACAACAAGATGCAGGATTAGGTTTCTGGATCAAGCTACGACAATACCAACACACAACTTAGGGGCGGCGAGCGCACATGGGAATTGGGATGGATAGGCGCAGGGTCTGTTTTGAGGATTTTTTTCGGTTCCTTTATGCCGGTTACACTTTCACCTCTTAATCATATTATGATGATTTTCTTTTCCAGGTCTTGGGATGGATACGGATCATTATGGTTGCCTATGCGTTCTTTTCCCTACCAAAGTTTTGCCGATAAGCACACCCTGGACCTTTTTTCTATTTGGGCCAGGTTCGGCTGCAACTATCGCCTCGCAATTGGGTTCAACTGAGACATCACCTCCATGCCAAATATAATTCATGATCTGTGGAGGAGATCTATATGTAAATATGCCGATAATAAAAAGAACCCATGTACATTGTACAACCACTTCTTACATCATGTAGAGTTCACACTTGCTAGATTGTATTTCCTAGAGAGTCACGTGAGCTACCCCGTGGTCTCCGGGGATGGGGGCCAGCTAGTAGCTCTCCGCCGCGAATTATCCTCACTTCTTCCTCTCCTCGAGAGCCTACTCGCTCACCCATCTTTCCCCTGATTTCCTAGGGCCTCCTTTTTGCGACATGTGCTCCCGCTGGCTGTGATCGCCTCCTCTACTATATTTTACCCTGTCCCTCTTATACAAATAATAATCTAACGATCTGTTATGGCTTCACGGTATGTTGACGTTAACCCATCTGTCCTTCCCCAGATACCCCAGCTCATACTAATCACTGGCCTGCATGTAGATTCCCACGTTCCAACCTACACCAGCGCGATCCTCGTGCCTCCTCATCCCTTTTCGATTCATACGGTGGCGGTTCCCGACCCGCCAGTAAATCCCCGGGCAGCGTAGGTGGTTACGGGTATGGAGGATACACGCCCCCAGCCGGGGACAGCTCTGTGAATGGCAATACCAGGGGTGGATTTCGGTCTGCGACCCCGAACGCCAAGTATGTCCTTCCAACAATGGGGAGAGAAGCTGTATCTGGATCTTCCCGTGCAAGTAGCTCACACTTCCGGTTTATAGGGGTCATTACTCCGACGCTGTACTTTCCCATCTAGAGTCTCAAAATGATGCAGAGGTCGAAGGAATCAGCGCCAAGGTCAAAATGCTGAAAGATGTGAGCTACTTTTTCCATTCGTCAAGTCTGGTTGTACACATGCTGATATCCCAATGGTAGCTCACGGTTGCTATTGGCGACGAGATCCGGGATACCTCCACCATATCAGACCTCAACAACACATTCGAAAACACCCGTGTTCGTCTCCGGGGAAACATGAACCGTATGTTGCGGATGGCAGAGCGCACCGGCGTTAGCTGGAAAGTGTGGCTCGCTTTCTTCTTCGCCGTCTTCCTACTCTTTTTCTACGTCTGGCTGACGTGAGGGACGGGGCATGCTGCTGCTGCTAATCTAGCCAAGCATGATATCTCGAGAACTCTTTTGGCCCGGTGCAACGGTTTTCTCTTGGCATGGCTGTATAGCAGAGGGCCATGACCTTGGGCTATATATCCATATACAGGGACACAGTTGTGTCAATCCCTTCCCCTTAATCACCCCAGCCCCTTACCCACAGAACCCATGACTTGAGGGCAGGGACGTTTCTTTGACATCGACATAATTAGCATCTTTGCACATAAGCGGCCTATAGGAGCATATCCTTTCTTCTTCCTCCCGCGACCAACAGCCCTATCCGGCTAGCCATTCATGATTGTTGCGTTCTTATGCTCTATTGATGATGGTGCATGCTTGGGAGTTTGGGGCTCTGAGATTATGTTATGAATGCTTGCTGACTCGGTTTGTTCGCTATACATAGGCCGGCAACCGTTCTTATGCTGTACAATGATATATGATATGTATTGTATAATAATTTCATACCCATTATGTCACCTACCTACCTACCTATCTACATATATCTGATTGGATTTCTTTTTTTTTTTTTTTTTTTTTTTTTTTTTTTTTTTTTTTTTTTTTTTTTTTTTGCTTGCGATACGATAGATATTTGTTCTTAACTGCTACTTTCAAGGTCATTGTATCATGCGTGGCAGTAGAACTAAAACATAAGTCTTTAAAAATCCTGTATGGGCCCAAAACGCCGTCCTCGGCTCCATGCAATTATATAAACACAGCCATCCCACCCTTTCACGATAACCGAGGACTCCATAACCTGTCCCCGAGAATTATAGTACACTAATGCATATAACAAGTGAACTTGTCATCACTCGAGACTGTCTCTGGGGCCTCCCATGCGCCGTCTAGGGAACCGACTAAAGAAACTCCGTCGGCTGCTCTGACTGGTCAAAGAAGCGCGAAGGTCCTCATCGTCGACGAGCATGCTGCTAGTGTCAAAGGCATCACCACCCCCACTCCACCGCTGTAAGAACCGACGTTGGGCTTCGGTTTCTCTCTCCCGTCGAATAGGCGGTGGCAGGCCTCGACTGCTAGTTGTACTGGCGCGGAAGCTCTGCGAGAAGGGGTCCTGCGAGAAGCTTACATCCTCCTCATCGTCAAATTCCACATCGGTGTCGGTGTGTTGCCATTCCTCTTCCTGCTCTGACCGGTCCTCGACTGCCTCGGGGATGTCATCATCCAGGTCCCGACCCATATCTTCCTCCCCTTCGCTCATACCCTCGTCATCATAATCTTCTTCGGCCGCGCTGGGGATATCGTTATCCAGGTCCGGCTGATTGTCGAAGTCGTCATTTTCTTCCTCCAAGTCTTCTTCCTCTTCGAGCTCGTCATCATCCGGGAATGCCTCCGGAATGTCATCGTCTAGATCACGCTCCATGTATTCTCCCTCATCCACGACATCCTCCTCTTCCAGCCCTTCCTCGCCTTCCTCGACCAGCCCATCTGCATCCGCGTCGGGGATATCGTCGTCCAGATCTCTTTCCATGCCTGTGTCATCCTGGCCATCGCCATCAAAAGTACCCTGTGTCTGGTTCCCGAGCTCGTCTAATCCATCCACGCCCACCTCCGCTGCTGCCGCCGCCGCTGCTCTCTCTGCCGCTGCGGCGGCCAGCGCCTCTTCTCGTTCCGCCTCCTCCTCTTTCATGCCCAGCATAGTCTTGGGACACCCGGCCGGCCTGATCCACGAGTATCCGAACGAGGCAATATTGTTTTTGCGCGCACGTAGAGCACGCTCTTCCAGGAGGAGGGACGAAAGCATATTTCCTGAGGCAGCGGCTGAGGCACGTCCGCCTAGCGCAGTAGAGCCATTGCGGCGGGCATGTGGTTGTGTCTCTCCGGCGGAAGGCTGGTGCTGGGAGGAGGTTCGGTAGGGTTGTGAGGAGCCGAACCAGAGTTCATGAGACTATAAGAGAGGTGAATTAGCCAAGGATGCACGTCAATGGGAGATCAAGGGTGGTATTGTGGAGAATTCGCAGAAGCCGATGGCACGTACATCGCGAGGTGTGATGAGTGGAAGGGAGAGCATTGTGGTTGGTAGTGCTAGCGCGAGCTAATGTTTAGGGGACAGGGAAGCGGTCGCCCAGATCAATTGAATCGTTATGTATGAATGTAATGGTTATAGATGGAATGAAGCTCGCGTGGTCCGCACTCTATATCTGTGTCGGGTAGGTTTATCGTGAGGTGGTTCTGCGCCTGGGTTGTTCCGTCGTCATGCGCAAGATCAGCTAGGCAATTGTATCGGAAAATGATCAAGCTTAATTGTGAGGCGAGATCCGTAGCAGAGAACTTTGGTAGATGGCCGCAGAGTGATCTTGATCTGGTTGGAGAGGAAGAAGTAGAATTGGAGAAATCGGAGAGGTCGAGAGGGGAAACCAAAACAAAAGCAGACAAGCTCCCGCGCGGGGATCTCCTGGCTTACCGCATCTGGCAGGATGCTGCGTCTGATATCTTTTCCACTGGCGAACTGGTCACGCAGCAAGATGGAGGTCTGTGTACCCTTTTATGTACACTAACAAATAGTATACATATACATATCTATATAGAGTCGGTTGTGGAATTAATCTGGAGTCAATGGCACTTGCATTGTGCTGCCTAGTTGATTATATATATTGTGAGACTCAATTCACGATTGTGAACTACTTCATACCTCCGACTATACGAAGTAATGGTATTACTATCTAAATTGCCCATGATTTGGCGACAGGAAAATGGGCTGCAGGGTACTTTAGTATTAGTATTTTGTGTTAAGCGGGGTTTTCATACTAGTCTAGTACTACTAGATGAAGGATTCTTGTGAACTACTATTAATTAGCCTTACCCTCATAAACATAGACTATCCTGCAGTTCCATCCTAGCGTCGGCCTCGTGTTGTGAGACAGACTGTCTGTCTAACAACGCTGGATTCACCCTAGGAGTCTCGCTTATCAACTAGTGACTCATGTCTCGAAACTACTACTTATCTACTCCATACCCACGGACAAATATCCGTCCCTCCAAACGTGCGGGTAAAGACCATTATTCCCCGTTGCTGATTGGTGCACCGTGCATATTGACATTGCTGCTGGCTGTCTGCATTGCAGCACGTAGACAGAGGCTTGACTCTGGACTCGCCGTAAGCAAGGCAAACTCTCATGCGGTCACTCTGTCTGCTTCAATGTGTCGCACCAATTAGGCCAGAAACAAAGACCCATGAACAGCAGCGGGTGCATGTATCTATCTCTCACTCTCTCTCCGCACCAAGGCCCGCATCAGCCCACAGTGAGGCATCCGGGGTTCTCCGTAGTCTTGCAGAGTATAACTGCACAGAGATCACCTGAAGCATGAGCCTAGCCAGCTGTACAAAGTGTGCAAAGCAGCAACAGCCAGTCGTGGAGACAATCAGGCCATGGACGGACTACTCTGCTCCACCAATTCACACAGCCGTGGATGTTGATCTGACATCTTCGCCAATGTCCCTCTGCAGGAGTGCATCGTCTTCTTCAGTAAAAAAAAAAAAAAAAAAAGGCTGTGGCAGTAGCAGGGCAGAAGTAGCCAGGATAGCCCGGAAGATTACACAGTAGTAGATCCAGATGCCAACCAGTTAGATGGAGACAATTTACTGGGTCGGTGGTGACTCTGCAGCGGAGATGAATCAGAGTCACGCTGTAATTAATTCGGTACTGCATGAAGACCGACCAAACCAAATCATTTGGTACCTTACCGGATGCTACTGGTGTTGTTTGTTCCTGTAATCACGAAAACCGACCTGCTGCTAGAAACACCCTCCTGCCCGGTTTTCGGTCGCTTCCGTTTGCCAGGCCCGAAAAGTCCCGAGAGGTTACAGGCTCCCGCTCCATCGTCAAGGTCACATTCGGTGAGCCCAAAGCGGACAAGCCTGAACAGGAAGGATCGGGAGAAAACGGACACCGGAAACATTGGCATCTCCGCTCGGTCATGTGATGCCCGTCGCTCCAAAGCGGATCTTCAATCTGCAGGACTGCCAAAGGCTGGCCAGAAACGAGGCTTGAGATGGGATGGATACGCGAAGGGGGAAAATCGGAACAGCAGAGTTGCACCTCTGGCTAGAGGTAACACGGCAGCTTTGCTGCGTAATCCTTCGTTTCTCAATTAATTTCCCAGCAATGCACCAGGCGCTATCTTGTAATTAGCGATCATTCCACAGCCCCGAGTCATTCCATCCCTCTTGTGCCTCCCAAGTCAATCGAAGAGGACCAATGATTAGCGAGGCGCCAGGACACGCCTATTAGGAGCTATTGCTTGGCTATTGGAGGAAAAGCTGAATCAGAGAGAGGATGGGTGAATATCTTCGGCCCTCGCAGATCGGCCGAGAGTTCCAAACATTCAGAGGGGAAAGGAAGGAACCGTATCAATCATTTGTCCCAAGCAAGTCCTTCCCGGGGAGCTCACGCCTGAAGCCGTAAACCTAGGCCCCCAATCGGGCCACCCCTCGTACTCATGCGAACTGACGGACTCCTCCTACTTAGCTCCAAATTTCCCGAAGTATAGCAACAACGATTAATAAGGATTTACTCCATAGACGAGGGGAAACAGAAATTGGCGGCCAGTCTGGCATGGTGGGATCCATTGTTCTGTCAGCCAGTAGAAGGTGAACACAACATCGTCCAGGCAACTCAGACGGGGGGAGGGGGTGGAAGTGAGTGGGAGATTGGAAATCAATTGATTTATGTATTACCATAATCATACTCATGCTATTATTGTTCGAATAAATAAGCTCTTATCGGGCCAGGGTTCCGAGTTAGCCAGCATAAAACATCCCGTGATTATTCCGAAGGGGAAGAAGGAGGAGGGGAAAGGATAGGGAAAGGTTAGTTCGATAGCTGGTGAAAGGATAAGTTAGTATGGTCAGATCCCGACCTGAATTTACCCAGTGAAATAAGAGCCATACCGGCTTGGTACCGCTCGTATTTCCGGGGATGTTGGTGTGTGTTCTTCCTGCATGTTCATTGGTCGGGGCCCAATCAACGGCCACGGTCCTACTCCTACTCCGTCCGTTCAGTCCTGCCCGGGGTCCCGGACAAGCACATGGGAATCATTTCACGGGGAGGGTGGATTTTCCCCAGAAAATCGTCCTAGGTTTGGGTCAATGGAAGGTTTCAAACGATCTACGGATGGGACGTCTAGATGCCAGATGGATAGATGGGCGTCGAGTAAGAATGTGGCTATTTGAAGAGGGTGACTGATAAGAGGGTTTGGATGACCTCAAGAAATGAGCTTGAGAAATTCGACCGGGTCGAACCCACAGGCATTCTTGGAAATGCAAGGTGCGTCTCGGGGCAGTCGCGGGCCCCGAAATCGGCGGGGCAGGGGTACGGAAAAGCTACTAGGCAGTAAGCTACGGGTGAATGTAACAGAGCAGCGAGAAGGCAGCCTAGAGGGAACGTGGCTCGGAGAGGGGTTGGTAATTTTGGGAGGGAGGGAGGGAAGAGAGAGAGGGAGGAGG